AAGCTTTGTGGCCTTCTCACTCGTGGCTCCGGGCCTGCGGATGGAGAAGGGTCGGACACTAGTGGAGGGAAGCCCGGGGCTCCGGTGTAAGCCAACAGTACGTCCAGTGTGTTGGCAGCGATTTGTATTGGAAGGGGGTGGATGGGGCCTCGTTTGCGCTGCTCATCAATCTTTCTGTTTTTATTAATAACCCACGGTTGCTCAACGGCGGCAAGGGGGTTGTGTGGAACGGGGAAGGGAGGGGGAGGGGTGTTGCAAGAAAGCCAAGATAACATCAAGATTACAAGATTACAATACCCAGGGCTTTCAAAGAAGAGGAAGAGGGAAGATTTGAAAAGGATGCAAGAAAAAGAAAAGGAAGAGAGAGAAAAAAAAGAAAAGATGAGATGGTGGGGATGTGGAGAATGATAAACTGGTGACCCCCGGTTTGGGAAGCTACACCGAAGCCCCCAAGTCTACATTGCGCGCTCTATCTTTGACAAGACAAGCGCTGTTGGGTCTTGCGGGGGCCACCACTGGCACCAGTGGAGGAAACCTTCCTTGCGCCAGGCTTGGCACCGGGGGCGCAACAATCGCTTCGAGGGCGAGCAGGAAGGGTCAATCTGGTGTGCAAGAATACGATATTAGATGATGCTGGCTGGTTTGGGCGGACAGCACTCGACTCGATCACCAACAGGCGCATAATCTCCGAGCTTGGCCATGCTTTGACAGGCTTGACCGTCTCTGCCAAGCGATCCGTGGCGAATCCCTCCGGACGACATTATCGTTTCTTTTGCATTTCTGTTCAATTTCTCAGAATGATCCATATCACGAGGTGAGGAAGAAGAAAAACCCCCAAAATGACACCCTCGGTCCCCACGCTGGCTTGGCGCACACTGGGGGATTTTCTCAATCTTCTTTTGCCTCGGTCCTATGCTCATCCCATGCACAGAGAAGCCCCCACCGAAAGAAATCCGCTGGGAAGGATTTCTCTGCATTGATGGCACCCGAGATGAACGATGGGTGGCACTCTCTGGGAAACTATTGTTCCGGCTCCCGTGACTACTAATCGGCCCAAAAACCTTGAAAGCTGGGGGAGGGACCGAACGGTGCCTGACTATCGAATGCTTCGTCTCCATCGATATCGTCTTTTTGGGCTCTGTTTGCTGGAGTTGATTATTATTAGTCGACTGGGGTCGCGCCCCGCTCACGCCAGACTATCAGACGGACTAAATCTTGCGTGAGTGAGCTCCCGCTGACATGTGAAACCGGGCGTCCATTTTCTTTTGCCGCTTTTTCTTCTTCTTTTTCTTCTTTTTCTTCCTACCCTTACTTTCCACGCGATGAGCAACCCCGAATTCGAATTTCCTCTCGCTTTTCCTTTTCCGGGGAATGTGGTGAGAGAAATTCCAATATCGGATCTGGGGGAGGCGCATCTCGTGGCAGCAACCGTTCGATTCCACATACGATTGATGGGTCGCTTCTGGTCTCAGCTGGACAGGACAAGCCCCCCTTGACAGTTGATGTTCAAGGTCTCAGTAGTGCTTCCTCCCCGCGCCCCGCGCGTGTCCGCCACGCCACGAGGAAAATCAGGCGCATGCCACCACGACGGAAGTCTCCGAACGCAAAAACCACGCGAGGAACAAGGGCAAGGAGCTGGGACGGGCGAGGCGTGTGCGTGCACGCACTCACGGCACACCACTCTTTGAACGAGTCGAGTCTCTCCTTTGCCGACGAGCCATCTCCTTGATCCTCTTTCTAGGCGATGGCTTGGCCTTGGCTTGGCCTGGGTTCAAAATGGAGAATGGGAAAAAGGAACTAGACGAAGGGGGGAAGAAGAAGAGGAAAAGGAAGGAAAAGGAAACATTGGATGAAGGTGACTTTTACCAACTTTTTCTTTTTCTTTTGCTGGTCCATTGAAAAATAGGGCCACGCACAAAACTCGGGTTCACATCGCAAACGAGGCCGCGCGGCATCTTCCGCGTGCAGCGTTCGTGTCGGTCAACGGCGACGGGGGCGGGAGAGAGAGAGCGTGCTTACTCGCCAAGAGAGGGAGCCAATGGAGTTTGGCCCACGACAAGAGCTGGGCTGGCGTAATCGTGGCTCACCTGGCCTCTTGGCCGATGATCTCGCGCCTCTTGGCTGACTGGTTCGAAAAGATTGGCAGAAAGCACCGGCTTTTTTTGGTCTCCATGTCATGTTTTGTGTGTGTGATGCCGATGTGTAGAAAACCCATTTGTCCGCTGCTCTGACCGAATTTCCCCTCCCTCTTTTGTTCCCCTTTGCAACTGAAGTTTTGTGTTCCAAGCCCTCTTTTTCGAGCGTAAAGAGACAAACACTTCTGTTTGTCGCTTAGAGCTTGAATTCTGAGCGATACCAAGGCCAGCAACCCCAATACACAACAGATCAATTGATATCAACAAGCGACGAAACGAACCACAGCTCTGAGCAGATTAACTCGTCCGAAATCGCAGCCCCACCGGACAAAAGAGGACCTCTCAATAGTCTCCGGTTTTCCAAGCTTGAAGCAAAGGGAAATAAAAAACCATGGCAGGCAAAGCTAGCGGGGCAGAAGCCCACCCTACCCACTCCGAAGAAGCCCCGCCGCCCTCCTACGAACAATCCACATCAGCGGCAGAAGTAGGGACGGCAACGACGACGGGAGGAGCACGTGCGGGCGCCCCGCGGTCGACCGTAGCAACGTGAACACGACGGGGTACCGCTCCCAGGAGGGGATGAAGGCGTGGGAGGACCCGGCGCGGTGGCGGGAGACGGAGAACGAGCCCGGGTGTCTGTGCAGCTCGTCCGGAGGGTTCGCCATGAGCTCGCACGGCGGCGTGTGTTGCTCCGATCACGGGGGTGTCTTGTGTTCGGATTACGACGGCGTGGTGTGTTCGAGCAAGGGAGGGGTATGCTTCAGTTCCGACGAGGGCGTATGCTTTAGCTCGAACGGGGGAGTGTGCTGCGCGGATGGGAGGAAAGGAGGGGCGTTTTGTTGTTAAAAAGGGGAGGAGGTGAGTGGGTGGCGGAGGATATTAATCTCGGTGCGATGGCAACGATCACGACGACGACGACGACGACAATGACAATTACGATGACGATGGTGGTTGGGGTAGCTACACGAAGAGGGGATGCCGTAGGGAAGGCTAGGAAAGGGGATGAAAGCAGGATGAGTACATGTATGGCAAGAGGATGAGGATACTGCACGAGGGAGCCAGGACCTTCAAACACCCAGCGTCGGAAATTTCAGTTTGGCTTTTGGATGGCCGGGCACATCGGAAATGATATGGCATTCTTTTCGGTCCCCGCGGCAGGCCGAAAGAGGGAGGCGGCGGAGGCGGCGGAGGCGGCGGAGGTGGCGGAAGAGGGGAAATTTGCCAAAAACAGACGTTTGCCGTGTCCGGCCCGGCACCCGGCACTCGGCCTCCGGGGCTGGGCAGCGTGTCGGCCCCAAGGCCGTCTTCGCCATCTGGCCACGCCGCAGCATGCGCGAACAACACTAAAAAGAGACACATGAACAAGCTCTTTGCTATTTCTGCGCCACGTCCTATTACACTATTTCCCATACATGCATGTCCGACGGCCAACGGATCCCCCTCGAGCTGTCGTGCCTGACTATGCGCCGTCCATTCGGTCAAATTTCACTTGGGCGGTTTTTCTTTTTCTTTACTTCTTTTTGGGCAGTGGCGTTTCTTATTTCTTTTTTTCTTTGTTGTTATTAGGTATTCGGCCTGCGTCTACCTCGGGCTGGACGTCTACTCGTCGATTGAGTATGTGTGTTGATGTCTGCGTCGCGCTTTGGTGTTCGCCCAGTTGCATTTGCACAGGGAAAGGTCAATATATCCATGGATCCATTAGATGAATGTCTACGTCTTTAATTATCTCGTACATGTAATAGCTATTGCACCAAGACACACATTCTTGATGAACCATTGACATGTATGATTGAATCTAGTGAGAATCCCCTTTTTTTTTTTTTCCTTTACGAGAACAGCGGTGGCGCCCCTTTGACATTTTTGGCAACCTTTGACACTTGGTCCAGGCTCCGGGAGAATCGAATTTTGATTCCATCCATGCATCCATGGATTGCGAATCATCGTCTCGTCGTCTGCTTCGCTCCCCTTGGACGCCCCTGGTCAAGGCTCATTTCCCACGTTTCCCCACACCCGACCAATCCGTCCAATCCTCGAATGCCCATAGCTCCTGTCTCCATGGTTGTGGCTTCGGAGGATATTAAACATGTGGGCTCCCTTGCTCCAATTCCATCTCTTCCCTCTCATCTCGTCTACGCATGGAGGAGCTTCGCCTCATTGTTTGAGTTTGGACGCCTTTTTGCCAGCTGGTAGGATCTTGCGAGGCGGAGGTAGAGAAAACCGGGAATGGCTGCTTTTTTCGTTCGGCACCCGCCAAATATTTGCATTTTCGTTTGGGTCGGGGCTTAAATTAGTCGATGCAAGTTTGACCCTTTCTTTACTTGTTTTTTCCTTCTCCGTGTTTTGTTATTTTTGCTTCAATGTAAACAAGAAATAAAACAAGAGGAAAAGAAACTATTTCCACCTTTGCTTGTTCCTTGTCCCTTTTTTTTTTTATCTTCAACGACTTTCCAGGAGAAAGAGACATTGCCCATCTTACTATTTCTTCCTCTCGTGCCCTTGACAAGCATCCGCTCATTCACTCGTTTGTCGGCTTCACTCATTCTCTAGCCCGTCACTCCTTTTACAGCAATTGTTGGAACCTATCCTGCCGAGCAGGCCTCACGAAGCTCCTCCCACCTTTCGTTCCATCGAGAGCCCGAAAGCCTTGCCTGACAGCGACAGCCGAAAAAGACGAACCGAAGATCACCAACTAAAGCTATCTAGCTCAGTTCGCACTAGCTATTTCCGGCAGGAAAATCGTCGAGACCGAGCTTTCCAAAGAGTTAGCAGAAGAGAGAGAGAAACAACAAAAGTGGGAAGAAAAACGCAGATCTTTCCAAAGAAAATCACATACAGCAAAGAGAGAGAGAAAAAACATCCCTCACCATGCAGATCTCTCTCCTCCTCACCCTCGCCGCTCTCGGAGCCACCGCGGCAGCGGCTTCCTCTACCCCTGCCCAAATCGCCGAGCAGCTCCCCTCGTGCGCGCAGAGCTGCCTGACCAAGGCCGCTTCCAAGGCCGGGTGCTCCGCCGACGACTTTACCTGCCTGTGCGCTGGCGTGGCGAGCTTGGAGAGCGCGGCGGGAGAATGCTTTTCGGACGAGTGTGATGGGAGCGAAGTCGGAAGTAAGTCAAAGCGTCTTGGTTTTTTTCTTCCTTGTGGAGGAACGAACCTACCTAGTTCAAGGTTCTGCCTGAAGAAGAGAGAGAGAGAGAGAGACTAACAGGACTGAACAGTCGTCACCGTCATCGCCGCCTCCGTATGCGAAGCCGTCCGCCGCGCCGACGTCGCCACCCGCACCGTCCCCTCCAACCCGCCGGCGCAACCACCACGCCTCCCTCGGGCAACGACCACCACGAGAACACCGACTCGACCACGAACAACGCCTCCGCCGCCGAGAACGAGGATGACGGCGGCGAGGAGAATGGCGCCGTGGTCATGGCGTTGCCTGGTGGTGATTGGGGCGTCAGGGCCGCGGCTGTGATGGCCGTTGCGTTGCTCGTATAAAAGCCGGAGCTGAGCGGAACAGAATAAGAAAGGGAGAGATGTTTTCTTTTTCGTCGTAGTCATCGTCATCGGCATGCTTTTTTGTCGGACGCGCGCATTTGGGTACATAGGTACAGGGATATACAAACATATATAGACTCGAGGATCGGGCATCTTGAAGGGTTTGTTTCCAACAAAAACAAAACCCCTGGTATCATTATTCTTCTACCTTGTCAGGTTAGAGATCACGGTGACTCCCTACGTACGCCCGTGCTACGTACTGGATCTGGCCGTCGTCACTCTTTTGTTCTTCGGCTTTCTTCTTTTTCCCCACGCATAGATGCGGAAAAGAAAGCCATAGACTTTGGTTTTTTTCTTTTGTTCTGTTTTATAGATTTACCTGGGTATAGCATTCTAGCGAGCGAGCGTCGCAAACAAAAATCAAAGAACCGATATACACCTTGTTTCCCCCATGATGACATGCTTTGCTGATACTGTAGCTCTTCCAACGCCTGGTGGCGAGCCAAAAATTCAATAAAGGAAAGATAAACGAGAAGACAAATAACCCGGCGTCCGTGTTCCTCTCCGTACCTCTCTGGATACCAAAACCAAGACCCCTAACATCCCCCGCCGGCGCACTCTCCCTCGCCCTCGCATGAAGACCCCGGATCCTGTCCAAATTAGCCCCAACCCCGCCGGGTCCGAAAGGAACTCGCGCGCCCACACGAGCACCGCGCAGCCGCACAGCGCCGCGACCAAGAAGCCGTCGCTCAGCTCCAGCGCCATGTACAGCTTGTTAGAGAAGCGGGTAACGTACGCTGTCGCGCCCGCCACCGCCGCCGCTCCCGCCAGGAGCCCCATTCGGCCAGCGGAGGCGCCGAGCAAGCAGGCTGACGCGAGGCTAGCAGTTGAGAGACAGGCATGGGCGACGAGGAACCCGTGCAGCAGGACGGCGTAAAGCGGGCGGGCGGCGAGCGCGCGGCGTAGGTAGGCCGTGTGGGAGGGTGCCGGAGCCAAGGGCGGGAGGAGGCGCGCGTAGGCCATGGCGAAGGAGGCGGCGAGCGCGACTTGAGAAAAGAGGTACTCTAGCCCCGCGAGCACCCACGCGACGTAGAGGATCTGCGCCGTGTCGAGCACCGGACGGGAAAAGGGGTCCTGGGCGTCGCTAGCGGCGGCGGCGACGTGAGCACGACCCGCTCCGCGGACCTCGGCGTCGCGGACGAGGACGGAGAGCGCGAGGTGGCCGACGAGGCGGTCAAAGAGGTGTTTCTGGACGAGGGCGACGAGGACCTGCCTCGCCGTGACGGACAGGGCCGAGTCGATAAAGTAGGCCGGATTGCGCAGGGCGAGCTTCAGGTTCGTGAGCGGGGCGTGGTGGAGAGGCTGCGCGGCGGTCGGGAGGAGGATGCGCCGGATCTGGTGGACTAGCACGGCGAGGACGGAGATGGCGAGGGCGTGGCGGTGGCCCCGGCCTAGGAGGGAGGCTTTGGCCTTGGGCCAGAGGTCGGCGGCGAAGTGGGGCCGGAGGGAAAGAGGGTTGGGGAGGATGGTGGTGTCCTTGCTGCGCGCGAGGTGCTTTGTCGGGAGGTTGGCGTATCGGGAGGAGAGGAGGAGGAGGATGGTGTCGAGCGGGCCGAGTCGGTGGAGGAGGGATAGGAGAGACACAAAGGAGCTCTGTCGGCCGGGAGCGGGCTGGGAAAATGGCGAGGAGGAGGAAGCTCGGCTGACGTCTCCCGCGACGGACCCGAGCGAGCCCGAATGCGAGGATGGTGTAGTGGCGGCCCGTCCACGTGCCGAGGGACAGCGTGCGTTTGAGGAATCCGGCGGACTTTGCCCACGACGATGGCGCTTGTTTCTCTGCACCACGTTCTGATGGTAGAGTGCTCGCACCGCGCGCTCGTGCTGGCTCGTGGTCCGCCGCGGCTATCGGCATGCTAGGCGATGGTGAGCTAACAATAGAAGCCGCCGCCGTCGACGAGCCCGGGATCGGGAGAAAACAGTGCTCGGCCAACGTCTCGCTCCAGTCCGCGAACCTACGAACCGCCTGCACGGGCGAAAGACCGCCAGCCGCCGCCATGTCGGCAGGACACTCGTCGAGCTCGGGGCAGCAATCAACCATGTTTACCAGTTCCGCAAACGAGTCCGCGAGCCGCACGACGAGAAGAGCGACTTCCTTTTGATCCGCGTTCAGACGGGAGAGTATCGCGTCGCGCCGTGCCACCTCTTCGCTAACCCGTCGGGGAACCTCGAGGTCCTTCTTCTCCATTCCTCTCTTCCTCTCCGCCCCGCCGGGCCCCGACCGCCCAACGCTCCCCGCCACCTCCCTCACCTCCCCCAGCCTATCCCCGATACAGTCCACCCTACCGAGCCCTACCAGCACGGCAACAACCCCCTCCACCGCCTGCACCACCTTCTCCGCCCGGATACTCCCCACCGTCCCACCGCCACTCCCACACCGCGACTTTTCCTCGCCCTTCCTCTCCACCACCGTTACCACCGCACCCTTCAGCGAGTCGACAGCCTCCAGCGCACCCCCGCAGACCGCACCAACCACATCCCCGTCCACCACTCCACCCCCGGCCCCCAAGTGGTGCGCCCACCATCGCCACGCATACCCCGTCACCTCGGCCAACGCCCCGGATCCCATGAGACGGCGGCCCCGGGCATACTTGGTGGCGTCTGCGGCCACGAGAGACGTGCATAGCGCGGCCACGACCGCGTGCGGCGCGCGTGCGTCTCCGCTGCTTTCGTCCGAGCTTGGAATCATAGTCGTGGCGCGTGGAGGCGGCCAGTCGTGGTCGAGGTCGAGGACGAGATCTAGGATGTGGTCCGGGTTGTGGTCCGGGTGGGCGCATGCACGCCTCGTCCGACTGCCGATGTCAAGCGTCTTGGTGGCGGTGATGACTTGGCCGAGGTCGACTTCCTCCACTGCCACGCATTCCCACGCCCGAATTACCGATTCGCTGTCCATGTGTTCTTTTTGAGAGGGGTTCCTTTTGATTTTTCCCACTTGCTCCCTTTGCTTCCCTTCTTCTACCACCTGGCGAAGCGATCGCCTCTCTGGGGTCCTTTTCCCCTTTTGGCTTTCTTTTCCTTGCTCGTTTGCCTTCCTTCCGTATGCTCGTCGCCCTGTGGTTTCGCTGTCTCAGGGGGTATCCATGTCGTTGATCTGTGCTGAATGCCGGTCGTTCGTTTTTTTTTTTGCTCCCTTTTGCTCCCGTTCTGCTTTTCCCGCGGGCGTTGTTTCCCACACCGACGTCGTGGCTAGCTCTGCGTTCCCCTCTTTCGTCTTGGCGGAGGTGAGATAATTGCGGAAGGTAACAACACGATGTGGTTCCAAAAATTATGAAGGGGAAAAGGAAAGGGAGAAGAAGGATGTGGTCGGATCAAGTTCCCCAACCAAAGACCCAAGGTTTCGATTCAGAAGCAAATAAGAGAGTGAATCAAATGACAAGGACGATTTGCCCTGTTACGTGCTTGTGTGCAAAGCAAGTCGTTATCAATCACGGTGCGCCGCTCAATTCATCAATTCCTCAATTCATCAATTTCATCAATTGTATCTCCACGGATGGACTCTATTTCTCCCCTTTGGCGTTTTGCATTAATCTAGACATGGGGTCCTTTTACCCGCCCCATCGTGCAGATCAACGGCGAACATTCGAGATTAATCAATATCCCCACCACCACTACCACTATCACCGTCGCCGCCCGCTATTTCTCCATCTATCCATTGCTATTTTGCCGGCATTGCTTTCGGGGCAGCGAGCAACCTGACGAGATGGAGTAGATATACCTTTACATTGCCATGTAACTTGCGCAATCCCACAAACATTACATGTATAACCCAAACTCCCCTAACCGAACTCCGAAAAGTAAAACGTGCTCATGGAAACTACATCTCCGATAAGCATTGGGCCGACCTGTTTTGTCCTTGGAGGGCAGGGCCATTTCGAAATCTTGACCTCATGGACACCGATACTTGACCCGACTACCGGAAGCCTCCGGGCTAGGCGTGATTCCTCATTGACTAGTGCATCGCTGTGGTAGTCGCCCACGCGTGGCTGACTGAGTCCGCGACGGACAAAAATGCAGTTGATTGAGGCTCCAACTGCCGAAGCCATCCGGGATGGGATCAAAAGACGCACCCTGTATCCGCAAACCACTGCTTCGTGTCATCGATCCCCATGAACTCCACCAGGAGAAGCCTCCCAAACTCGTCCACGTCGGCGCCGCTCCCTGCTTTTAGAAAGCCTTCCATGTTGAATCCCTCGATGACATGCTGTGGCTTTTCCTTCCAGACCTGAAAGAAGTCAAAGGACGTGGGTGCCTCCCATAGTTGCTTCGACATGGTCCAGCGGTGGGCGCGGTCCCAGTCCCTAACAGGGTCGACTAGGTTGGCGATTCTTATTTAGTAGCTGACTCGAGCAAGAGCATACGTATTGGGGACCAAAGGGGCAAGTGATTCTTACTGTCGGCCTCATTGCACATCAACCGCCACAAGCCTATGAACGCATATGCGAGGATGATGGTTCGTCGAACGGACTCGGTAAACACCCATCGCTAAAGATAGTCAGCCCAGTATCAATGACGGTGTGGTGCAACGGCGCGGGGTAAGTCTTTCTCTTTCTCTTATTGATATTTCTTTTTTATCACCCTCTTCTTCCCAACAAGGCCACCTACCTGCCAAGACTGAGGGGCTGCCCTCGCCCTCGGCTGCATGCCATCCTCTATCATACGCGGAGCCTCAAGTTCTCGCGAATCGCGCAAAGGTCGCCCACCCACGCCCCTAGAAGCGTCATGTCCTTCTCGGCCTGTACTCTGAGTGTAATATCGCCGTCGAAAACCCGCATAATCTGGTAGAGAAACAAGGCTTGGGTCCTGGCTAGCCGCTCCCGGGGATGTGGGTGTCGGGGGCCTGCTTCAGAGCGGCTGGGCCTTGCTTTAGCACCTTGTAGACCGAGGACCTGTTGCTATCGCTTACGGTGCTGTAGAGCGCACTGATGGTAAAGCACGACTGGATTGATGGCTCCATCTCCTCCCGGTACAGTTCTTTGTGCATCCAAGGCGTGCAACTCTCCTGCGCAAACACGGCAGGATAGCCCTTGATTCGCTCCACGACGAAATTGAGCCTTGAATTGGGGTCGTACACTTGCCATGGATCGAACTTGTTCTACGGCCAAGGGTCAGCAGGCTGCCATAGACGATTCCCAAATAGAGACAAGAGAAGAAAAAGAAGAGGAAAGAGGGGGTGACCGCGTACACATATGTGAACCATACGTTCCGTATCCATGCCGTTGGTCCTAGAAACCGCTTCCACTGCCTTTTGTTGACCTTCTCGACCTTCGTCCCCAAACGTGAGTTGCATATCAGCCCAAGACTCGGGTGCCGTCTCTTTCGCATACAGCGCAGAGAGGGCCTCATACTCTTCCAAGATAGGATGCGTCCTACCACAATCACCAGTCCCGAGATCGTCGAGATGGGATGGGTTCATATCGGGAAACCCAAACGTATTGTCGTTGCAGAGTGGTGAACTCGTGTGGGTTGCGAGATTCGACCACGGCGAAGGTGGGAGGGCGGACAGGCCTGATCGGATAGAGTCCGCATCGAGCCCCCAGAGCCCGGAAAGGCCTCGGAGTATGGTCTCTTGGCGTACACACACTCGGTGTTCTTTTCCTTGCACCGGGTGCACCACGGGTGGACCTTGTCACAACCCCGCTTCGACCTAACGCAGGCGTTGCAGCTCTTTTGTCTAGACGCGCTGGCGCTCGCCTCGGCTGCCGCTTGTGCCTCTTCCATCAATCACCTTTTTTTTCCTCTCCGTTTTGGAATATGATATCTTGAAAAGATCCAAAAGAAAACTAGACCACTCGAGCCGTAGCCAAGGGCATAAAATTACCCGCGACGTGGGTACTGTAGCTGGGAGCGTAGAGTGTAGGTGCTTGCTCCAAGAATCAACCGTTCATTCGCGCTTCCTCGCATCCAATACCAACCTAAGAACGGGAACAAAAAAAGAGGTAGGCCGAGAAGCGCGGAGTGACGCGGGCGTTGGCGGAGTTTTGACGTTGAGCGCGGAGGATTGTGCGTCAGCATCCAAGCTCGACATTAGGAGAAACTCCGCAAAGCTCCGCCTCCGCATCACACTCCCAAAAAGAAACCCCCTTAGCCATTCACAATCGGAGGAAGGGCCGCCCCACTCCGCGCCTGCCTTACCCGAGTCCGCTCCTTACTTACCCAAAATGGAAAGAGCACTTGTATCGAACAAGATCGAGAAAAAACACCCGCTCCCTTGCGTGGTCGCCGTGGATTTCTAGTCCGCCCGTCACACCGCGACCCGAACCTTTCATTTCCGCCATTACTATGTAGATGGTTCAACAGAGTAAGGCAACAGCAGAGGCAGAGGCGGAGATGGAGTGTGAAGGAAGGGTTTTAGAAGACCAGCTCGGGGTTAAATCAAATCTACGTGAAGAACCATCTTGCATAAGAAGGGGCCCAATCACCCTCCATATCCTCCTACTCTTACTTACACCCATCACTCACTCACCCGTTTCCCCCTCAAACCAACCAACCAAGCACTTTATTCATAAACTCCCCATCACAATGCCCAAAACCATCTTCATCCCCGGCGCCAGCGGCTTCCTCGGCACTGCCCTCGTCCGCGAAGCCACCCACCAAGGCCACCACGTCCGCGGCCTCTCCCGCTCCGACGCCAGCGACGCCAAAATCACCGCCGCCGGCGGCCTCCCATCCGCGGCACCCTCGCCGACCACGCCCTCCTCGCCGCCGAAGCCGCCGCCGCCGACGCCGTCCTCTTCTTCGCCAGCGCTTTCCCCACGACGCCGGCGTCTCCTACGACCAGTCCGTCCTCCTCAACAACGCCGCCCTCGACGTCATCGCCCAGGCCCTCCTCCTCCCGCCCCCACAACATCATCCACCGACGCCCCGACCAAGGCCCTCATCGTCGCCTCCACCGCCCTCATCACCGCCCCCGACCCCACCGGCGCCGAAACCACCGAAAAGGACCCCGAGGATCCCACCCCTTTCTACGACCGCGCCTCCCCGAGCCGGCACGCCCTCGCCTGGGCGAGCCGCGGCCTCCGCGTCGCCACCATCCGTCTCGCCCCGGCCATCTACGGGCCCGGCGACATGATTCGTGGCATGGCCGCCGGCATGGCCGCCTCCCCTCGGCGGCGTCCCCGTCATCGACGGCAGCCACGTCAAGACCTCGTGCGTGCACATCGCCGACGCCGCCCGCCTCGCCCTCTTGGCCGCCGATAACTCCCCGCCGGGTGAGTGCTACAACTGCGTTTCCGACACGGACACCACCATGGGCCAAGTCTTGGCCGCTGCCGCCGAAGCCCTTGCCGTCCCCGTCAAGCCCCTGGCCGCGAGCGAGGCCGAACCTTTCTTGGCGAGATGATGGCTGGCTACCTTACCACCCCTTGTCGCGCCTCGAGCCTCAAGGCAAAAGAGGTCTTGGGTTGGGAGCCTCAGGAAGTCGGCGTCATTGACTACTACAAAGGCTGCCGCAAAGCATCAGAATAGATTTGTTGAATGCATTGATCACCCATTTACAAGTCACCACAGTCTATCAAGGTTGAGTGTCTTTTTGAGTTGGTCTTGAATATTGTTTTTTTTTTGGTCAATTTATCTGTTTTACTTTTTGTATGGGCTGCATCCTGTTTGTCTGCTCGACCTTCGAGGCCGTGTTCGAATCTGTACGAATAGTGTTCTATCTGTTCCCACTCCCCCTTTTCAAAAGAAAGATGGCCATCGCCGCTGAGAAGGCTCCAAATGTCAAGTTCACTGTACACTCCCCGGGTTTGCCGGGAAGAAAAAAAAAGAGGTAGAAAAAGGAATAAAACAGACAGATCCAACGCCCGAAAATTTTCTTGGTGCCAGGATACAATGGATTGCTTCTCCCGTCCTGCGGCCTCGCATACACCTCCGCCTTTCTTTTTGTTCTTCGTAGTGCTGCGTCATCCACAGCTTACGTCTTCGTTCGTGGGCCGGAGCTCCTCCCGAAGCCGGGAAGCCATTTGCGCCTCGTGCCTGGGTCTCCGTTCGCGGTACCTTTAGCTAGAGGGCCCCAGCGCCGCCGACAGCCCCGTCGTCCACCGGGGGCCCGTTTAAGGATGCCCCACCCTCATATCGGTCTTCGTCGTCCATTTCCCCCTTGCTAGGGGCTCGGTTGCGCATGATGGGTGGGGGTGTTGCACCAGATCGTTCGTCATCAACAACGCTACTTCGGTGAATCCACGACGGAATTCCGATGCCCGCCGTTTTGGGCGCAGAGGTGCCGGCGGGAAAGGTTGGCTCTGTCGCGCTGGGGGTGCGCTGTCCGTGTAGCTCGCGGATCCAATGGACCTTCGGAAGAACCTATTGAGTCCGCGGCCACGATTCTGCTGTCCCGTGATGGGCGGATAGTGTCCGTCTTTGCGGCTCTCCTTGCCATCCGCTACCTCGGTCTCTTGTTGCGCGCCGTCAGACTGTGAAATCGTAGAGCCGGCCGTGACATCGTCGCTGTTTCTCCGCATGTGCCCACGTTTGCCACCCGCTGGCTTTCGTCCCCATCCCCTAGCCGAAGTCTCGCTCCTGTTCATGGCGTCGAGCATGGCCGATGCCGAAGTGGAGCCCGTCTGCGCGTGCAAGCTGGAGCGCCGGTGGGGGAGGAGGCGGAACTCCCGAGCCGAAAAGTGCCGTCTCCGCCGGAACCAAGCCATCTAGAGCACTATTGATGCCACCGCCACCCGTTGTAGACGGCTTGGCAAACGCCGCGTTGAATATCGCCTCGGGCGACCATGGACTGGTGAGACCCGTAACACCCTTGGCGGGGAATCCGAAAAGGTCCGGAGACCGCCGGCCGCCGTTACCATATGATTTGGCGGGCTTCCAGCTGTCCTTCATCCAGATATCTAGGCTCGAAGCCATCGAGTTGGCGTCCGACTCATCCTCTTCGCTGTCGCTGTCCCACCCGTTATCCTTGCGATGCGATGTCGTCGTTTCATCGGCTGACCGGGGCCGTTGGATGATGGGGGTCGATTGTCAAAGTAGCTGCTCCGCGGCGCATCCCTCCTGCTGTGAAATGCCGTCATGGAAGGCGGCTGCGCTACAGCAAAGTTGGCCGGGATCACTGTGCGCGCCCGAGGCCCCGGTTGAGCATCTAGGCTAGGTACCGAATTGGTTTCGGAAAGAGTCAAGTAGCTCTGCTGGTGGGCGAGACCTTGCTGCTGCGACAAGGTATCGGCCGAGTTCTGGTAGTGTCGAAGGGTGGTCGTAGAGATTGTGTCAGGGGTAGGTGGCATGTTCTGGTCCCGCAAGCGTCCTGGGGCGTCCGTCATCACCTTCTTCAACGCCTCCCGCTTCTGCTCCTTTGTCCGGCGCTGCGAAGCGGTCCTGGAAAGGGTAGTCGGGGCACCCGCCGCCCTCTGATACTCCGCCTCCCTGTCCCGCCCGGATTGCTGAGAGCTAGTAGTCTTAAGTGAGTACGTGCGGTCCATCTTTTCCAGTCTCTGGAGCGGGGAGTTTTGATCCAGCATATCCGTAAGCGGCGGATACTGCGCGGCGCGTGTGAGAGTTGGTGCGCGTGGACCGTGACGGAGTTCCCATGCCCTCACGAGAGTGCCATTCACGGATAGGCCCATTTCGGGGCCGTGTTACAGATGCGCCTCCCGGCGAGTGCGTCTCGAGAGTTGGCCTTTCGTCAAACTGCGTGATTGTCATGTCGCCGTCCTGGCCATTGTGCTTGCCATATACACTAACAAACGAACTCTCGCTCAAAACACTCAGACTGGGGCTCGCCAATCGTTCGTGTTCAATATCGACAGGCGTTTCAGTCGGTCTAAGGAGGCTTAACAGGCTACCTCCCTTGGCTCCCAGATAAACGTTGCGAAGGTTTTCCGTAGTTTGGCTCTGCTCTGACAGAAAGCTAGGCATCCTCTGAAGCGACGCGAAGTCTCCAGAATGTTGAGGGGTATGCCGAGATAGCGGTTTAGGGGTGGTTGCCCGGGCGTCATTCAGGGGCTACTCATGTGGCCAAAGGGCGTTTGAGTTTCGATACGTCGGACCATCTCGCGCTCTTTCAGAAGCGTCTCAACCTGTGCCTCTAATAACACAATCATCGCGACTGCCTCTTCCACTGCCTTATCCCGCTTCTCCAGCTCCTCAACCAAGCGGTCATTCAGCTCAGTAAGTTGCGCACTGTCATCCTTCATCCTGGTCAATTCGTCTTCGAGCGCAGTCTGCCGCTCCCTTCGGTGGTACAATTCGAGTTTCAAGTCAAAATTCTGCTTGTGTAGTGTTGACACCGTCTGCGAACCCATTACGTTAGCGGACACCTAAGAAAAAAAATAGGCGGATTGCATACCTGTTCCATCTCCTTGACGCCCATACCCTTCTTCTTCGTCGGCGCATCCGGCCCTCCACTCGACATTGGTCGACGGGGATCGAAGCCCTCTCTTCGGCAGGGTGAGCCTTGTGTATGAGCATCATTCGAAGTCCTTCCGGAGGACACCGACTTGTTATCAAGCTCAACTTTTCGCTCTCGCAAAAGCTTCTCTTGGAGATAGCTTGAAATTGGACTCTGTCGGGCCTCGTATCCGGCTTCCATCATCAATTGAGTTGAAAGGTGGCTTGGCGGCGGTTTCCTCGACCCATTGACCTGGCTCAATCTTTGTTGGGATGAGAGAGTCGAGCTCGATATTGTTTGCTTTGGCGATGAGGTTGTGTAGGAAGAGTTGCCTGTGCTGTGTGAGGTCACCCGGGTGCTCGCGGTGCTGTTGGAAGCTCTAGAGGGTGCACGCGACGGCTGGGATACGAAAGAGCGATCCCGCCCAGAATGCGACGAACTATACATGGGGCTGTCCATTGTGTTTGGCGTTCTGTACGACTTGGCCCGTTCGGCTTGTCGAGCTGGTCCCGAATTACCCAAATCCAACTATCTGGCCGAGATGGCGGAAAGGGAACTAAGTTGTTGATGATTATCGATAAGGCGCGCGGGCACGAAAGAAGTATGTAGGATGTAGGAAGGGGGCCCGGAAGCAGGTACGCTGCGGCGTTGGTGTCTACTTGTAAGTGGTTTTTGGTAGCGGATTTGTGATGCGACTTAATGCGACCACTATTACCTCCGAGAGTAGGGCAGACCAGGTTCTGGTCAGTGCAAATAGCGAGTCCGTCCTCGGCATATGCAGAGGAATGGTAAGTCGGAAGGATGGCCAAATCGGGTTCAAGAATTAGGAGTACTCATCGATTTCGGCACACAGAATCCAAGATGAGGAGTGGGCGCGAATAACGACTTATTGTACCTGTTGATCTAGGCTGATGTTGATGTATGGGCGCAAATGTTGCAACTTCCAGAAAGGACAAGGCTGTTCGGAAGGTGGCTTCTTGGTCAAGAGAGCGGGGAAACGAAAATGCTGCTTGCCTTAGCTGCGAGAGAAAGACAAAGGGTTCAATTGGAAAGAAGAAGAGGTTTCGCGTTGAAGGCGGAGTTGAGTGAGATTCGTTGTGCTCTTTTAGGGTGGATAGGTAGATGCGAGCGAGCGAGCAGTGAACAAAACAAACCCCAGTAGGCCCCCAATCTTTTTCCCCTCCCCTGCGGAGAGACGAAAGGGCCGTTCGAGAATGGCAACTGGTTCAGAATCATGCGCAACTAGGTCGGCGGAGGAACTGGCCCATTCAAAGCTTGTGTTGACGTTGATTTTGAGACATGCCGGGGACTCTTGGGAGCAATGAAAGCGATGTTTTGAAGTGAGACCTTGTTAGGCTGGCGATAGCAATCGGTTCTGGGCGATGAAAGACTTTGCTCTTCGGCACTCGCCAATCAGCCAGCGCTGCGCTGTGGATAAATCCCTGGGCGTGTTATGATATTGGCTCGAGCTCAAGCTCGTTCACCAAGTGATGAGTGTGTTTTTTTCTTCTCTCGAAAACGCGATCTGGGGCAAAGCTGGGTTCCTCAACAACACGCCGGCGCGGACAGGAAACAGAGAAAGGTATTGGAGGAAACGACGAGATGAAGAGATGATGTCGAATTTCAGGTAGGTGAGAGTGAAAAGGGGGAAAGGGGGAGCAATCGAGTGGTGGAGGATGGACGGAGGAAGACCGGCAGGTGTGGGAAAGATGCAGGGTGGACAAGACTGTTAAGGATTTACCAAAGAACTGGATAGGAGCCAACTAGGGGTGGGGGAGGGAACGAGGTTTCCTCTGTGTCCACCTTGCGGAGGATTTCGTTTGGCCAGAGCCTGTGCTCTTATTATGAGAGGCAGGGATGTTAAGTGGAAAGCAGTCGGACATGATTCCGAACAGGGGGAGGGGAGGCCCATGGCAGACCAAGAGGTTTGCTCGGGATTGATTGATGCCTGAGGGTACGGGCGAGCGAGACGAGAGCAAAGGGGATGGATCGATTGATGGGAACACGATACTGCCCTCTTTTCCCCCTGCTTCCCTCAAGAGAGTGATCTCACTCGGTTTTTCTTTTTCTGTTCTGGTCCCGCTTCTCTTTGTATTCATTTCGTTTCCTTGTCTTTTCTTTTCTCATTTCAAATTCTTTCCTTTTCCTGGGTCTATCTCTTTCATCATGGGTATTACAACCCATTCGGACCGGGGCCCGTTTTAGTCGTTGCTTCTTCTCGCCTTTGTGCATCCATCTAGTGCTCAAGTGCTGCCTGCAAACGGATGTAGATGCTAGTGTTCGGCGCCCAAGTGGAAAATACACGATGCGCGACCCCAAGCATCTCCTATTAGCGTGCGCGACGGGCGACGGGATGGGGCCTACGCCTTCCGCGTCGGGTTTCTTTCCCCCTGCCCAGCCCGAAGCCACTTGCCTCGTCATGACCGCCACTTGCTCTCGAAATGGGGGATTGTAATATTGCAGGTACAAGTATTGACAAGGGTCGGGGCAGGATAATCGGCGAGGAACGGGTACAAGTACTTCGTACCTCGAAAGCCGTCCTTGTGTGGTTTCAAGGACTCTAGGGAAGGGACGTTCTTGGACGTCTTCGACGGGAAGTCAATCGACTAATAAGTGGGGACGCCCTTTCCCAGCGCCACAGAAACCGGAGAGCTCTCTTTTTCGGCAGGGAAGCTCGCCCCTGAGGTTGAGGGCCGTCCCTCGCTAGGCCTAGCCTATCCCACAGCCACCCAAACGGTATTGGGAGCGCTTCCCCAAAAGGCCGCTCTGGGTGGCCTCTCTTCCACCAGCCCAACCCGAGGTCCCACTATCTCTTCCCCGTTCTCGAACTTGGTTTAGCGCGACGGCAATGTTCACTCAGAGCTCTCCACTTGGCTAAAATCCCAAATTTTAGTGCAAGGCGACACAAGTTGAGATCATCAATTGGATCCATTGTGCGCTTTCTTGCTTGAGGTGAGTGCACGCGATACACAGCACAGCTATCCGAGTTGATCCCTTCCACTCATTTGTGTCAATTGACGAGAGCGACAGTCCAGTTTTCCTTTTCGCGCCCTTCTTCACCAAGACTTTCCCATGGCCTGATGGCGAGAATAAATGCAAAAAGACGAAACGGCATCAGTCACTCGCTTGGCTTGCAAGGACGATCCTCCCTTTTGTGTCCCCCGCCAATGCCTGCCGGAAAAGGCGCGGATAACCAGGTGTTGTCACAAAACCCAGGCCCCAAAAATCCTTGACTCTGTTACCCCGGTGGAGTCTGGCCACGCTCTACTGGAGGCTTCCCTGTTCGCCCTCGCCCTCTCGAGGACCGATGGATCCTTAGCTCGTCGATGGATCTATAACGATGTGTGATATGACAAAGGGTGTCGCACATCAGTGATCATGTCAACCTCATCCCCTCTCTCTTGTTTCTGTCATCCCATCACCGAGGAAGGAAGGACACGGCTAAGCACCGATTCCTTCTGTATATCTCAGACTACTTGTATCCAGATTGATCCAAGTGATCATTTGATGCCGGTGCGACCTTTCCCCGACCTCTTCGACGTAAAGTTTGGTTCTCAACGAGCGCTTCGTACCAATCTTTTGGGCTCGCTCATAAAAATTTCGCTCGCTCTTGTCACCATCCACGCTGACAAGTACAAGAATACAAGTACAAGTATTTCCCGTCATCCACAAGGTGGATTGATGTGACCCAAAATGCCTTGTCCTGACAGGCCGGGCTGACGCTGAGATCTTCGACCGGGCCAATGAAAACGATGTCCCGTTGAAACAGAACCGGGGCCTCCCCTGTCGCCGGCTGCACCAAAATGCTCCCGAGCTCAATGGTGGGGAAGGACGTTGATTCGGCGTCGCCCCAGATCACAGTAGCCCAGCTTTTCCCCCTTTATCGCTCCTTCAGTCACGGTGTGGGATTTGAAGGGACAACTTTTGCACATTGGCTTGCTTTGGCTGAGTGACTAGCATCAATGCATGTCAAGCGGACGTTGTCCGCGAACGCGGATTTCGACTGTCCGCGGTGGAAAGAATAACGCTGCAGCGCGAGGGAAAAACACAATTCTAACGCCTCTCAGGCCTTCTCCAGGGGCCAAAGCTCCCCCAACCGAACAAGAACCAGATGATAAGAAGCTCCCAGCGCCAAAGCAACGTCTCTGGTCTCTGTTCACGGTGTGTGTGCCATCCATCCCTCACATCCCACCTCCGAGTATCACCCCCTCTATCACATCCGAGCATCATAGCGTGGGTGCAACCTCCCATCCAGGCCGTCTTCTTGCAATCTTATGGCTCGCCTTGATGGACTAGCACGCGCACTCACACACGCCCGCACACACGGCTGGGAAACGGGGTCATGCATATCTTCCTTGACGGGGCTGGTCTTGAATATTCTGATTGTGCTAGAGCAACATGTCAGAGATCTTTGGACCACCACCTTTACTTGTAGCACGCTGGTGGGGGAACAGGTTGAATCATTCGTACAAGTAATGGATGTGATAATGGTATCCAGAGTCGCACTCAGATCGGTATTAGGCCATGCCAAACCATGGCTCGGCTCTCTAAGCCACGAAGATCCCCCAAGAGCAGGTGCCGCCGAATGAGATTGTCCTGGTAATGGTAATGGAACAGTGAAGGTTTTTGGGTTCTCCGGGTTGGAATCTATCTGCGGCAACGGGAAAGCATGCGCCTTAACCTGGTCATCGCTTGCCGGTTTTACTACGAAGTACGACCAAGTATGATCTGGAGGAAGAAGAAAAGAAGCAGGGCCCACAGCGTTCGGTTCAGCCTGGTTCGATTTGGAGAAGACCAAGACTGCACGTTTTGTCCGGCACTTGAGACAATTTTCTTTGCGCAAAGGCTAGCCCGTCGCCTTGCCCAATTCGGAAGTCATGATGATCGTGGTGTGCTGAAACGACTCGCTGAAATTAGATCTAGCAAGGGATCAATTGCTAGCTTCGTCTCCTCCGCGAAGCCCTGTCCCGCGACTTGACGCGAAAGAGACGCGGGCGCGCTTCGGCTCTCAGAAGTGTCCAGTCCATCATCTCTGACAATGGCATTTCCTTCAAATCTTCGTCAGTGGGCCGAGGAAAATAGAGCGTTTCTGCGTATGACCTCGTTGCGCGGACAAGCGCCTGGCCACGTTTGGCCATGCCTTTTTCATACCGGCTTCGGCCGTGCGCTTGGAAATGTGGCAGCCATCGTCGAGCGCAAAGTCTATTTCCCGGCCGCCAACGCCAGGGACAAGTTTTTGCGCTCAAAAGGAAACCCACCTGTTCCCGAGGCCAAAAGGATGGCCCAGCCACCTTGATTCCACAATCCCTCACATGCGGCCCTCCAAATCAGAGGCCCAAACCGGCTCAAGTCCATTTACAAGGCATGCAGACGCATGCACCGATCAAGATCTTAGCGTCGTCCGTTTGCATGTCTATAATTGTCCTGACCGCCTCGTCTGTTCGCGGCGACCCCTCGGCGAGGTTAGAGCAGCTATGGAAGGAATCGAGAAAGGCCTGCGAGCCCCTCGGAGCAGATCCGACTGGAGTCATCAATGCAGACACTTCGATTGACATGTTCAAAGTATACAAGTCCATGAGCACCATTATGCACCTTACTCGACCATATGTGCATGTCGTTGAATTTTTAATTTTTTTCTTAAATGAGCACGACAGTCGGCAAACGCTTTTGTGGCGGTGAGATGGCTACCTTTGAATTCGGGATTTTGAAGGCTTTTGGGTTTCCTTCCTTTTGCCATCTCCTTCCCTCCCCGTTTCTCTTCTTTGCGTTCACTCATTGCTTCTTCCCTCCGGCCATGACCTCTTTTGGCTGACCCGCTGCTCCACCAAGGTCAATGGTCCATCATAAATTGCTTGGAAGAGGAGGTTTAGGAAACATCAATCGAACGATGGCGTAATGAACTGTCTCAGTTTTCGGCTTCGGGTGCCCAACCCGAGCCATCTCTTGTCGTCGTCGGCGTAGACGATGCGGGCAAGAAAACGAAATACAAGTTTTCTCATGTCACGCTTACATAGTCTGGGTCCGGATGGTGCTTCCGATGCGCTCTCGAAACTCCACCATGCCTCTATACTATGTTCAGCCGTGCTCCGTCGAAGCTCGCTAGAGCATGCGCGCACCCATCTCCCCCTTCTCCCCTTCGATTTTGCTCCTGCGCCCATGTGTATACATCTCTATCTTGCAGAGGACTTTTCCACTTGGTACTTCAAACTTGGAGAGTGTGCCCCTTCTTAAAGTTCTAGAAGGAACGGGTGTCAATTAACATGCCGCTCTTTATTGAGCAGGAAAAAGAAAAGGCCAAAGCGCACTTGAAATTGCTGTTAGTCAAGGCAGCGGTTGCGGCTTTTATTTCTAGTCCGATAGTTCTACTCTCCTTTTCCGTATAAAAAAGAAAATAAGAAAAGGTTCCTTCTAAACGAGAGTGAGACGGTACACATCGCTACGCTCATTACTCGCAGTCGGCCCCGCCCAAAAAGAGAGATTTACTGTCCCAGACTACCTCGGTAGATGAAGTGGTCCTTTACTATTCCCGCACAATCTCCCATGGGACGTTGTGGAGGAGACAATGCTCGCTTCCGAGACATGTTTGTTGTTCTTTGTTTAACCCCCATGACTGCTGGCCGCCTTCCAAATCTTCAATGTCGTAGCCTTAACTGCCCAGTCTTGAGGAAACCCAGATTCAGACTAACCGCGCCTTGTTGTTCGTCGCCGAGGAAGAGCAAGGGAAGAAGAGGGGGAACCTTTGTCTCTGGGTTGCCGAGACACTGGGGCTAGAACCCCTCACCCCGCCTCTGTCCCGCTCCAAAGACCACCTTCGCTCATTCTTTCCGTGTAGGGGCGAGATAGACGATGTGTATGACGTGGGTGTGTGAACTTTGAGATCTCAGCTTGGTAGAGATACGAACGTCGGGGGCTCGCGTCCGACGACGTCGAGCCAGGAAAACTGGCTTTTGTTCATGGTATCTCTGGAACATGGAATATAGATCTAGATGCTATGGATACTGCTGTGGGTGACGAAAGGACAAATGTGGCATGCTACTCAATGTCATCCCCCTTGTATCATCTCACATCCTCAGTGCTTTGACTTCTAGGTTGGGGCAGCAGCGTAGATAGAACTACCACTAGGGGATAGAGAGTAAGCCGAGGTGACGCGGAGACGTAAGTGGACGGCAAGGGCTAGTATACACCTCCTAGAGCAACGATAGGCCACCAGCTCCATTGCGGATAACGGATGGTAATCAGGCTCAAGCAAGATCGAAGAGAGTCACTGGGGGCGCGAATGCGAAGTGGCATGGGGTCATTGGGGTCCAAGCAAAGTATCGGCTGAAATATGTATTGTATATACGCTGGAACTGGGCTAGACAGCCACAGTTTTCGACCTTTGAGTGGAAACAAAACAAACCGCTAACGCCAAACATCTTTGTCTGCCATGGAAAGCGCTGAGGAAAAGAAGAAAGGACAAAGGAGGACAGGCTGCCTTTCACCTCGGAAAAAGGCGAAATCGCGAGCTGGCTAGAGATCGTCCTGGAAGAAGAACTCCTCGCTCCCGTCATCATACTCATCGTACTCGTCATACAAATCTTGCTCATCATTCCCTGGCTCCCCGCCGCGCCATCCGGTAGCTCCGCCCCAGCTGCTTTTTCAAAGTTCTCGTCGTCATCGTCCACGTCGAGAATACCTCGAATCTCCCTCTCTCCGTTCGCGAGCTCTACCACGACGAGTTTCCACGCCGCGTCGCCAGCCATCTTCTGCAGCCTCTTCTTCATATCATCCACGAGACTGGGGTTCAGATCCATGGCCTTGAGCTGCTCATCGGTGAGCTCCTCGTGCTTGCCTCCATCCTCCAAGCTTGTACGGCTCGCTAGGATTTGGATGCGGGACTTGGTCTTGGACTTGCCGCTGCCGACGCCGCGGGGAGGTCAAGGTTGACCGACGAGACGCCCTCGCCGTCGGAGGCGAGAATGTTCTGGCCACCAACCACAATACCACCAACCACGGGGGTGGAGCAGCGGGTTAGAAACGAGGGTATTGCCTTGGGGGCCTTGCAGGTGCGCGTTGGTCATCGCATCAACCGCTTTTGGGGAGTAGGAATTTATATCCTCGACGGTCAAGATGGGCCTACATGTGATGGGATTGGCCTTCGTCTCCTTCGGGGGAAGGAACGCAACATCACTGCAGAGCCTTGGCGTATTTACTTGCATGAGGTAGGCGCAGGTCGTGACCTCTTTGACCCAGCTGATACGCTCCGTCTTCAGGGTGGGCATGCACTGATATTGGATCTCAATCGTACGTTCGCGTCCCGTCAGGTCGCAGATGGTTCCAAGACCCAGCCTCTGAACGAGGAATCTCTGTTCTCCCTTGACCTGTAGCTCCGTGTTGGGGGTTGTGTGGGGCTCTGGCCGTCAGTCGTTGCAGGGCTACCTTCCTCCTGCTGTTGGGTTTGCTGCTTCTTCTTGGCGCCTTTCGACTTCTTCCCCGGCTCGTAGCCCGGTGCGCGGCCGAGTATATATGCTAGGGTATCAGGGTCCTGAACGGGCGGACGCCCATCTGGGATATGTGGCAGGGCATGGTACTGCACAATATCTTTGCCGTAGCAGAACCTATAGCTCCACCAGCCATCGATGTGATGTATGCATTCGTTCTCAAGCGGCTTCAAGAGTTCCCATCCACGCTGTGATGCCCTCTGAATCTCCTTTGCCTCCGCGGCCTTGGCTAGATCGGCCGCAGTCTGGTTCTCAGGCCTCGCTTCTTCGAGGACCGGTATCGAGCAAAGATAGCGGTTTGGCGGCAAATTCATGAGCTCGTAGGCGAACTTGACGTGTCCCGCATCGTCTGCGCCATGACCGGCATCTCCTCCATCCGCAGGCCGAGTTCTTTCTACAAGGTCCGACGGGGAGGAGAAATCGGCGCTGTACGTTGGTTCAGCATTGACGTGGTCGAGTATCGATTGGGCGGCATGTTCGGAGATGAAGTCCTCGGAAAATATTACGTCAAACTATCCAGCCATTACATTAGCTCCACACGCTCTTGGGAAGAAACGTAGAATTCAAGTGACGAACCTGTGGGTGTGCGTAGAGGTCGTCATGTATGCTGAATTGTCGCTGGAGCGCGACCGACTGCTGAGCCAGCGCCAATAGAGGGAGGCAAAGACGGCGCATTGTGCCGGGTGTTGTCATCTCAGCTTCACATGAAGGATGGGCGATACCCTCCGAGTCGTCAAGCGTGGGCTTGTTCACACTAATCACCCTTCTGGAGCTCGATATCGGGAGAAGACCAGGAGCACCTCACGTCGTCATCAATGGCTTCACAACCGTCTCACTGCTATGCTGTCAGGACCCACGTCAGTGGTAAAGTGGCATCTTCTCCCTGGTAGCTTGGATTAGACCGACAATTTGCCGAGAGAAATGACAAAGAAATTCTTACTCATCCATTTGGAGGGGCGACGAGAGGAAGCATTTCAAGGATGAGTCAGCGCTTTCGAAAGTCGGGAGCTCCAAGTTCCCACCATGCTCCGGAACGTTCGATCAGTGTATTACAAGGCCTCCTGCTTTTGTCGCCAGCTCGAAAATCATTCCTTTGGTTGAACGCCGTATCCGAGGATCTTGGCTTTCAAGGTTGAAGTAGAAGCTACAAAATCAAGGACAGAATGACCATGCATTTCAGTTCCAAGTTGATAGATTAACCCACTCTGTGCTACCTGAGAAGGCAATCATTGGGCCTCAGGGAGGCCCAACTTGACCTGGGCGCCAGATTCGGTTTCGGTGAGGCACACTGCAAACTGCCTCGACATCTTCGTCTTACGCGGCAACGGCGAGCCTGACGGGGTCAAACACCGAAAGTGGAAAAATCCAGCTCGCCGTATGGAACAATGAAAAGGAGGGAGACTAAAGTGGGGTGGGTTGCTTTTTCCTGCCGCACACAAATGCGCGGGTATCCTTTCAACATTTGCGTAGCTCGTGCCGCTTCAAGCTGTGCTCCCTCGTGGAGGAGGGAAAAACTCCATTTGATTGTGAATGGAGCCTGGCGGATGCGTCTCTTTCTCGATCTGCCCCTCCAACCCCCTTTTTTCCCTTTTCACTCCAAGATGAGACTAATCAGCAATAACATTTCGCTCTTCTCTTCTTGGTGTCGTGCACCAACTTGACGTCAATCACATTCAGATGCATTTCTTTTTTATATTTACAAGTTAGGGGTGATTTAGCGGCGGTCGCTGATTTGGGTGATGAGGACTCTTGCCCGGGCCATTCGTAACTCGATGGATCAGACAAAGTGGATGGAAAAGACAATGGGGACGCAACTGGGTTGCCGAAGAGCACATCTGTGTCGTGCGTTTGAAAGTCCGTTTGCCACTCTCGAAGTACTTGTCAATGTGCAAGCTCAACCGCTTTTCAGGTCCAAGTTTATTAGCTGATTGCCGACTGAACAACTGTGCGTAGCCGGGCGGTCGGTGTTTGGGAACGGCCTGGCTGGAACGCGGGTTTTGTGGGGTCGCAAACATGGAGAAAGGAAACTCGACGACCGAGAAAGCAAAGTGCAAGAGACATAGCCCGCTTGTGCCCAGAGGAAGAGGAGGCGCAATGAGGCCCGTGGTCCTCGAGGAACACTTGCATCTCGCTTCTTATCTAGAGTGACACGCAATGGTTTCCTGTTTCTGCACCGCCGTCCCTCTGGCGCCATCATCGAGGACCGGCTGGTCAGATTCGACTTCTGCCATTTTCTGGTAACGACGTGTCATGAAGGTTTAGGCGTGCCACCGCCGTTTACAGAGCTTACAGAGGAGCAAAACTCGAGTACTGTGCACTCGGTGACTATGCTGGGGTATCAGTGCGTCTACTCCTTTGCACATCTGGGCGAGGAGAACAGCGACGAGCCAGTGTCTGCATAGGTCCATCACATCCATCTCATATCAATACAAACAATAGATCCAATGGGTGAGTAGAAATTAGGGTGGCCCAGGCATGACAAAGGCGCTGGTCCAACTCGGACTCACAAAGTCCCTCAAAAGGTGCAGAGCTAACGGAACATCCCAAGCATTCTTGGCGATTTTGGCTTTCCGTCTTTCTCACCGATAGTCCGTCACTCATTGCCGTCCTTCTCTTTTCGAAAGGGAGGCTGTGGCTGGCTGCGGGTGAACTAATAAGACAGGACGGGTGAAATTCACAGTGTAGGAATGCCGAGAACAAGCACTCAAGCGAAACGGATAGAGGGAGGAGGTGAGGTGATTAGGAAACAGGAAAGGGATGCGTGACCAAGCACGACAGTAGCACAAAAAGAACATTGGATAATAGGACGTAATACTGAGACGACACAATTGATGCCTAGAGAAGGTGGCTTCGTGACCTCAATGCCTCGTTGTGTCGGTCCCGAATCAAGCTGGGTGTCACGTCGACCGCCTCACTTTTGCGAGGAATGTCGTCCAATCAGTCTTGCTCCACCCAAGTGCCAGCTCATAGGTCGAGATGGAGGGTGGCCGAGATACCAAGTACAAGTAATACAGGAGGATCTCTCAATCTCTCCTTTCAGACACGCGGGTGCTGCACTACAAGGGTCGGCCTCGATTATGTAACCCCGGTGCTTCCGTCCAAATTTGCGGAAGGTGGGGAAAAGGGTGGGCATGGCTTCGGTCGAATTCCTGTCGGGAATTGATCAAGTGCACAGTTGGGCAATGGCGTGGCCCCGAGTCCCCAAACAACTTCAAAGTCCTAGCTCCTCGGGCGGTGTTGAGACCGCCACCTGGTTTTGGTACAACCTGCTTCGAGCACAGCCCCCTATTCATCGAAGACAACTGCGCTGCGAATTCAGGCACCAGGCCTCAATACACTTGGCTTTTGTCTTGTTCAATCTCTTGATGGGATGGCCAATCTTCTCACTGCGGTGTCAGTGTGCGGAAATGGAGTGTACATTGTATTAGTCGGTTGACCTAGAAAGTTCGGAGAACAATCCCGTCTCCAGCTAATAATATCGATACTCTTTCACATTAGTGAAATTGAGGGAAGTCGCTGAGCCTCTTGGACCTGGCTGGTCCATGGCCTTAATAATGCGGTGTTAATAAACAGTGTCATGATGTGGACCGAAGGCCTAGAGGTAATACCCACTTGCCCCTGGAAGGGAAGGTCAAATTGGGCCGATTCGACTGGCGATCCTCATCCATGCTCAAGACGGACGGTGGGCGAGGAGCTGGACAGTTTTCCAATCGGAAGCAGCCGCGTTTGCCAGGCTGGCTGGCCCATTGAAACTGGGGGGCAGACGGAAAGAAGCAAGGTGTGATATCAATTGTGTGATGCACCGCAGCTGCACAAACAAGGTCGGCGGCCAGTGAAAAGTCGAAAGTAGCTTCTTGCTCGCAGGCTGGGGTGCTAGGAAGTGGCTCGGCTAGCGGGGAAGAACCCAGAAGAACCGTCGTCATCCACCCACGATGATGGCAGCAATTGTGGAATATTGTTTAGCCAGCTCTTCATGCTATCACTCACGCGTTCTTATCTTCTTCTGAGACCAACCGAGGTTCGAGGGTTTCTTCTGACCATCCTCATCCCGATCCAATGTTCGTAATCGTTGATGAATTGGGATCTGTCTCTCTCTCACTTGCAAGTGACAGGAAAGGCGTCCTTTTTTTGCATATGCCAGGATGCACAATGGTTTGTTAGCCTGGCAAGCCTGGCCCCTGGGATTGACTCGCGTATTAGTGTTATCGATAATGGTAACACCCATCCGAGTTTCTTTTGATGGGAATCGCCCGGCTCTAGCAATGCGTAGAGGATCAATCCCTGATTTGTCGATTGGCGTCACCCATGGCTGTGTAAGGGCGTTTATCCAACCCACATCTAGTCAGATACTCTCTTTCGAGACAAGAGCTCACATTGATCACACAATCGGGACAGTATCGTACCACCGTCTGATTCTTTTCTTTTCTTTGGTTTTTTTCTTTCTCTCCCCCTTCGCAAGCTGAGGCTGTCTTGTTGGGGAGGTTATGGCACTTCGGCGACCCTGGCGAAACGCGCTTTGGAAAGGGTGGGCTACCACCCGCCGAAATCACGGTGTAGACTCTTCATCATGATGGATCATTTGTCTTTGCAAGTTGCTCCTCCGCGGGACGACAGGAGATGGAAAGGCGGCACACTCGTCAACGCATAATTGCAAAGTGGACATGTGCAGCTCACCTGTCTTGGTTTTCGTCGATGGAGAAACGTCGAGGGATGCGTAGTATCAACTAGCCGAGCGAGCGGTGGGTCGCAATGGGTGGCGACTATTTCCTGTTCCTGGCACGAATGGTTTTGGAACGACCACGCTTAACTGGTCAATCGTGTCGATAGACTAGAGGTTGCAGATCACCTAAATCATACCGAAGACTTTCAACTCGGAAGGTCGCCTATTCTCGCCTACATGTATCGTCTGGCGACAATAGCTTGTTCACCTCTCGACCACAGGGACGTGCTCGGGTTGGTCAGTCCTTGATGGGGGGATATTAATCACGCTTGCACAATGGTCTGGCCACCGGAGTGTTAGACCGCCAGTCCGCCAGTCCGCCTAGATACGCCAGCCTGCGCGAGCGCGAGCCTGCGTAAGAAATACATTGATGGCGAGTAAATTCCCCGGCAGCTCGCTGGCGTGCGTAGCCCTCGAGTGGGACGGCCGGTTTCGTGGATGCGCAAATGTGTAGTGCGCACCTCGGGACGAGGTGATGGGTGGATGGATGGATCGATCCATCCAATTCATCCATGTCCATCCCAGATGGCTCAGATGGCTTTGGAGAGCAAATGAACGACGCCAACCCCAATAGGCCGGCGGTGGTCAGTCAAGGAAAGTGCAGCTGGCACAGGCGCGCAGCAGCGCAGCAGCGCATAGCACCAAGCACTGAACCCGACTGGTCCCTGCACTTTCGAATGCAACTGCGTCTCATCGCTCACAGGTACGAGGTACCTCGTACTTGGATGGGAGCCATCGTTTGTGATGGATCAAGGTATTCCATTCTCAGTGTTGATCTACGAAGTCGCTCTCCCCCACCACCTCCCACGCAAGAGGTACAGCGGAGTCCCATAGACTTGGCAAGCTCAAGCCCGATGCCCCCAGTCTGCCTGCATGGTCATTTGGCGACGCCTCACTTTTTGACTGGCTCTCGTTATGAACGGCTTTTCCTAGCATCTTGACCTGGCCAAGCTGGCCTATTAATTCCATCGCCCGTCCGCCTTCTCTTCTCCACCCTCTTGTACTTTTTTTCTACTTCAGTTTTTAGGCATCGTTCATTTTGTTATCTATCAACCCAGTTTCAACAAAAGAATCTAGACGAAACCTAGATTCTTCCCTTCCCCGTTCCCACGTCCAGGAACCAATCTTGGCCGATTCCTTATTCGTCTTGTCGAGAAGCTGGTCTGAGTTCTCGCCTGACCTCATCAAGAGCCTAACGTCGGGCCATCAGTAGCTCGCCCTTATCAATAGAGGGAGAGAAGACTTGGGCCCTGTCCACCGTTCATCTTCCAATTACCAGTGATTTGCTTTTTGACCGCGAACCGGCAAGTTGCAGCTTCTGCCGTCACGCGACCCTGCCCTCGTCCTATTTAAAAGAGAGTACTGCCTCAACGCCAAAGGCTCTCAAACATCTACCTGATATGGCTACCACCCAGGACCAGATTCGACTTGAACTTCAAGACATCGCTGGAATGAAAGACTATCAGTTCATCAAGCAACGAGAACGCACTCTCCGCAACTCGCTCAGGCAGACACAGCCGCACACACACCACGTCGACAACGATGAATCCATATCGCAACATGGCAATACCTCGAGCTTTTTCGGCTCAAGGAATTCCTATCCAAAGGGGGTGCCTGTCGCAACTGCGGCGCAGGCTACTATCTCATCGATACCTGGAGGACCGTCTGGCCCGGTCCTCGCCACCACATCCATCGCGCTCGACAATGCTATGCTGGTAAGTCTCTCCCTAGTTGGTCTTCAAGCCCTTCCCTAAGCTTGCCGCAAATGTCTAAAGGCTTGCCAGCGATCATGTTCTGCCCAGTCGCAGCCCATGAGCCGAACCGTCTCGCAGTTGTCGGATCCCTCTAAGATCGCCCATGGCGGGAGTCTTCGGGGCGCCTATGGTCCTGATGAAGAGACCCAAATCTACTCGGATACCCAGCTCTTTATCAGCAACCCAACCCGCTCTATGATACCTCGTCTTGCTCACGTCCGGGAAGATGCTCGTCTAGATGTGGGACAGAATCCGTCGGACTACTTGACCTCACTTAGTGAAGAATACCCTGCCGCTGGCTTGATGGAGACCTATTACACTTCCCTAGACGACAACGACGGCTTCGTCTACCCTAGTGGCAGTGGTGCCTCAACAAGCCCATCTCTTGCGTCCGCCGACTCGCTTCAGGCTGATACAAGCCTTCTAAGCAGGAACAACAGCTCGTTTGGTTACGTCTTTATGGACGAGGCCGGCGCATTGCCCATCAGCAGGACCCCGAGCTGCGAATCCTCGGCTTATAACTCGACGTATCCAGGACATGCCACAGGGGCCTTGGTAATGACACCCCCGTACGACACGGATGGTCCGCTAATGGATCGCAATTCCATGGGCTCCCACGCTGCGAAATTACACAGCGGTGCCTCACTGAGCCTTACACCTGAATCTACCGACATGTTCCGTTCCATTTCGAGCAGCAGTGTGAGGTCCACCGCTTCATACCAAGAGCGTCGCGCCAGGGAAGCGTTGGGGCGTCAAATTCACAACGGCTCGCGTATCACGATTGCTCCTCGGGATGGCCTTGATGGTGTCGAATCAGCACCCACCCGTGCCTCCCTGCCCAGGTCGAAGTCGTCCGCTTCGTCAAAGAGGCACAGCACTCTGGCTACTCAACACCCACAACACCGGCGCAAAGTGGCCAAAGTGTTTTGCGAGAGCTGCAACGAATATCCTGACGGGTTTCGTGGCGAACACGAACTTCGGAGACATACCAACTCCAAGCACGCAGAAATGATCACCAAATGGGTGTGCCGTGATCCTTCTTCAGTTAGCATCGAATCCAACCTCAAGGCTATTCAGCCTTTGGATAAGTGCAAGGCCTGTATTTCGATGAAGAGATACGGAGCCTACTACAACGCCGCCGCTCATTTGCGTCGGTCCCACTTCAAGAAGCGAACTGCGCGCGGAAAGAAGCGAGCCGACTCAAAACAGCAAGGCTCGGCCAAGGATCTTCCTGCCTGGCCCCCGATGGAAGACCTCAAGCACTGGATGACCAAGATCCGCGTTCGCAAGGACGATGGAAAGCAAGTCTCCAAGTCTGATGAAGGAAGCAAGGATGCTGCATTCGAACACGAGGATTCGGAGGATGAGGTGCTCTCAGACCCTCTCGACCAGGAGATCGAGTTCGTGACCTCTGGAAATGGCGGGGCTTTTATTGAAGGTTCACTTGACGCGAATACCTACCCTGGATCTATCCAGGATCTGGATTCCGTTGACACGATGATCGATGCCTTCGATACCTTTGATGAGGCCCCACGCGCTTCCCTTCTGTCCTCATCCTGCGCTCAATACGACATGGCAGCTTACCCCCAGTCGTCCTCTAGCCGTCATTATCTTGGTACACTTTCGCCGATTTCTTCCCAAGGCGCCGAGCCCTCGTTTTCCTATTATTAATCGGACAGTCTCGGCCCGCTAATGGGCTGCTATGTCTTTTTCCCCATCACCATCACCAGCGTTAATGCGACCACCGTCCCCCTCGTCCGATCTAGTTCTCCCGCAAGGAAACTTGTTCACCAACATGAAATCTCCCAAAAGAAAAACCCCAAAAAAAAACCTGGACCTTGAAACAGCCTCGTCCATATGATCTGCCTTTGGGTTCATCACGTTTCGCTTTTCATTCGCCTTTTCTTTGCTCGTTGGAAGTCTACCGTTATCTTGATTTTACCGGTCTCTTCAGCTTGGCTTCGGATTTTCGGTTATTTCGCCCTTTTTCTTTTACTCCTTTTTTGCTACTACAGAGCCCTCGCCCCTAGGCGAGTCTGTTGCCGCTCATTTACCGCAATCTTGTATTCTTCTTTCCTTTTTCATCACTCTATCTGCTTCCCTCCGTTGGGGGAGCATGAGACGTTATCAACGACGACGCGAGCCGGTGGGGGATACGTTTACAACACCACAATACTCAGCGATTCTAACGCTATATTACCCGATTTGCCTTGGACGTTCTGATAGGCCTAGGCTCTAGATCTGATGGATCTGGATGCTGCCACAGCAGACAAATCAGGGCACCCACGTTGCGTTGCTTGTTCCCTTACCCAGTGGATCTCAACTCTTGCATGATGCAGGAGCTGTCAGCTATAGGCTTGACACACCGAGTTCTCTCCTGGGGGCACCTCCTTTTTTGCAGAGGGGTGCAAGCACACGCTTTTCTAATGACTACTGGCTCCTTGAAGTCGACTGCACTTCAAGAGCTAGTTTATACGTTTTGCGCGGGGGCTTTTCAAGCTACAAAGCCCTCGTCATCTTATGCTTCCGTTCAATTGAACTTGCGCGGAACCAGAGTACGAACTCTGGTCAGTTGGTATTCTTACCTGTTTTAATATCCCTTGGCTGGACTTGAGGGAATCACGATGATTATGACCAAGCGTTGCTTCTTGCTTTCTTTTGTCTTTCTGTTGCATAGCGTTGGCGTTTTGATTTTCCCCTTCATTCTTGGTTGGGGCATGGCTAGGAATGGGCATTACAGAACATAGGACCAAAGATGGTTCGAGACTCTTCTTTCTTCTTGGGCGTACTAGGAGCCGGTATGGCTATCCGGGGACAGGGTCGCAAGTTCGGCCCCTACATGGAGGGTTTATAGCACTCTTTGAGTGTTTCTCACGATATAACGATGGAAATGGCATGACATGGCTAGGTCTCTAGAACATGATAGATGAATGTATACTAGCACACTAGAGTCCTGAATCTGAAATAGATTGGACTTGTAAACAAAGAGATAAACCCTGCCTTTACTGGTAGATGATGAGCTCAAAGAATCAAGCTAAAACAAAAACTTGCTTTGTTTGTTCTTGCTAAAGCATCTAGTTGATAGGCCAGTGGCGGCTTGATCCAGTGGATGTCATGTGACTACCACCACACGTGCACAGTCTCATCTTAATGAATCAGATATCTTCAAGTTGCAGACTTTACAGCTGTGACCACTTGCTTAGCAGCCTTTTTGTAGCTCAAACTGGAGAAGGGAAAGGGCAAGCAACTAAGCTTTTTCGCGACCGACCGGAAAAAGACGAAAGGCCATCGTTGTCAAAAGAATTCCTCCATTTCTCTACAATCCTTCATCTTCTATCCCCCTCTTCTTCTCGTCTTCTCATCACCTACACTAGTGGTTCCCGACCTGTTTCCTTCTCAAAATCCACACTTGATTTTCTACCGTGTGCCTTGAAGGCCAGCTGAATTCTTCTAAAGGACCAAAGGAGAGCTGCCGAAGACTTAAACACGTCAACGTGTCGGCTGCCACGACCAGCCCCCTTGAAAGCAGAAAAAGTCGCGACGAAGACTCTTTCCTAAACATTGAAAAAAGCATCGACCACACAACTATCAGCATCCGCGCGCGAGGAAGTTTATCGAGGGAGAGGGCAAGGCGTCCTTTGACGTTTCTTATCCTCGTAATTGCCTAGGCAGAAACGACATCTCTAATCCTGAACCTAACGGCTGTACATGTGACCTTTTTTTCTACCTTCTTGCGAACGCCTGTCACCAATAACTTGACATTAAAAGAAAAGCCTTTCATCGTCGACACACCCCTTTATGGATTGAAAACAATTCCCTATTTTCTCACGCACATCAATTCTTCTATCGCGACAATGTCAACACAAACCCCAGATATTCAATCTATCCTAGCGGCGCTGGGTAAGTGCCTTGATTTGAAGACAACCATCTGCCCCACCCCCAGCCCTGAAACTAATTCCTCTCTTTTTCTGTCATCAGCTTCACAACGCCAAGCGCCTCAAGCAGGAGGCCAGGCTCCCGGACAACCATACCCCTCATCCGACCAGCAAGCAGGATATCACGCGCCCTCTGCGCCTGCGTCGTATGGCGCCCCTCCAGGTTACGCGATCCCCCAGCCAGCCGCGTCTGGTAGCATGGATCTTAGCGCTATTCGCCCTGTGAATTCTGGGACCGTAAGCATCGCAGACGCGATCGCCAAGGCCAAGTCTTATGCTGCTGAAGCTGGTGTTGCCTCGTATGACCGCCCAGCTGGTTATTCGTCTCACAACGGACGAGGAGATGGACGTGATAGCCGTGACTATCGCCGTCGTAGCCGCTCGAAGTCGCCTGCTGCCCGCCGTGAAAACTATCGTGAAAACTATAACCCTTACAGGGATGAGCGCCGGGAGGAGCGCTCGCGTGACTATGCCCAACCAAGCAACCGGTTTTCTCCAGATGATAGAAACCGTGGTGGCGCGCACCGTAACTCTAACGGAAGAGATCGACCATCGTCGCCGTCGAGGGGCTCTGGTGGTATGGGGGCCGCTGGCGGAGACGACAACTCAGAAACTATTCATATTGAAGGCAACCTAGTTGGCCTGATTATTGGCAGACAGGGTGAGAACCTTCGGCGTATTGAGAGCGAGACCGGTTGTCGTGTGCAATTTCTTGGCACCGCGGATAACTCGCCAATGCGACAGTGCAAGATAACCGGGCCTCGTGCTCGCCGTGCAGACGTGAAAGAAGCCATCGATCGTATTATCCGTGATACCGGCGTTGGTCCTGCCAGCCGAGGAGGGCCCGCGGCGGATCGAGGGGCACCCGCACCCGTCAAGGACCAGCGTGGGGGAGCGGCCGCCCTCCGAGAGGGCGAGGACCACATGCAGATCATGGTCCCTGACCCTACGGTGGGTCTAATCATCGGTCGCGGTGGGGAAACGATCCGCGATCTTCAAGAAAGGTCAGGTTGCCACATTAACATTGTCGGCGAATCCAAGAGTATCAATGGCTTGCGACCAGTAAATTTGATTGGATCGCTCGAGGCTGCCCAGAAAGCGAAGGACCTGATTATGGAAATTGTGGATAGCGACAGCCGCGGCGAGGGCGGTGCCACCGCAGCGGCGCCGCATCCCCCAAAGAGAAATTTCGGAGGACAGGGCGACTCTCACTCGTACGGCCACGAGAGCAGGTCCGGTCCTCCTCACCGTGGTGGTGACGGCGGTGGTAGCGGAGGCCCCAGCGGCGACAAGTCGCAGGAAATCATTCGGGTTCCATCGGATGCTGTCGGTATGATTATCGGCAAGCGAGGTGACACCATCCGCGAGATCCAGAACGTGACGGGCTGTAAAATCAATGTATCCCAATCCTCGGGCGAGGGTGAGAGTGAGCGAGAGATCACCCTCATTGGTGCCCCAGACAGCATAAGCCGCGCTAAGCGAGCTATCGATGAGAAGATTGATGCAGTGGTAAGTGATCACGGCGGTCCTCGGTGGCCCTCCTTTTCTTCCCCAGGCCGTTCTCGCGCCTCGCTTTGCGTCTCTAACCAGTCTTTTTGCAACTCTAGCGTATGAAGGGCTCTGGTCCCAGTGGCGGTGGAGGTGGTGGCCGAGGTGGTGGTCGCGGAGGAGGCGGTGGTGGTGGTGGTGACCACGGAGGATACAACAGCCATCATTCTGGTGGTCCCATGTCCAACTCTGCCCCTCAATCTAACCCACCCCAGCCCCAGGCTGCGGCCGACGGCTCGGATCCGTATGCTCAGTGTAAGTATCTGCCTTTCCCCGTGTTGGTGCCTTGCTTGTCAAGAAACGTATCCTAACGTAGCAACTATTCTAGATGGCGGGTATCAGAATTATCTTACCATGTGGTATGCGCAGTGGCTCGGGTCTGCCGGAGCCAACGCCCAAGCACCCGGAGACGCCAGCCAACCACGGTCTGGGACCCAGTAGGCCGAGCAGGCGTGCCCTCTTTGGACATGCTGATGACCTTGATTCTTTGATCGATGTTTGGCCCATTCCGTGATGGTGACTCGAATCCTTTCCCTGTCTTCTTCATCACAACTCGCGTTGATTTTGATTCCCCCAAATCCTTCTCATTTTTATCCCCTTCCCTGCCCTCTTTTGGACGAGATGATTTCCTTGCCTCTGCATGACATCATGATACCCCGTCGTTGAAACCTTTTCCTTTAACACACGATGCAATTTATTTGCCCATGACTTGACACCTGCGGAGGGTGAGGCGTGCGGTTGGAGCACGCGCCCTTCTTCGTTTTCTAGAAGAGTTCATGCGTCCTTGATTATGTTCCTGGATGTCCCTTGCTGGCCGCTGACGGCGACGGGTTGAGTCTCGTTCGTGACCGGCCTAGCCTATGCAACATGGGATGCAACGAGGATTTCAAGGTGACGCCATGAGCCAACACTTGCTTGTATCCCGATGCTCCGTGAAGATGAGCACATCTATCACGGCTTTGAACGACAGGCCCGATGATGTTCTAGGGAACTTTGTTTTGGGCGGCACCTCGTATTCCTTCTAACATTTTATCGCTGTCGCAACGACTCACAACAGTGTGACGCCCAAGGCTACGAGTACGCTCGAAGTGCGTGACAGACAGCCCACCCAACACGTGCGTCTTGGTCGAGACGGGGCCAACGCCCAGGTGCGACTGCGACTTACTTGCGAGCCTGTTCTTGTCTCACCATCCTTTTGCCGCTGAATTCCTTTTCGAATGATCACCTGACTCTTGACGTACTCGCACCCAACATGGGAGAACGGAGCATCTTTGTTTCGCTTTTTAGCACCAAGTGCTTTCGTTGCTCTACTGGCCTATCTACGTGTGTGCTAATTTGGTTGCTGGCCCTCTTGCCGCACGTCTCGTCTAATGATATCGTGCCTGTCGGTCGGCCTATTGCTACAAGGAAGTTTTGGACGATGCACTATCCGCCCCTTAGGCTGGTGGACTTAAATCGGCAGCGTGCTTTTGCAAGTCGTTTTTTTTTTTTTGCAGTCGCGTGTTCAGCATCACCGCGCTGTGGAACATATCGAAAACTCACCCAGGCCCATGTGACGAGTGACGCCCTAAGTAGAATATGCATTCTATGTCAATTGTCTCTGATTTTTTGAGAAAGATTCACTCGACATCCTGAGACCTCGCTCGTCCCTCAGCTTCCCGAGGAGAACCTAACAAAGGAGAAACAAAACAAAGGGAAAGCCAGGCGAAAGGACTGGTCATTTGTACTTCTTCTAGCTTACCTGTCCATGACAAGCCGTCCTGCTCTCTCAGAAAAGAAAGAAAAAAAAAGAAAATAATGATAGGACCAGCAAGGGAAAACTACAACGAAGAAAAACTACAACTCTCTCAATGGAAAACACAATGGTTCTTTTAGGCTTCTTCTCTCTCAAGGTGTTTGCTTTTCTTCAACTTCAAATTCACTGTATTACTTGATGGGGGTTTCCTTTTTTCTTGCAATGGTAGGAGGTGGAGGGGGCTTGCTTTGTTTTCTTTTCTTATTTCCTTTACGATCGTTGCCATTGTCTCACATACTGATGCTATCAGGTTAAGGAGGAGGGAGGCTTAGTCTAGTTTCTGTTTCTGTTTTTTTCCTTTCATACATGTAGTGATGACAATCAATGGAGTTCATGCTTGCTCCTTAAGATGTCGAGTACACTGACTGTAGTCTACCTCAGTGGTTGAGCATTCTGGTCCTCTTGATGTGTTCTTGTGATGCTAGCTTTTCAATTATTCACTGTGCTTTACTTGACCCTATGTATGAGAGTATGTTGGACAAGTCATAGGCTCCTGCTCTTGATGGACTTCAATAGTTCTTTTTATGCCATTATAGCGCCATGGATGTGCTTTTGGTCACTTGCTCAAACGCCTAACTAGGAAGTATAAAACAAAATCCTCTCTTGGAAACAAGAGACCAAAACACATGAAAAGAGAAGAAAAATGAACCCCTCCTAGAGAGAACAGGGCGGGAAAGGAGCCCCCGCCAAACAGTCATCTCCCAGGTCCCTCGTCGCATCTCCCCCATCGCCTACTAGTCTTGAAGACAGCCTCCGCCGCCGCCGCCGCCCTCGAAAGGGAATCAAAAGAAAGGAGAAGGCAAGGAAGAGGGAAAACACAAAGCAACCCCGTTACCGCGCCTGTTCGTACATGTCTCAGTGGCGGCCTCCCTCTTCCTCCCGGGCTGGCTCCCGTACGTCCGCCGGCCTTGGACCTTGGCGTCGCGGCCGCTGGCGCCGACGACGACGTCGACGCGGGGGTACGGGGAAACCAAAGCTCTTGGCGACCTTGGCGAGATCGAGCTTGTTGACGTCGAAGACGGTGCGGAGGAGTGGGAGGCGTAGGCGTGGAGATAGGAGCGGTAACCCTCCTTGGCGCTCTTGTTGAGGTAGTAGTTTTGGGCAATGAGCTTCTCGAGCTGGGACTGCACGTTAATGACCTTTTTCGACGGGAACTCGAACTCGACAATGGGGACGCGCGCGGCTTTGAGATGCGTGAGGAAGCCGACCTCGTTGGGCTGGAGGAACATGAGCGAGCGGCCCTTGGAGTTGGCGCGGGCGGTTCGGCCGACGCGGTGGATGTAGTCGCGGGGGTCATCCGGAGGGTCGAACTGGACGATCCAGTCGACGGCGGGGATCTGTGGCATGGGAGAGAGTGTTGTCAGCAAGGCAAAATAAAGAGCAGGTGTTCGACTGGCGAAGGGTAACTCGACGAAGCAAGAGAGAAAGAGCAAGAGAGGCGGTTTGGAAGGAAGGAATGGTGTGATGACAAGGGGGAATGGAAGGGGTGGAAACTCACGTCGAGGCCACGGGCAGCAACGTCGGTGCAGATGAGCGTGCCTTGCTTGGCGTTGCAGAATTCGAAAAAGGTATTGGTCCGCTTCTGCTGCTTCTGCTTTCCGTGCAGGGCGAGCACGGGAATGTCGATAAAGTTGAGGAGCTCCGAATGGTAGGTGACGCAAGCGCAGCTGCTGAAGAAGACAATGACCTTCTTCTTCTGGTTGAGCTTGAGGAAGGAGAAGAGCAGGAGGAAGCGCCTGTCGGCCTCGCACACGATGTAGCCCTGCTCCAGGCCCTCGACGGTGCTAAACTTTTGCTCCTCGTCGACGTTGATGTAGAGCGGGCCGGGGCGCAGCGAGATGCGCGCCAGGTCCTCGACCTTGGTCGTCTGGGTAGCGGAGAAGAGCATGGACTGCCTGTCCTCCTTGGGCAAAATCTTGATGATTTGCCGCATCTCGTCCTCGAAACCAATCTCTAATATGCGGTCCGCCTCGTCAATGATGAGCGACTTGAGGTTCTTGAAGACAAACTTTGTGTTTTGCAGGTGGTCGAGCAGGCGGCCGGGCGTCGCCACGATGAGGTTGATGCCCTTTTCCAGCTTCTCGGCCTCGGCCCTCCGGTTGGCGCCGCCAATGACGATGCCGTACGTCTGGGAGTGGTGCGCCATGAGCTCCCGCGCGACGCCAAAGATTTGCAGCGCGAGCTCGCGCGTCGGCGACACGATGATGACGCCGGTGCCGTTGCGCGGCTTGAACTTGAGCGAGTACAGCATCTCGATGGCGGGGATGAGGAACGCCAGCGTCTTGCCGGATCCCGTCTTGGCCGCGCCGAGAACGTCGCGCCCCGTGAGCAGCGGCGGGATGCACCGCCTCTGTATGCCCCTCATCTCGGTGAAGCCCATCTCCCCTATGGCCTTGAGCGTCCTCTCCGAGAGATTGAGCTCGGAGAACTTGGTAGGTTCCTCACCCGCCGCGGGCGGCAGGTAGAGGCTCTTGCCCTCGGGAAGATCCGCCATAGCCACATCAGAGCCATCCTTTTCGGTCCCATTGGCATCGCTCGTGGCTTGAGCCTCCGCCTCCTTTTCCTCGCCCTTGGCCTGTTTCTTTTGCTTCTTCTTGGGTTTTTCGGGTACTATCGCGGGCTCGTCTTCACTGTCCTGGTCGTTGTCGTCCTCGTCCTCGTCCTCTGCCACTTCCTCGCCATCCTTGTCGTTTTCTTCGTCATCGCTGAATTTGGCAAACTCGTCTTCGGATTCAGAAACCGTAGGCTCCTCCACGGGAACGGGCCTCGTCTTCTTCGTGGTGGATTTTACTGAAGTGGCTTCCGAGCCTCGTTTCCCGGCAGCCTTTGCGCCATTGGCGTCGGCGAATTTTCTCTTCTTTCCTGATCCGATTCCCATTGTTCTGAACGGGCTCCTGGGTATGTCAGTAGAGGGGTGGAAAAGAAAAGCGGTTCGGGCTGGGGACCTTGTTCCTAGTTCACGGAAATTTTCAGATGGCAGTATAAAGGAAAAAAAAAAAAAGTTGAGCTAACAAACCTGGGGCGGTGTCGAATATTTTTCTTATCGGTGCTTATCGCAAGACCAAAATTGCTAGTGCCCCGCTTGGTTTCCCAAGGGTTTCCCCTCCATCCCATGTGTGGACCGGTTAATGGTCGGAGGAACTCCACCCAGTATCAGTGAGTCCCAATTGATTGATGGCGGGGTCTCTCTTTATCTCTCCAGAGGCCCAGAGTGTCACATCACAGTACTCCCCAGCATCTCATAGGGGTATTACAGTATCACAGGAACCTGAGACAAGAACGCAAGGTGCAAGGCAAAACTATCCGGTCCGCCTAATATCATGCCCTTGGCTTGCGAATGTGAGGAGAGAAAGCAGATAGAGGGTGAAAATACAGAAGAAGAAGAAAAATGTGTGACGACTACAGTGTCTCGTCACCTCGGGTATCAAGAATTTCGTAGTAGTATAACTATCTCGTCTGAGGAGTAAGGTCCTCAGGTGCCCTTTTTGCCCATATCCTTGAACCATCCCATCCAATTCACACTCTTTCTGTCCTTGTCGCTGTCCTTGTCGCTGTCCCACGCTCTGCCCTATCCGTGCGCGCTCATGTCCCCAAGAAGAAAAAGAAAAAGAGGTAAATAAAAGAAAAACAGCGTAAAGAGCGAGGCGCCTTTACATGGACTCGGGGAGTGGGTCTTCGTGCTTGGCGGTGCTCCCTTTACCCCTCCAGGTGCTGACCGCGGGGATATGCGCCGGATATCTGATCTCTTCTGTGCCGTAGGCTCTGGGCGTCAGCTTAATCAGTGTATGAAGCGGCACATTCATCCAAGGGCTCTTTTCTTGATCCTTCTTCATAAAGTAGGCGTAGATGCACCTCAAGACGGCTTGGTGGGTGATAATTAGGATATCCTCCGATCTTTCCAACTCCATAATGATGGGTTCGAGGCGAATGACAACATCGCGATACGATTCACCGCCGCGGTATCGATAATTGTACTTGTCTTCATCTCGAGCCGCAAAGTCTTCCGGGTGCTGATCCTTGATCTGCTGGTAGGTAAGGCCGTCGCAAACCCCCGCGTCCAATTCGTCTAGGGCCTTCCATTGGAGCTGGTTGTAATTGGCCGGGAGGAAACGAGCAGTCGCGATGGTTCGCTTGAGGGTTGAGGTCCATACCGTCAGGGGCCGATCTCCCTATCAGCGAGTTAGCCAGTGATGCTACAGAAGATGCATCGATAAAAAGACTTACACCCACGGACTCGTGCACCAGGTCCGGTAACTTGCGAGCGTATTGCTCGCCCCTTAGCGACAAGCTCGCATCTCCGCCGATCCTTCCGTCGAGATTGTACATCGATTCGCCATGCTAAAAGGTAGATGCCACATGTTAGGCACTCTATGCACTATCATCCCAACCTTTGTCTTTACGAATCATCTTTGCCAATAGATGTATACACCAGGCTGATGAAAAATTGGGTACAAGGGTCAGCGGAACTTACCCTGAAAGCCAGACAGACCGAGGTCGGATGTGCAAGTTCATCAGGTAATATACGACCCGACTCTGTAGGTAGTCCTGGATGCGATTGATGATGACCTGCTTGCCGACATTCATGATCTTGAGGTAGGTGAGGTCGTTCTCATCTCCGTCCTGGTCTATAGATTTGTACGCCTTTTCGTACATCCGGATGCGGTTTCGAAAGTCTTGCGCGGCGGCCTCGGGGTCCTGGCCCTTGTAGTCGGGACTTGTTGTTTTCACGTCCCGAATGTTGGCCATGATGAGATCCTCGTCGTCGCACTTGCTCTCCACGAAGAGAACCTCGATTCCTTCCTTAGTGCACATTTCTAGTACCCATCGTCGGCGCTCTTTTGTGGAATTCGTTGCGTCAAAAATCCCAATTACACCACCTTGACGGAACCATGCGAGCATGTCCGCAACAGCCGCAGTCGCGGCGGCCCGTCGCATCTTTTCGCCCTCACGGTTGCTCGTGTCGAAAAAGTCTGCTTTTGGATGAGGCGCATCATTTCGCCTATAATTGCCGACGTTGAACGTCTGCGCCGGGATTGAAAGCCATTGCAGATATCTCTGAGCTAGATATCATCGCGAGTTAAATGGTTAGCAACGACCAAAGCTGGCATTCTGAGACAAAAACTTCACGACCATATTATCCGCAACCCAGGATTCCAGATTCACATGGTCACTAAAGGGTTGTGCCTCGTGCGAGCAAGTCGTTTGCGTGCAACGTGCGTAACAAATGGGAGGGAAGAGCAGAAGCCGGGAATTTTCGGGATGGCGAGAAAATGGCCTGGGAAGGGGCGAGGGGTGCAAAGGCCTGCCCTGCCACCTTCCCAGCGGAGGGACGGCAGCGGGGGTTCAAAACTAACCTTTCTGGGCCACGAAGCTCTTGCCTCGGGCGGGCAAGCCGACCATAACCACGCATATTTTGGTGTCTTCAACCTGGACGCCCTTCCCGTTAATACGAGGAGGCATTTTGGCGCAGCTGCTTTTAAAGAGAAAGAAAATAGAAATGATATCGAAGGGAGAAGAGGGAGAGAGTGAGAGTGAGAGAGAGAAACGGTAGGATTGCTTAGGGTCGGGACAGACAGCCCCAGCGTTGTCGTCGTAAGAAAGGGAATAAGGTGAATCAGAAGTGGACAAGGGGTTTCGTCTAGTGGAATTGAGATGGAGGTGGATTTGATGGTGGGGCAGCAAGTGGATGGTGGGGTTAAAAACCAGGCGGGTTGGCAAGACGGAGCTTGATTGTGGCTCCCTCGTTCACAACCGTGCTGATAAGGCCAGGCCAAGCAGGAGTGCGACAAGGGCACGAGGGGTGGTAGGGTGATGGGGCGAAAGAAGCACAAGCACGGCTAGGTGATGATGGAGAGAGTGATAACAGGTGTTTTGTGCTTTGGACGACGATCCCAACCCCAAGCGGGAATTGAATGCACGATTGGAGAGTTTGGTGGGAATCAACGATTGAGGTGTAGGTGTCTGGGACCAATGGGTCGAATCAGGACGAGATATGAATGGGCAATCAACATGGGGCAATCGGATTGATGCTCGCTCAAGCTCAAGTTTAGTGTTCCAAAGTCAGGTTCCAAGGATCAACTGATCTTGAGAACCTCGGGAAAGAGTGCAACGCCCAGCTCCACGAATGCCGTAAACTGCGGGTAACAAAGTACCTCGACAGGTATTCCGCCAAAGAGCACGAGCACGAGCACGAGCGGGCAGGGCTGGATGGGTAAAGGGAGGGTCCACCAAGGAGCCACCTCCACACGTCTTCAGGTGGGTAATGTAATGGGGAATTGAATAGAGAATTGAATGGAGAATAAACAAAGAGTGCAAAGGCAAACGGAAGGCTCAATGGGATTTGAATTGATCGTTCCGAGGGGACTTTACGTTGAAGGAAAGAGATGGGAAGGAAGGATCAAGGGTTTGGGAATGGGGATATGAAGAGCCCGGGTGTGTTTGTGTTGTTGAATGGATCAATAGATCAATGACCCATTGCCAGCACAACAACTTGAGTATCTAGTAGATCGAAGGTGAGGCTAAAAGATTAAATCAAGTCAAGTCACCAGCGCACATGCGGTGGCCAAGGTCGATGGGAACAACAAGCAACTAAGGTTGGTGCGTCCAATCCTAGCTTTGAAAAGCTAGTTCCAGGTCGAACTGTCCCTGATTCAAAAGAGATAACCCCAAGGGAAACTTCGGGGACGGAAGGAAGGGCCGAACTCTGCGATAACCCAGATCTGTACATCGCTTCAATGGCTCGGCGTGGCAGAGCTTGAACATTGAGACTTAACACAAGCTTGATCGAGCAATATCGGCACTTTTTCCCCGGCCCTGTCCTCGAACAAATTTAAACTTGTCGCCTTGACATCGAATTCGACGAAGTTGACTTCTCTGGGCAGCGAACCCACACCTTGCAAGCCGTCATCAAGAGCAGCATCCAATGCCCGGGGACTAGACAAGAACACCAAAAGGGATAGCCGGAGAAACACTCGTACTCCGAAGTATGAGGCCACTTCTTGATGGCCGTCGGGGAACACGCACCGGCGGTACACGTTGCAAATGCCAACAACTTCGGTGACCCAAAGAAGCAACCCTCTGCTTGGATTGACGTCCACGCCAAAAGGGTCGAGGTCATCGGCCAAACCATGGCATCGAACCAGACTCCAGCCCTTCCGACACACTTGTGTAAACCACCCCGCAGTCCTCAGCTGACACTTCAAATCTCGGGCCTGTGAGTGGGTTCTTTGCATGGCACACGCTAGGCTGTCGCAGAGCATCACCAAGCCCAGGCTGCTTTCTAGCGTTGTTGCGCACGCCTCTTTTTTATCTCGCCAAGGGGAGAAAAATGACGGGCCCTGTTCATTCATCTGTGAACAACCCATTGAAGCAACTCGACTCAACGAACTGACCGATTCAGCCGAGTCTCATTGAAGACTTTTGAGAATTGGGTGACGTGACGTCCTGCCCTATTGAGCTCTTGCCTGCTCACTTATCGACCGGGATGTCCACGCAAACACAAGCATGCACTCGGTCCCTCAATCTGTTGCTGAGGGGCAATGTTTCCGCCTCTAATTATTATTACAGCAGGGTCGCCCCAATTCGGCAACCAGTCACTCGACCGGCCATCAAGCTCGACTTCGGCATTTTTCGGAACCAGAGCTGTTTAGAGAGGAAAACATCCCCCACCCGACACTTCGGGTCGGCCTTCCACTTGAGGAGGGCTGCGGTTGCCGCGCGCTGGAGAGGTGGACAGACGAAAATTGTGAAAGAACAAAAATAATCGACTCACCCGGGAAAAACTCCAAGTATTAGACCTGTCTCGGCGAAGCGGAGGTCCTGCAGGAACACCAAACATTTTTCGTACGTCTGTTGTAATCGATTTTTCGTAATCCTGTTATCTGGAGAGGGGAGAAGAGAGAGAGAGAGAGGGGAGGAGAAAAGCAGGCGTGCGTGGGCGTGAGCGAGGCGCTTGTGTCTTCCTCCTCTCTTGTTTCTTCTTCGGTGCAGTCTTTGTTCTTTGGGACGAAGAGAGTTCCTCCTACGGCTACTCCTCATCAATGACCCGTCAGCTCCAATAAGAAACAAAACCCCACGAAAGAAAAGAGATGTGCTTCTTGCCACCCTGCGTCAGGGTTTTGGAAGGGGCTTCACCCACACTCTTGTTCTCACGAAATCGAGATTATCCAGTCAAATGAGACCTTTACTGCACGTGAAGGCGGCCCGGAGCTCCTGGAAAATTCAGCGGGAACGAACAATTTTTGCGCTGCAACGAGACGTGATGAAAGTCGTGACTTGGAACGGATATCTCTTCTGACTTTCCAAGAATGGGGAAAACGAAGAGTTAAATGGGTTGGCACTGGAGAAAGGAAGGCGCTGGCTAACAATACAACGCACGATGACCCCCAGGGCACGGGTTCGTGTTGCTAACCGACCTGAGTAATATCGATCGCTTGAACGCCTAAACTTCGTGGGAGCGCGATGTCCCTGGACCGCCCGCGTGCCACTGCCACTAGGCCCGACCAAGATTTCGATAAGGATAAGGCTAGTGGAAACGCCATATCTCGATTTGAATCCTACCCGCCATCCCCACGTCCGGGAACCTCTATCTTGCCTTCCCTTGTCACGATCCTTCGTTCACACGAGCCACACGGATTCAAACCTATAGACGGCCGAGAAAGAAACACACCAGTTTTTCGTCCTCGGAATCGGACACTAACCAGTCCCTTAGAGCTTATCGCTCTGGGGCAACTTGGTCGTGCCCGGCCTACTAGGCTAAGTTCAAAACGACAATCGCGGCCGAATTCGCCGTGCTGTCCGGTGTGCGCTCATCTGAGCGAGCCCTAGTTACAATGGGGTGCGTCATTGTGCCTCAACCCCCACACACAAGAGCAGTGGGACAGGATATGCCGAACAGCTAATGTTGGATTTCAACGGTCACGCGGTGAACATGGATAAACAAGAACTCTAAGCGTGGCACTCGCTACCTCACCTTCCCCCTGGAAACATTTATCGGGAGCCCGGCCCCTCCGGCGCACGTACTGTGATTCCCATCGCCGAGCTCACTGCTCATTGCCGTGAATAGAACCGCATTTGTGCCGCGCCCACATCAAACACCGCAACGACATTTTGGAGGAAAACTGATCCAAGGATATAAGGACCGAACCCCCGATGTAATACCTAGCATACACATTCCCGTGGCGGGGTCTTGGAACTCTCGATATATCAAGTCGGATGGGTTGACCCAGAACCGCGCGCCTTCGATGATGACGGCAACCCTGGGGGCTACGGCATCGCAAGCTGCAAAGTAACCTCCATACTGGAAAATGTAGGTCCCTCTCGGCTCGAAAGAATGCGCAATGGCTTCGGCGACATCTGAGGTCCGAATAGTCAGTTCACTCTCTCGGCCGGTCCCGATTTGTAGCCGTCGGAGCGGCTCCGGATCCGGGACACTCACTTGGAGGCAAATGCATCAACGTGGTCCCTGTGTCTATAATGTATAAGTACTTCGTAAGGTCGGTAATCTGTCCGTACTGAATGCCGTCGACGGCAATTGTATAGAATGAGTATTGGAAGGCAAACGTCCCCTCGGAACCCACTACATTGGCCTGCGTAACTTGGTCAATATGCTAGCCTTGGGCTATTCAGAGAGGAAAGGTCGTTTAAGAACTCACAATTAGGATATCGGAATAAGCAGTAGAGGAACCCGACCACTCTACAGGAGGGAGGCCACCCCACCCGATCATGCCAGTCGAAGAACCTTTTTCGATCGCAACGGCGAAATAAGGCTCCACTAGGCCCTGAGAAACCATGGACGAGAAGAACGGCTGGTACTTGCGCTCATACCCAACTCTTTCATTCCCAACAGGACCCAGATAACCGCTAGTTAAGGATGGGTAAGCTAGTCCGAGAAGGCCATTCGTGATGTTGTTTCCCCACCAGTTAGTCTTGTTTGCAAGGCCACAGAGCTGTTTGCTGACAGTCAATCCGGCGACAGATAGATCACTTCGCCCGAGAGGGCCAGTGACGCTCTCGCCGGAGCCAAAAGTGACACTAAAGTGGAGCTCTGGATCTTGGCCGTAGCGAAAGTTGTCGACAAAAGAGGGACCGCAGGAACAAGTGCTCCTCGCCGTGCCGAACTGGGAGACGCAACTATAGTTCGAGTGAACGGCCCACGTATCACTGCTCCTGTGTCAAACAGAAGCCAGATAGGCTTACCATCCCAGTTTACTTCAAGTGCGTACTGAGTCGAGGAGTCGAGAAGTGCCGTGATGTTCTGATAGCCGGCTCCTGGTACTCTTGCGCCAGCAGCTCGAAGGACACTCGCTGCAGAGCGTCCGGTAGCCCGTCCCTTGATCGGCTTGATGCTCTGGTAGTGAACCGCGAGGGTATCTTTAGCTGGTGCACGCATGGCAGCCACTCTTTGGAACGATACACTTTTGAGAGGGCTAGAGAGGCTGATGGTGACTCCATTGGCAATGTTTCGCGCAGCGGCTAGCGTCGAGCCTAGGCATATGGCCCCCAAAGACAGCAGCGCGCGAGAGAGGATCATGGTGGCTAAACACGCGGTAGCGCACAGGACTCGCAGAAGTTTTGCAAGTGATTCCTGCTATCTTGGCTCAACACAATAATCTGATGCAGCGTGGCTTTCTTTTATAGCGTACGGACTCTATGAGGACGGTGGCCATCATCAAGTATGTCTGGGAAGTTGCGACTTCACATATCGGCCGTGAAAGGGGGAGAAAAATATAACAAGAACACGAACGGGAAGGCGCACATGAGATGAAAACCTACAGTGAAGACGGAGAGTCACCGGCGGGATAGAAGCACGATGCCGTGGAAGTGTCGGGAACGGGCTCCCCTGTGCAATGACACAAATCCGCACAATGAACGAGATAGACGATACTCGACAGGAGACTATGTGCTCTCGTTAAAAGCTTTCATATTGTCTCTGTGCACTTCTTTATATCGTCTCAAAGGAGACTTGAGGATGGGCATATTTCAAAGTGGTTACGCGTGGAATGTGACTGTTATCGATCCAAAGTGTCGCGAGGGCTCATCTCGAAACCAATATTCGATCAAGCGTTTCCCACTTGGTCTTAGTACTACGTTGCCGGTTGGGGAGCCATGCCGAGGAGAGATAGATTGTGGTAAGGCCGAGCTGTCCAACATGCAACTGCCCGTAAAAGCCCTGAGCCGTGCTGTCATGGCCCTGTCCCAATTTGATGATGCTGCGGACCTCCATTCTCTACTGACGACTAGCTCTTGTCCCATAATCGCGTAGACTATGCCGGAGGGAACACGGTGACAGGGCCACTACTCAAGTTCCTCGAAGCCCCAGCGCGGGGCTAGCTCAAAATCACGACAATGACAAAGAGAAAGGTAGAAATGCATGAAGGGCATTGTTCCCAGGAGTTGGCCGCGACAACCTCAACACACGATCACGGGCTCCAGCTTTAGCGGGATGCCATGGACGAATTTGTGTTTCCGGCAAGTCTTGTTTGAAATTAAGTGTGTTTCTACGATTGTGTCCCGGGATACAAAACCTGACAGCCATCTTTGGCCGTTTCCCATGCGCTGTGCGGAACATGGATTGCTATTGTTGCGGTCGTGGGTAGTTGGTCCTCGTGTTCTTCCTCTTGTCTCAACTCTTGGCTGATCCGGCGTTGAGGTCGCTAACGCTGGGTCGAAGCTGCGATACCATGGCAACGTATCACCGCGATAAACCAGCAACCAGCTTCTTTCAGGTTTGGAAAAGGTGTCGCGGGCGCGCAGCTGGGCCGATCATTGCAGAGGATATGTCTTGCGTGCTGGTGACAAAATGTGCGTCATTGTGTCTTTCAGGCCGTTCCGATTCACTTCTCGTTGCAACTGTCGTTTAAGCTTGAGAAATCTGAGGCAGGGAATCTGGGAGAGATGCAGCCATCAATCACCATGTCAAAATTTCAGTCTATGATATCTGATTGTGTAAAAAGAAAAAAGGGAACAAAATAAGCTCTCCGAGGAGGTTTAGAGAAGGGAGGCAAAAAAGACAAAAAGAAGAGTCTAGGTCTAACCAGGATTCGAACCTGGGCTTACGGAAACCTCGTATCAGAATCCGACGTCCTAACCAACTAGACTATTAGACCTTGGGTATTGATGACAGACGAGGGGCCGTGGAGGCATTATATACCTTGGCCTACATTTGCCTAATTCTCGGAAAGACCGAAATTCTTAACAATGATGAGTGATGGGTTTGTTAGTTTTTCAAATCATTTACCGACGAGGGCCGGAATTGAAAAAGGCGCCGAGCGCAGCTAAAAGCGTGCTTGCGCCCGCGAACAGGCTCCGATCCACGTAATACATGCTGCCGTTTTGTTGAGCTTCGTCGGAGCCGGGCGAATTCTTTGTTCACAACCTCCGCCCCAATACGGAGCGCAGGAATAATAGCCGCATGCATGGAAGCAGCTGGAGGACTCTTGATCTTCGACCTTGGCTTATAAGTTAGTTGGAGCCTAAGGTGACCGGTTCCTCCTCATACAATTATTAGAGATCCTGCCTCGGCATCTTTTTCTTCTTACTTTTTTCTTCTTTTCTCTCCCTTTACCATAGTTTCACCATCACCACTTGTTTCCAAAGATCCGAAGATGGCATCCAACGCCCCCAGCCCGGCTGGGAACCCGCTCGCAGCCTTTGAAAGATTGTCGCCCACTTCGTTTCTCTACAGACCCAAGGAGGCAACACGGGATCCTTCCGCGCCCAAACTCATCGCGCTCTTCACCTGGATGGCGGCGCAAGACGCGCACATCGCCAAGTACGTTGTGGGCTATCAGGCCGCGTACCCGTCGTCGCCGATTCTTCTCGTCAAGGCGCCTTTAGAGAACGTGCTCCGGCCGGGAAAGGCCAAGGTAGAGGTTGCGCCGGCGGTGCCGGCTATGAAGAGCATCCTAGGCGATTCTGGGCTGGTGGACGAGGACAAGCCGGAACTGTTATTGCACGTGTTCTCGAACGGGGGTGCATGACGTTTGACAATTTCTATAATCTCTACATACAAGCGCCGGAGGGCGGGAAGCCACCGCGCTTCCCCACGCACGTCTCCGCGATGGACTCGTGTCCCGGCCAGTTCGACTGGGCCCGCTCCTACAAGGCGCTTTCGCAGCCTATGCCGCAATGGATGAGGCCCCTTGCGCATCTAGTCGTGTTCGGATTCATCGTGTATTACTGGTTTGCGGAGCCCGTGGCGGCGGATCGGGGCAAGATGGGCAAGCAGATGAATGCGGGTGACGTGATTGATGCGGGGCTAAGAAGAGTGTATCTCTTCAGCGACGGGGATGAGATGGTGGCGGCCAAGGACGTCGAGAGCCACGGGAAGGAGGCCGAAGCGAAGGGCCTGGACGTGAGGCTGGAAAACTTTGGGGGTAGCCCCCACGTGGCGCACATGAGGACGGACGGAAACAGATATTGGGGCGCGATCAAGGGTGTTTGGGACGGGTGGTGATGATCCAAAGGAACGGAGGACGGAATTAGGGAGTCTCTTGTATATCACTCGTCACGGAAGAGGAGGGACGAAGCGGGCGGTTCCATTGTCTTTTTTTCATTTTTTATTTACCAACTTGTCTTCTTCCAACCATAGAAGAGAGGGCTTGTGATGTCTGGAACACTGACTTATAAGAATGGGGAACTCTGGGTTTTTAGTTTTCGTGAGATCCGGAAGGTTGTTTCGGGCAAATAGGATGAGTGAAACGCCATGTCTCGACTATTCTCATCCTTTTGATATCTCACCTTTCTTCAAGTTTCTTCATGAGAATCTCAAACAAAACATTACTGATGGAAAGTGCTATAATGGCAGCGTCTCCGCATCAAATGGTCGCCCATGATATGCCTCCGCCGCTCGTCGTGCAAGAAGTGTTAGAAAGAAACCCTATCAAAGCCCTTCCACGTGTAACGCAGACGAACAAACGACCGCCCCTTACCGTCGCCCATCATGTGCATCCAGATCAACACACGGTATCGGACATGCAGCCACACGCAATTCCAGAACGTTTTTAGGTGCCACCAAGCAAGGCTCCACGACGACAGTCAGGTGCCGAGAGCGCCGCAGAGCGCGTCATCCATCAAGTCCGACAGCTCTGGGGCCCGCGAGTTCATGTCCCTTCCGAGCACGCCAGGAACGCCAGGCACCATGTCAACGACGAGGACCGACTACGAAGGGCTAGTTCTCGCCTCGCCGGTGACGGTGCCGGAGAGACAAATGTTTGACAACACGAGGGTGCGGTGCGTTTGGGCGCCGACAAGAGTTGCGACGAGACCCAAGGAGGGCATGTGTTCCGCGTGCTCGGGGACTGAGAGCGAAGCAGATATCGATGGATTTTCAATGAGAAGTAGGGCCCTGGAACCGATTGCTACCGTGGGTGGTGAACAGGCGCAGACGATGATATGAAGAAGAAGGGTACGGCATCACTCTCCTGGTTGCTTTTGTCGGCTGCATGGATACATGACTAATACGAAAGGGAAAAGGTTATTTGAGCTGGTGCATCACCCCCGGCCGCGCCTTCTCTTTCTCGTGTTCCTTCATAATAGCCGGTCAACGAACTGTTAGAGGGTGCAGTTATTACTGTACACAGCTGTGGCTGTTGTAGTGGACAGACAATGGATGGTGGTGGTGCCCCGCATCAGGCTTCCAATCCCATGGTTGTGCTGGCGGTTAGGGCGGTGGTTGATCCCTGTGGATGGGAAGGTACGGAGGAGCTTTGAGCTCTCAAATTCCAGGGGTCCTTGGCTGGCCGTTTTGTGGAGTTGGGAAGGACCCAAGGACGCACACACACGAGATTGATTTGCTCTCCACCGTTCATTACCGAATGAGGAAGTATCGTCGAATGCGTTGACGTTGGAATTGCCCGACGTCACTGGTTGATCTTGAATTATGCATTCTAGCTCCCCTTGGTGCCCTGCCGATCACAGGAGTTCCGTTTTATCGTAAAGTCTGTTCATCATTTCCCTCGTCTGCCTTCATGTTCACCTAGAAAGTGAAGACAAAATAAGTTCATCCTTCAATTCTTGGATATTTTTGCCGTTCGCTGGTCTGTGTCACATTTTGTTTGTGCGTCCAATAATTCTCTCTTTCCACCGTACCTTTCTCTGCTGGTTTCCCTCAATTCGGCAAAGGTAACTGTCTGTGGACATTCATCCATGGATTCATCCATTTCCGAATGTGACAAGGATTTGGCGTGGTGGTGCCTTGACCCGGTTCGGTGTTAGGCCATGACAGGTGTTGGAGCGAGCGTTGAGCACCATCTCCACACACGGCTTGATTTGCGCTCCCCGCCTCCACATTTCGCAATCTATCATCCGTCCGCATTTCGGTGAACACGCAGCCTCAGAAGTCCACCCTCCTCGACCTCTCCTTCACACTTACTTCGTGGTCGATCGCCTTTTACTCAAAATAGGGCCTTTCCCTCTACACTCGAATGCCAATGGTACCTTGAAAGCACAGGCTTAAGGTTCCCCGCCCACTGCGCCCCGCCCACCACCCGGCTTTTTGCCTCCAGGTCGCCCGCTGGCTGGCTAGAGTTATTGGAGCTGCCTCCTCCCTAATTGAATTGCGAAACTAGAACTGCACCGTTCTTGAGAGCTGCGCCTGGAGCGTAGCCGCGCTCTTCCTACTATCGTGATGGCTACTAAGAAGAGCCGTCAGCGTATCAGTTATGGTAAGTGCCTTTCGCGATTTCCTGGGCATGCCCGTGAGCGCAATGTTTGCCGATCTGCTGCGTCGCAACCAATAATTCCCTTGCAGCACCTCTCCTAACCGGCCTAACCTTTGTGATTGACCCTTGCTTTTTTCTTTCTAGTAATCGAATCTCCGAAAGCGTCGGCCGGACATAAGCTAGGCGTCAACGGCCTCGCAGTTGACCCGGATAACTCCATTCTGTAGGCGCCACCCAAATCAACCTCAATCCGATCCCCTCTGCTGCTGCCATGTGGTTCCGGACCGTGGTAGGTGTGCTAACCCGGGCTTCTCAATAGCTATTCCGGTGGCCGAGATGGCGTCATCTGCGCCTGGGACCTCAATCTCGACCTCAAGGCACCCCGTTCGTCGTCTACCGTCGATCAACCGAATGGCCGGTCCACGTCCTCGCCCACCACTTTTCGATCCCAAGCGATCGCCCACATGGGCTGGATCAACGATATTGTTCTCGCCCAGAACAACACCGCCCTTGTGTCGGGTTCCTCCGACCTGACCGTCAAGGTATGGCGACCGCATTCGCAAGAGCAGGCCATACCCCAGACTATCGGCGAACATGCAGACTATGTCAAGGTCGTTGCTGCTCCACCTTCAGATATAGGCGCGCCTTGGGTTGCCTCCGGAGGTCTCGACCGCCGAATCAACCTTTGGGACCTCAACGGCGGCGGAAAGGTTCTCTCCATCGACTGCAGCGGCGAGGAAAACACGGAGAAGGGATCCGTGTACGCGCTCTGCGCCGGTCGGAACCTTATAGCCAACGGTGGGCCCGAGTCAACTGTGAGGCTATGGGATCCAAAGTCGGGAAAACGCGTGACCAAATTTGTTGGTCATACAGCTACCATCAGATCCATCCTCATCAACGATGCCGGCGATCTCGTCTTGACTGGCAGCTCAGATCAGACCATCAAGCTATGGAGCGTCACAGCCGGTCGGTGCATGTACAACTTTACCATGCACAACGAAAGCGTTTGGTCGTTGTTTTCAGAATCGCCCGACCTTGGAGTGTTCTACAGCAGTGATAGGTCTGGGCTAGTTGTCAAGACAGACGTCAGAGGATCGCTCGACCACATGGACGACGGGCTGAGTCTGGCTGTAGCCAAGGAGACTGATAGCGTGCACAAAGTCATCGCCTGTGGAGACCACATCTGGACGGCCACGCCTAGTTCGTCTATCAACCGGTGGGCCAGTGTCCCAACCGGCTCCGACGTTCAGCTCCCCGAAGTCTACCGGCATCACAGAGCTTCATCCACCGCGTCTCGCTCGGCGATGCAGGCAGCTCAATCCGGGCAAGGAGGCGCCCGTGCCGCCCCCAAGGAGATCTCGCCAAAGAGCATCCTCCGCATTTCGAACACGGCGTACTTCCCCCTCAGCTTTCGCGGGACGAGTCCGGCTCCCTTGTGGCCCTCGATCACGAGGTGGAACCAATCCACGACCTTCCCGAAGAAACCATCGAAGGCCAATTCGGCTTGCTTAAATATAAACTGCTGCACGACAGGCGCCGCGTTCTCACTGTTGATACCGCAGGGGAGGTGGTGTTGTGGGATCTCATCCAGGTTTGTGTAGCCCCTTGCCTACCTCACAAAGCCATTCTTGCTATAATGTGAATCGAAAACCCTAACTCCTTACTCTCAACAAGTGCAAACCCATCCAAACGTTTGGAAAGCGGCATCTCGAGGATGTAGAGCCGAGTGTCAACCAGGTCGAGGCCGTCGCACCTTGGTGTTCCATTGATACTAGTTCCGGTAGCATAACGGTCACCTTGGATCCATTTAATTGCTTTGACGCGGAGGTGTACGCGGACGAACTCACGCTGGAGAATGCCGACGACTTTAGGGAAGACCAGAGAAGTGAGTTGCATCCAAAATCCCTCCTCCCTTCTCCCTCATTCTCTTCTTCCTCGCTTAACTCTGAGCGGCGGTCGAGCTAACCTTTCAACGACAACGATAGTCAACCTTGGCAAATGGGTATTGCGATATCTATTTGCTGGCGCGATTGACGAGGAAATTAAGAGGGATGCGGTATATCGGCGCAACTTTAACACAGCAATCGAAAAGAGGTTAGCGAGCACAAGGATGAGCCCACCACTCTCCATCTCCCTGCCCGAGCGAGGCATCGGATTTGAACAATCCGGAAGCATGGCAACCCCGCGAGCGTCCGGCCAAAACTATCCCCTCATGACGCCTGGCCTCCAGATAGGGCTTGCTACTCCTCACCCGGGTGGTGGCGATACGGCGACACCAACCCCTGCCGTTCCAGACTTGCCGTCATCCCAGTATGGCCGAATGTCAGTTGAGAAGGAAGATTACTTTACAAGTGGCATCTCACCTGTGGACGGAGGGTACTAAAACCAGTGGCAACCACTCCCGCGGTTCCTACGGCGGAGGCGACGACGGGTGATGCAAAGCCTGCAGATGCGGACAAAGACAAGGCAGAAAATGGACCCAAGGCGCCTAGCACGCCGTTTGGCAAGAAGTTTCGCATGGGCATACCTTTTTCTAAGAAAGCCAGGTCAGCATCTACAACGGCCGATAAGCCTGCCATAGCGGAGGACAAGCCGGTCGACGACTCGGAGGGCTCGCTGAATCTTCATGAGAAGGAGGTGGATGACAGCTTCTTCGGTGTTGTTCAGAGAATCCGTAACGAGTATGACAAGCAGCTCGCGGCAAACCCCGATTTCCTCCTGGATAGCCGTATCACGCCTGCTCTTCCGAGCGAGACACCACATCTTGGCCTACCCAAGGGTACTAAAGTGATCATCAAAGAAGAGACTGGTGGCGAGAGCTCCAACGTCTATGTTGGCACCATCGAAACCATTGGCCGCGACACGGACGTTATCGAACAAAAGGGGGCCATGTGGCTTGGCGACCTCTTGTTGCAGAACCAAGTGCCCTTCAAGGAACCGGTCAAGGTGTCGTTCGTGCTTCTCCCTTACAAGGACGAGCTTCCGCCCTTACCTAGCTCGGACAACAACAATAGACTCAACGCCAATCGTATGTTGAGAGTGCGCAAGATTCTTTCGTATATCGCGGAGAAGATTGATTCAGACTGGGAGGATCCGGAATCGGTACCGGCAGATGCGATGAAGCCCGAGGAGTATCTAGAACTATATTGCAATGATCAGGTAAGACTTGATATCTTGGTTTTGAGCGGGCCGCTTGGGGGTGGGGATGGTACGGCGAGGCTAACTTTTCCGAAACTTCCCACAGTTGCTTCCGAATGCGATGAGTTTGGCGACCTTGCGCGCACACCTCTGGAAGGGTGGCACCGACGTGGTGCTGTACTACCGCTCCAACGGACGCAAAGCGATCCGACTTCGCACACCAGTTCCGGCAGAGCCACCGTCTGCGCAAGAGGAGGCAACGACAGCGGAGGAAGAGCCGAATGCGACGACAGGGGCGTAATACGGAAACGAGAGTGGGAGGCTATTTTGTGCTCTTGGGTTGTTTTCATTTCCTCCATCTTTTGGAGGCGCACGACTCGTGTAGCACTGCATCAAGCCAGTCCTGAGGGGTTCAACGTTGTTGGTCTTTTTAAGCCTTTGGTCCTCTGGGCAATGTCGATTAAACGTCACGCCGGGGTAGTACATACTTGATATATATATGTATGTGTATATATATATACATGTCCTTATTTACGCACATGCTGCATGTGTCAATGACGTTCCACTTTCTGGGCAAGCTTGCCACGTTTATGCGATGTCGCGACGTTGTGTTCCTGACTCTCTCATTTCGCGACGCCTCGCACCACCAAACCTCACCGTCTAGTTACATCTATATGCCAAACCACATAACCACGCTTAGATAAAAATACAATACTGCACAGCCTATATAAACTGAAGGAGGGAAAGATAAAGAAGACAAGGCCAAGAGCGAAAAGAAACAGGGGGTAGGAAACCTGATTAACCAGCCTGATTAAAGTGGTGTCTGCATGCCCATCAAGGTATTCACGGCCCACTGGTAGCTTCCCAAGAAGATGGCACCGCCGGCGCTGATCCACATCACTCTCGGCCCGATGCCGGAGAAGAGAACTCTAGGGCCTTCCTCCCTAAGGATGGCGGTGAAGACGGAGCCGACACTCCGGCTCTGTTTGGAGAGCATAACCCTTGTCTTGAGCACGTCGAGAGGGTGGTCAGGGCGGCAGCGATGCCGCCCGAGAGGCTCCCATACAACGCGCTTTCGGCTGCGCCAACGTCGAGTTCCGCGGCGCCGGGTTTGTTGTGGGGATCGGTAGCAGCGCCGGCACCGGCCTTCCTCCGCCTCGCCCGGCCCCAGCCCTTGAGGGCCTCCCAGAGGGGAACTGGATGACGGTGAAGGGGATCTCGCGAAAAATGGTGATGCCCCAGCCCCTATAGAGTTCGCGGCGGAGGCCGGCGAGGCCGATTTCGCGACGACGGCCGAGGATGTCGGCGAGGGCGGCGGCGGAGGACTTGAACTGGCCGGCTTGGGCGCGCTGCTTGACGACTTCGGTGGGGACGCGAACGGAGCAGGCGGCGACTTCGCCGAGGCTGGCGGCTACCATGTGGGTGAGGGGTCCGGCGCTGGTGCCGGCGGTGGAAGTAGGTAGGAGGTGGGAAGAGACAAAGGATTTTGTGCCCTCGTAGGTGAGGAAGAAGAGGGAGGCGCCGGGGGCGGAGCCGACGAGGGCGGAGCCGACGCCGCGGTATATACCGGAGAAGCCGCCGGCGCGGATGAAGCCTTGCGGGGACTGGAGGCGAGTCTTGAGGGTGTCGAGGGGAAGAGGGAGAGGTCGGTGGTGGTGCCGGCGAGGGCGCCGGCGAGGAGGGCGGTTGTGAAGGGCGGTTGGGGCGCCATTGTTGCGCGGGTGGGTTTATTCGGAGGCCAGAAGGGGGTGTGGTTGAAAAGGCGGAGGGGTAAGGAGGGTTGGTTTCCTTGTGCGTACGGGGGAGGGGCCCACGGGCGCGTTGTTGAGTTCGTTGTTCGAAGGGGCCCTGGCGAATCGGGGAAGGAAAGGAAGATAAGGAAGAAGAAGAAGAAGGAGAACTAGAAGTTGGTTAAAGAGCGTGGGGGTATCATTTGAGAGGAGGGTGGTAGAGGAGAGTTGAATGGAGTTGTGGTCGCGTGTGGAGCAAGACTCGCTTCCTTTTTTTCTGGGGATCGGGAGGGAAATCGGAGCTTGATCAAGGTGTGGCCATTGGCCTATGGGGAGGATGCGAGGTGAGGGGTGGCCCAAGCTCCTGAGTGGACAATTCCGTCAGGGATCGGGGCACGTACTTTTTTTCGTTTCTCTACACTTCATGGCAATGTGGGGCGCGCTTGGCAGAGTAGACCACATTCAAGTTTCCGCATTCCAATCTTGTTGATCTTGGGTGATATCTAGAGAGTATCTCGACTTTAACCTCACGCCAAAAGGCCACCGTACCAATCTGTTCCCAGTATTAGGAGCATTCCACAACTCTGGAAGCTTGTCTAGTAGCCCCCACATGAAGACACGATCTTTCGCCTTGAGGACCCTGGAGTGAAAGACATTACCAAGCCGATCTCGAACCGGGAATGCGCGGTTCACCTATTCAGAAAAGTCTGAATCGAGTCAGGTCTCAAAACTATAGAGGATTCCTACCGATGAATCGGAGCGCTCCTTTTAACCCCCGAAAAGGGTGAATAGCTCTGGCCAACCAATTGGCCATGTCATCATCGCTCGGAGCGCGAGTCTTCCACCATGCGCCGACCCCCATTTCCGTGCAGGAATTCGCCGAGGCGGTTCGCGCAGCGTGTCCGCCGCGACGGCCCAAGGCGCGGCCGACCTCCCATCGGAGGATAGGTACGATAATGTCATCCATAACTCTACCTGACAGTTAGCCTGTCTAGCTGCTTTGGCCCCCTTTATGCTAACCTCGTCCGTCCTGCTTGTGCGTGCAATAGGCCTCGCGATCAGCGGTGGAGTCGACTCCATGGCCATGGCCTTTCTCTTTCCGCCCTCCGTTCCCAGATACCCGGCTTCAAGATCGGCGACAGCCTGCGGCGGCATCGACGCCTTGATAGTGGACCACAAGCTCCGCGACGGGAGCACCGACGAGGCCCTCGGTGTGTCTGGCGAACTCTCCAAGCTACCCCATATCCGACCGCAGATCCTCACCCTCGACTGGGCTGCCGTCCTGGGCTCGCCCGATGTCGACCCGCGCACGATTGCGAATCTCGAGACGGCGGCGCGCCAGGGAGGTACAGGACGCTCGGCAAAACGTGCGCCAAGGAGACTATCGACAACCTGTTCCTAGCGCACCACATGGACGACCAGTACGAGACGATACTCATGAGGCTGCTCGCGGGCCACTCGAGACGGGGCCTGACGGGCATGCACCCGTCCAAGGACATACCCGAGTGCCATGGCGTGTGGAAGGTGCATCAATCGGGTTTCGTCGACATGATGAAGTCCAAGAACCCCCATCTGACGTACGCCATGCGTCGGAGGGAGGTGTCCGCGCTGCGGAAGTCGCTGCTGTCGGAATTATTGCCTGAACTGAAACCGGGATCGAGCGGCTCGCTCCAGCATCTCGACTTGAAGTCGGAACAGCAGACGTTCTTGTCAGAGCTCCACATGCCCGAAGTCGCCGACCTGGGCTTTGTCGAAGGTGGGGCGCGGTCCGGGGACCTGGAGCTGCCGCAGCTGGAGACCGAGGACGGCGGCGTGCGGGTGCTTCGGCCTCTGCTGGAATTCCCCAAAGACAGGCTGATCGCCACGTGTGAGCACAACGGCGTCCGTTGGTACGAGGACCACACTAACAAAGACCCGGGGCTAACCCCAAGAAACGCCGTGCGACACCTGGCGCGGAATTACGTGTTGCCCGAAGCATTACAGCGCCCTGCCATCCTGCAGATGGCGGCGCGTATCAAGGACTCGCTGCGTGAGGAGGAGAAGGATGTTCAAGAGCTATTTAGCCGCACCACGATTGAGCGCTTCAGCACCAACGCCGGGACCATGGCTGTCCGGCTCCCAAGCTAGAAGTGGCTGGCGAGCAAGACCTGGCGGAGAAGAGGATGCTGGCGACGCTCCTCCTACGCAAGTTGATGATTCCCGTGGATGCGAACCCCGACCTGCCGGCCCTCGCCACGCTTCAGGGCCCGGTTTCGCGCCTGTATCCGCACCTCGCTACAGACGCGTACCCGGCTAGCAGCACCCCGAGCAAGGCCTTCAACTGCGGCGACGTACACTTCTCCCCCTTGCCGGACAACAGCGCAGATGACGCGCCAACCTCCCGGTGGCTTCTCTCCCGCACACCGTACACCTCGAGCGTTCCTCTTCCTTCCGTTGAGTGGACGCGCAAGGGCTTCATCCGCAGCACCCGCGACGACGTCCTGGTCCGGTATCGGTCCGACCGGCCCCTCAACAATAAGCACTGGCGCCTCTTTGACGGACGGTTCTGGGTGCGCGTGCACCTCCGCATACCAGGCGTTTACGTGGTGAAGCCGTGGCGGTCCGAAGACGCCGATGCGTTTCCCCGCGCCCACGGGGACGCGCCGCCGCCGCCCCTCGGGCGGAAGCTCAAGGCCCTGCTCGCCGAGCACGCCCCCGGCAAAGTGCGCTGGACGCTGCCGGCGCTGTACTATAGAGGTGCCCTGGACTGGGCTACGCTAGACGCCCGGCCGGACCAAGGGTGGACGCTGCTGGCGCTGCCGAGCCTGGGGTGCACCACCCGCGGCTCGCTGAGGTGGCTGAGTACGAGATACGGTATAAAAAGGTGGATGAGGACGTTTTGGACAAGTGTAATATACCCCATGTTTGAGGATGACAAGGGAGAAAGGCTGTGAGATGAAGCTTTGTTGGCATTGGCACAGCGCTGTCCAACGTGTATGTATAGTACATTATCCCCCTTTTCCTTTACGGTCGAAACGGCGTTCTCTGGTGGGATTGGTAAAAGTTCCTTTTAGCTTCTTCACTCTGACTGCCGGCTCCTCGAGCTGCAAGGAAAACCCGCGGCGCCGTGGTGTCCCAACGATAGATCACATGTGTAAACTAGAACCCGACTGATGCATGTACCAACAGATAGATCCAAGGAAATCTTACTAGAGACTTTTCATTTCGTCATTAACATTCATGTTGCTGTTGTCCCGTGTTTCCCAAACACCCTCTCCTATCCTCGCTCCGTGTACGAAAGAAACCAAAAGAAAAAGAAAGAGAGAAAAGATGGAAAGGGAAAAAAGTTCAGCTAGGATACAATAATCAATCTTCTTTTTCTTCTCTTCACTCCTCGCCGACGACAAGCTTGATGTCGCCCGTGGTAGTGCGGACCTCGAGCTTGGAGTTCCCCTCGCCCTTGCGTCCGCTGACACTCTTAAACATGGCCCCTTCAACATCGCCCTTGGCCGCCTCCGTCTCCTCCGCGTTAGTTCCCAGATGCACGTCCTTGCCGCGGACCTCGATCTTGCCCGTCAGGGACCTCGAGGCGAACTTGCCCTCCCAGGCGTCAGGAAGGCGGACATCGACGTCGCCGCTAACGGACTTGTGGGACGAATAGAGGGCCCAGGACCCGTCCTGCTTTCCGATCCAGGTCGGCTCGAGGATGCGAATCTGGGCGTCGCCGGACACGGTGTCGGTGGTCAGCCGCGAGGTCACCTCGCCGTCGGCATCGGCGAGCTTGCCCGCGAGGACGGGCCGCAGCTTAATCTCCAAATCGCCGCTCGGCTGGCCAGCAAACTCAGCCTTGGAAGAGAAGAGCAGGGAGGCAGAGACGGTGCCGGAGACGGTGGAAGCCTTGCGCACGTAATCGGCGGCGGGCAGGTCCTCGGGGTGATCGATAGGGTCGTGGACGGTGATGTCGCCCGAGACGGAGTGGACGTTGAGGAACGCGGTGTCGAAGTCGCGCCACGCGGCAGGCGGGTAGACGTCGACGTGGTTGGAGCCCGAGGTGGTGAAGGACTCGACGCGCGCGAGGAGCGGGGCGTCGGCGCGGATGCGGCCCGAGACGGAGGTCAGGGCGAGGCGGGCGCCGGAGCGTAGGCTGTCCCGGCCAAAGGTGATGTCGCTGGCCACGGAGGTGAGGATGGTCTCGTCGGCGGCGAGGCCGAGCTTGTCCTCGATGGAGATGTCGAGGGTCGTCACCTCGACCTTGAGGGTCTGGAGGTCGGCGTCGGCAGGGACGTGCACGACGGCGCGGACGTCGACGCAGGGGCGGGCGCCGTCGTCGCGGCGGTACACGTCGTCGATGCGCACGCGCAGCCGCTGGCTCTCGGGGTCCCAAAACGTGTGGACGGGCAGGTTGTCCTCGTTGGCGTCGATTTGCAGGTCAATCTTGCCCTTGGCGTCGGAGGTGGCGGCCGCCACCACGCGCACGTAGCCGCTCACGTTGACCGGGACGCGGCCGCGGCCTCGGCCCCGGCTGGTGCCGAGCTGCTGGATGAAGTGCACCTGGCGTTCGGCGCCGAATTGGAGCGGGTAGCTGCCGTCGTGGATGTTGTGGAAGTCGGTGCCGCAGCTCTCGCTGGGGTGGCTCGACAGGCCGTCGATGACGCTGCTGAGTGGTGGCGAGGAGTGGCATCCGGGGCCCTGGATGTACGAGAAGATGAATCGTTTTAGTGAATGAATCTCACCATATAAAGCGCGAAAGCTCGTTTCATTTACAAGATTGAACAATTTAAAGAAAAAGGGCAACGTACGAATCCGGGGACTGTCTTTCCGAACAAGGAGAAGAAGACAAGAACAGGCACGACGACGAACAGCGCGAAACGGAGGAATCGACGGGCTCGATCGCGGCGGCGGTCCTGCACGAAGAGGACCTGGGGGAGCTGCTGGTCGTCTCGCGGCTCCGCGTCGGCCAGCTTCTGGTATCCTGCGCCGCTCTTGGCCATGGTGATTCGAAGCCCGGGTTGCAAACGAAGAGATCAAGAGAAAAGCTCCTGGGCGGGTGGCGGTAATCTGACAAAGTCAAATCCTCAAGATGTTCTTCTTTTTATTCTTTTGGAATAATATGGTTCTCGCCGACCCAAAAGCTCGGGTTTGGTTGTGGCGATGAAGGAAAGGAGGAGGCCTGTGGGAAGCCAAAGCACAATTTAAACCATCAATTTGAAATCGTCCCAAGTCGCTATCCGAAACTGCTGTCCACTTCTCTATTCCTCGAGGGGCGAAAGAGGGAGCAATAGTGTCGGCGTGTTGTTTCCCCTTCTTCCGGGTAAAGAAGAGAGCGAGAGGCGAGGGCCAGATTCTTATATAAATTCATTCATTCACCCACAATCCCGCCTTGTGAAACCAGGTTTCCTACTCATTGGCAGTCGCACTCTTCTCTCCCTTCGTTGAACAAGAGTAGAGCGCTAGAAAACGAATAAAATGGTATCAATTGCATCAATTGAGCACGTCAAGGCAACAAACTAGTAAAAAGTACCGTTGCCATCCAGCACAAAAGAGGGCAAACCCCCGCCCTTTTGCACAGTATCAAACCTCTGTCCGTTCGTATTTCGCGTCGGCGGACGTAAGATGTGCAGGCGAAACATCCCCCTCCTCCTCCGAGCGAGTGGCCAAAAGGTGACCTAGGCCGTGTGCTGATTGCGAATAAAGTCCATTCTACAAGTAGCTGTCGCCATCCGATATACATTGTGTGCTGTAATAGGTGGTGCTATTGGCATGAGAGAACGTAGGCAGCAGGATTAAACCCCCTTGATGGTGCCGAATCCTTGGGTACTTTCGAGAACTGGGTCCTTTGCGCATTCGACGTATCATCGCCTGCGAGTCGGCGGGCCATGTCCGTCTCAAGGGCGGCACGCTCGAAAAGTTGGGTCCCCGTCCCTGCTCTTCACCCATGCGGATGGGATAGCTTAGCCGAAAAGGGTGAGCATGCAGTCTTCGGCGGTCCCTCTCGACGGCCGCCGCCTCTGCGAGTCAAAGGGCCACAAGAGACGCCAGAAGCTTGCGTCGACACGACGATGCGAGTATGCCTGGTGAGCGGACAGCAATTTTTGTAGGATTGACAGGAAGCTAGGGATGAGGCCTAGGTTAATTCATCCCCAAACGGGCAGTTCCCAATGCTTGGGATTCTTTTTGCGTCATCATCTTACCACGGACCAAAGTCGTCAGCCGTCGCATCATCCCAGTGTAACACAGTCTCAAGTATCGATGCCGAGTACCGTTGATGACCATCACCACCTCCATGTACGCTAGATTGTCGATGTCAGCATTTCCGCAAGTCCGGAGACACTTGAAGGATATCTCTAGTTCTCTACCCTTGGTCTTTTCTTGCTACCCATCACCATAATCCTCAAGGGCCCGCACGGGAAGGAGGGAAGCAAAGGCGGAAGGAGATTAAAAGCAACCATGTCATCACAAAAGAAAAGAAAAAAGAACATATCTGCAGACTTGGAATTGCACTTGTCGACAGTCAAAACAAAGCATTACGTCGATTCTATCTCGCTTTCATATGTAAGACCCTCTATCAAAAACCAAAACAAGCCAAGTTGCTATGTACACTCATCTTACGCCCTTGCTGCCTAACCTGGTGCGAAGCATCGCCTTTCCCTTTGAAAGAAGAGTTGGAAAGCGGAAAAGAAGAAAAGGAAAGGCGAGGGAAGGGAAGGCGTCCGAAAAGGGAAAAAAAGGGAGAACAAGAAGAGTAAAGCAGAAAAGGAGAATCCAACCAACCCCACCTGGTCTGAACGTGTGTTATGTTGAGTTTATATATATGTTTAAGCCCCATTCCCTTCCCTTTAAGTATAATAATGCCATGGAAAAAGGAAAAAGCTTTTTTGGGTGACATGTTGATCATTTGAAGAGAGTTTCAAAGACAGAATCGAGTGGAACAGGAAACAAATGGTGATATAACAAGATGGGCCTATCCCCGTTCACAGGCCAAGCAGGAAAAGAGATAGATCTCGTTCACCGAGAGAGAGAGAGATGGAGTTAAGTCGAGGGTAAGGAAGGTGAGGAGTGAAAGCGTTGGCTCTTCGTGCGACTCGGTAGTGCTCAAGCCGACGAAGACTTTCCACTATATCGGGTGCTGCTAGTGGACGTCAGAGATAACGAAGAGCAGCGTCTTCTTTCACCACTCGGGGTATTGATTGAGATAAGCCGGGGCTGGGGTCGGGGTCGGGGCTGAGCCTGGGTCCAAACCCGCTCCTCCTAGTCGAGGCCGAGGACGCGCTTCGACTTCTCGTACACCATCCACGTGATGCTGAGCGCCGGCGCTACCTTGAGCAGGTTCGGCGTCAAGCCCTTGTAGAGGCCGCGATACCCTTCCTTTTGTACCGTTTTGCGCGCCACGTCCACGATGCCCGTGTACGTTTCCTTGTGCATGATCGTGCCCTGCGTTTGGAGACGTGTGCGCAAGACGTTGAGCGGGTACACGATGCTGGCCCCAAACGCGCCCGAACTCGCACCGATGACGCCCGTCACGATGTTGCCCATAACCACATCGTCCGGGTGCACGCCCGTCTTGCGGCCCTTGTACTTTTGTAGCTGGTTTTGAGGAACTCAAAGGTCCCCATGTCGATGGCGCTGTACGGGAACATGCCAATGAGGCCCATGGTTACTCCGCGGTACGCCGCTCGGAAGCCACCATCCGCAAACATCTTTTTCGCCGTTTGTATCACCAGCGCGTTGCCCTTGAGGCCATCCTTGGTTGTTTCGCATTGAAGCCTGTGACAAGCCTTGAGTTAGCCCCCCAAAAGAGCTCTACTTCACATGGTTTCGCATAGAAGAGAAAGACCGATGCGCTGCGTACAGACGGGGGAAACATACCTAAACTTGAGCGTGTCGAGGGGGTATACGCAGAATCTAGATAGCGGGGGTTAGCTCTGAAGGTAGGGCACGGTTTTTTTCTGCTTGTCTTGGGCGAGGAAGGGCTATTCAAGCGTACTGAGAGATCATTCCTGCAACTCCACCCGCTGCAAATTTAGAATACGCCGAGATTTTCCGAGGGTCGTTGTGGCCTTCGACAGAGGCCATGGCTCGCTTCGCCGCTTCGTACGATCCGAACTATTCGCTTTCTTAGTACAAGAGCAAAAGATGACAAGGCCCAGGTAGGTAGCCCATGCGTAATCGGGGAGCCCAAGAGAGAGGTATCTAGAAGGGGATCTCTTACTTTGATGGCAGTTTCGGGCATGATTTTGATAACGTTGAGTCCGTTTCCTGTGCATCGCACCCACACCGTTTAGTTTCCGTCGTCTCTTCATGATATGTGGTCGGCCGCGATATTGGGAAGGAAGAGCAGCTCGACGCTAAGGATATTGTGTGGGGAGGGGTACTCACCGGCGAAGAAGGTCTTCGCGCCGCCGGCTAGCCACAAATCCCTGACCGCGAGGCGGAAGGGCGTGGTGACGTAGCCGAGAGCCTTGAATAATTGGCCGCTTTTGAGGGCGCCGCTCACGTCGTGCAGGCTGTGGGTAGTGCTCGTGTTGACGAGCAGATAGACCTTGAGACGGTCCAGCGGCGCCGTGGCCGTCCGCGAGACACCGCCGGCAATGGCACCTGCGAGGAAGTAACCTGGATCGGGTACAAAATCTGTCAGTTTCCACAGGGATTTCTGCGACGTGTGGCGATCCACTGCAGTGTCCTCCTGGGCTGAGCTCCGCGCGTCGCCCGATCCGCGCGCCATCAGAATATCCTCCGCCTCCTCTACCTCGAGGATAGCCTCTATGCTACCGTCGGTGCCATTGCCATTGCCGCTTGGTGTCTCGGCCGCCACCGTAGCACCTAACCTGCTGGAAGTGTTTAAAAGTACACCTGGGGAAACGGAGGTGCCGAGTGGGGAAGGTGAAGCAGCGGTGGAGGATGGCCCGGCGCCACTGGGGCCTGTGGCGCCGGGTTTCGTGGTAGCAGCCTGGTCTCCCTGACTGAGGGTGGGCGCTCTTCCCTGATCAGTGCCTTCTTGCGAGGGCCCCGGTACTTCGGGAGACTGGCTAGAAGATTCGGGGGCTTGTGCAACGGACGCCGCTTTCCGTTTTCTCCTTTCCGCCTCGGGCTGGAGAAGTCTGATGATAGAGCCAAACAATATGTACAAAAGGGAGTGGCTCGTACCTAGGCCCTCAAGGGTCTCATCGCTGACAAGTGAGTCTCCTTCTGATGTTAATGAGTAGAATGATAATATCGCATGCAAAGTCTCGTCCGAGTTATACGCCGGCATGAAGAGGAGGAAGTCCCTGTTATATGCCATGTACCAGGTTAGCGCGCTGCTCTCCCATCAAATACATTGCATCATATGGCTACAAGAGTGCCAGCCTCGGTTTCGTCTTGGGATAAAAAGGCGACACAAGCCGGGCGAGGAGCCACGTACCGCCATTCCTCAAAGGTAATGTAGCCGTCCCTATTCCCATCTATGGACCTGAAAAAGGTGTCGAGTCGTCGCATCGGTATCGTTATGCCAGCTCGTCGACACGCCTCGTGGAGTTCCTTCTTCTCGAGCTTTCCATCACGGGCGGTGTTGACAGATCGAAATATGTTCAGCAGGGGCCCCTCGGCGTTATCGACGAATGTGTGAAATTCTAGACACGCAGTTAGCCACCGCCAATACCTCGGGCGCGGGGGTAAGAGAAGCCCCCAGACATACCGTCATATTGAATCTTGCCGTCGCCATTGGTGTCGACAGTCTCCATAATCTTCTGCAACATGTAGTCCGCATTCGCTAGAGCTATAAAGAAAGAAAAAACGAGCCGCGGTCAGTGTGTTGCCCGCTACCTGCCCAAAGAGCGAGAGGATACGCGGCGGCGGTCCACCGCAAACTCCTGTCGGTTAGGAACATGATAGCTTACGATGATCGATCCTGCGCAGGCCCTTTTGCAGGGCCTTGAGGTCTAGAGCTGCAGCATTTCCGGGATTCAGCCTCTTCCAAAGCTCTTCTATACGCTTGTCGCGCTCGTTCTGGCTCTCGTGGAACTCCCTTTGGAGCTCCGCCTGGAGGTCCGAAACCACGTCGCCCCCATCATAACGTCGCGCTGAGCAAACGTGGGCCGCCGCAGTCACCGGAACTGCTTGATAGGTCTGACGACTGAGGTACCGGTTTAGGGGCAGCACTACTCATGGTACGAGGAGCTCTTGTTCGGTCGAGCCGCTTGTATTTCCCCTTCTAATCCGTCAAGAGCTCGGCATTTAGGTTGTGGTGGTTTTTATTTTTTCGCGGGTGGGTTCGGCTTCGGGTTTTCAAAAACTTGAGCTGGGCTGCTTGACGCTAGGAAGTGGGCACAAGAATCGGCAAGGGAGGGAGACGAAAAAAAAGCGAAAGAATATGAGTTGGTTTGAGGTTCGGTGTCGGGAGGGAGGGTTTACACGTCGCAAAGCATTCTTTGATATCGACGATGGCACTCGCATTCGGAGCAAGATCGAAGAAGACGACGTAGATTCCCCAGTGGTCGTTGGTGGCACTCAACCCATGATGGTTATGAAGTAATGCAGACGAAAGTTCCACCAACTTCACACAAGAGCCGCTTGTTCTTTGAGGGAGGAGCACGCACCGCACCTTGGCGACTTGAACGTGCCAAAACGGAAACGGAAAATTGGAGACATGCGACCGCCAACCAGCCAATCACAAAGAGGAACGTGCCCCGCCGCTTACCGTATGAGCCAATCGGGACGCCGAGATATTGGATCTGTCCAAGGTGCGGGCTTTCCGCTTCCCACCCAGAGCGGGTGGCCAGTGCGTGACGACACCTGCCCTTCCAGCCACAGGAGCCACCCGAGCCACACGGGTTCGACAATCCCCGCCACATCCAATGCCAACCACATCTCCGATCCAGGACGGACATCTTCGACAGCCTCGCTCAGCGCCGCCCGCCGCCCGACTCTCTCCCCACCGAATGGAATTGATCGAAACGATCCCGTCTCAAGATTCATATCCTGCCATTGCCCCTGTCTAGATATACGGCGGCCACTCGTAGCGGAAACTGCCCCTTGCGCCGTCCGCGAGGTACCCTAGGTCCTCGCGCGGTCCCGCACCTTCGCCATGTCGGCCAACTACTGGGTATCAACCCATCGCAACCACTGGATCTTCCCCAAAGATGAGTTAGCAACAATGCGCCAGAAGCTCGAAAGGGAGAACTCGGACCTCGTACAAATGTTCACGCTACCCGAAGCCCGACACCTTTACATATACTTTAATCAGCGTAAGGCCTCGCCGACCCCTTCCTGCGCCGCATTTGGCTGAACACCTGTGTATAATCTAACCCAACTTCTTTACTTTTCTAAAATAGAAATCAGTCGCCTCAGTAAACGCCTCAAGATTAGACAGCAAGCCATCGCAACCGCCCAGGTTTACATCAAGCGCTTCTTCACGCGCGTCGAGATTCGTCGCACCAATCCCTATCTCGTCATTGCCACCGCCGTCTACCTCGCCTGCAAGATCGAAGAATGCCCCCAACACATCCGGCTCATCGTCAGCGAGGCCCGCTCCCTATGGCAGGACTTCATCTCTCTCGACACCTCCAAGTTAGGCGAGTGCGAGTTCTTCTTGATCTCCGAAATGAGCTCCCAGCTCATCGTCCACCAACCCTACCGAACCCTCACCTCCCTGCAAACCGATCTGCGCATCTCCAACGAGGACTTTGCCCTCGCGTGGAGCATCATCAACGACCACTACATGACGGACCTTCCGCTTCTATACTCGCCCCACACCGTCGCCCTCACCGCGATCCTCCTCGCCCTGGTCCTACGGCCCAACCCACCCTCTTCGGGCGGCCAAGTGCCCGGGGCATCAATAGTCCGCAGACGCCCGGAGGGCTGCCCAATGCCGCTGCCGCGGTCGGCGCTGCTGCGGCTGCGCTAGTTCAGGCGCAGAACCGCAGCTTGGCGTCCGGGAGGCACCCCCAACCCTCCGACAAGGAGAAGCCCATGGAGGCCAAGGTCGGCCGGGTTCAGAGATTCGTAGTCTGGCTCGCAGACAGTGATGTCGATATCGCAGCCATGGTGGACTGCACGCAAGAGATCATATCCTTTTACAACGCGCAAGAGCAGTACAACGACAAGCTCACCCGCGAGCAAATCAGCCGCTTCGTCAAGGCCAGAGGGCTAGACAAGTAGTGACCTGCAGCCAAAGGTCGACTCGTTAGCTAAAGCTAACGACTCGGATGCAGAGTTGCATCCATATTTGTATTCAAGTTATCATTGCATTGAGCGAAGGCGTTACACGGTGGCCCTTTTTTTCTTTCTTCCAATTGTGTACATCGTCAGATTGGGAGGTGGTGGAGGTAACGGTTCAGCCCACACGCCGAGCCACCGACCCTTGGGTTCTGGAGTTGAAATATTGGGTTATCAGGGGGCATGTACATTTTTTAACTAGAGCGCATTTCATACATATACGCATGGGCGCAATGCGGGTGATAGTTTTATCAATACACTCTCCCCATCTAGGAGATGTGCTATCAAAGGAAAGACCTCAAGTCTTGAAGAAGTGATTAAGCAGATATCTGAAGTCTACCTCTGCGGACATGATAACACAACGCCCTCATCGAGATTCGTCTGTAGGCCGTGCCTTCCTTCTTCTGTCCCCACCGTTACCCTCTTGTTTGAACCAGAATCTCGGCGCAACGGGCCCCCGGTCGGAGATGACCACATCCGTACTTGCAAGGACGACTTCCCCGGGGATCCCCCTTCGTCATATCGACGCCCTGTCGTTCAGTCGCAGGGTATGTTCTCACATCCCCCAGAGGGGGTTCGGGATAGGTAGTTGTACCCAGCAAGCGTGTTGTTTACTCGCGTCCTTCTAGAGAGTGCTTTCGGGCCTCTTGTTTGTTTACTTCCCGGATAAGAACCCTGGCCCCTCAGCTCTGCAGCATCAGATCACAATGTCTCAGTCCCTCGACATGACAACGTCTCCACAGGCGCACTCCGAGCAGCCGCCAGGCACTAGTCCTTCAGCGGGGCGAGCAAGGGAAAAGCAATGAGGACGGCGTGTCTCGCACCTCTCCGCAACCAGCCTTTGTTGTTCCGTTCCTTTTTCCTGGCCTCCTCCTTGTGTTCGACAAGACTCCGAGCTGTGTCTAAGGAAATACGTCAACCAGGGCCAGCCGAATGGAAGAGAAAAGCAAGGGGCCAGTGACACAAAAGTAGTCATGAATGCAGATCACCAAGGCCCTGACTTGGCCTGGGCTAGGGCATCGAATGTCTCTGGTTCTGAGGAGCTTCGCAAAAACCTAGAACCCTAAGCGCAGAGATTCCTCAAGACTGCACTTGTTTCACCTTGCGTGCTTGTCCCTCGAGAGCTAGTGGGCCTTTGTGCCGGACTACGAGAATGCCGTCCTGCACCACCGCTTGTCAGATCGATTGCCCAGCCGTTTGTCAACATACTTCACAGAGAGGCAAGACCCCTCTCTCGTTGTGCGTAGCGTCGTTTACTGCCCGCTACCGAACCCGTGAAGGCAAGGCTCCCAAGGATATATATAACAGATTGCGCTGAATTACACAAATTTTCATCACTCAAGTTTTACTCATCACCGAAAAGTGCAGGCTGGGATAAACAGATAGGGCTGCGTCGGAGACTATCAGTCTTCCCCGCTATGCCAGGCCCAAGGCCGGGCCCAAGGGGAGGAGCAGGCCGCATGGCATTGCGCACAAAACCAAACACGGAAGCGCAACGAAAGGGAAGTTCGGAAGCAACGCAAAGCAGCGCATCGGGCCAAACGCCAGTAACTAGAAATGGCAAGACGGGAGAGCCGAATCGCCGGATAGAGCAGAGCAAGAACCTGAAGGGAGCTTGGTGGGTTTTGCGCGGGTGTGTCCGAATGTGTGCCGGGGAGGGTGCATCAGACCGCATGGGCTGGAGCCTTCCCCCTCCTTTCAAAAGCCCCAAATTCGGGGACGGGCGAGGCCGGGGCGAGAGTCAAGGAAGGTTTTGTTGCGTGGGCGGGGAGGAGAGAGTCGGTTCCCAATACGTCAATGGTGGGAGCGGAGACTTCCGCCACAATTCGGGGGATGCAAGTCAACTGATCGATCAGGAAGGCCAAGAAAAAGAGACTGGACTCATGGTTCCCCTTCTCAAAGGAAGAGAGAGCCCTCAGCCCAGTCCGCATCCCCCACCACACCCATCACCAGCCGTCTTCCAATCCATGCTCCCAACAAGATCTCCGCAATGGCTTGCGCAAACTTGGCAGATGGAAAAAGAAGGAAAAATCAAAAAATGGACATGGGATCGGAGGCCCGCTCTTACTCACACCGTGGATCAGCCTGCCCGTGCACAGTGCGCGCCCCACAGTTCGCCACTAAACCCCTTTCGCCTCCCTTCAAGGGCTTTCAAATGCACCAGCAGATTTTTACTTCGTCATCGCTGGATACCTGTGGCTTGTTCTCCTCAGTGCGCCGAGTGTCCTCTGGAGCCTTCTGGCACACACACCTCGAGCTGATTTGGCCCAGCAATTTTTGGCTTCAGCCGTCTTTTGAAGACTCATGCCGAAAATGCGGTCCTCAACTCATAACCCCGCGCTCGCACGCCAATTCGGTCATTGATTTAAATCCCCCAATAAGCGTTTGTTCAAGCCAGCTTTTTGCCGAAGCATCGGCCGCCTTCTGTTTATCTGTGGCTTGCGGGACAATACTCCTCAAAGCATATCCGACCCCACCTGGTGAGACGGCCTCTGGCGAGCCGAAATCTGTTTTAACAAAGACTTTGCAACAGAAGATTCGATCGCTAATTTTCTACCGAGCGCCTGCTAAATGTATGAGGACAAAGAGGACTGCTACTTGGACGTTCTGTAACAACTTCACACTATCCCAATTTGAATTCGGGCTGCAACTTGGGAACTGAGGACCCAAGCTCCGTGCATACAAGTGGGACCCTCAACCCTGAAGCAGATGTCGGTGGGAAGATTGAAGGAAATTCACGAACTAAAGCGGCTTTGGCGGTGCATTATCGAGACCTTACTTCCCATCTCGGACGCAACTTGATCTCGGAGGATGCAGGTATGGCTGAGGTGGGATTATTCCTCGAAAGGCAAGGGCAAGAACAGATCCCTCTTCGCGGGAGGGCTTCGCTTCGCCTTGCTGGTGTGCCAAGTACCACCCTCTAGGTTCCAAGTATATGAGAGGGCGCATTGTTCTCAATGTGCGGATCAATGTGTGTGTGTGTGTGTGTGTGTGTGTGTGCGCTTGATGGTGGATGGTGAAATCCCAACAGTCTTCCTCCATCGTGTACCGCCACTATTCAAAGTCCTATCACGATGGATCCTTTCCCAGCCCAAGCCCTGTGGTTTTCGCCGGCCACCCTCTTTTCCCATTGAGGATTCAATTTCGCTCACCCAACCGGCCATCCCACTTGGCAGAGCCGGATGTGTTCTGCAGGATGGCACCCCACCCACCAAGGATATTTACCCAGCTAATCGCTGCTTGATGCAGTTGCTAGTCCACAACTCTGCGCCGCTACCTCCACCAGCATCTCTCCAACACCTTGGAAAAGAAAGTTTTCCTATTCCACCCATATTACTGGCAGAACGGGGGCATCAGGGTTGTATCCCCTTTGTGGACAAGCACCACTCAGGACTTGAGCCGGCCACATTTAGCTTTTTATTCTACTATCCTTTTTTCGATATCATATTCCCCAAAGGCGCTCAAAGAGCGGTGTGGTAGCATTGCCCAACGTGGGGACTCCCCGAACTCCCCCACCACTCTCTAGCAAGAGTTGGCGAGATGGGCTTCCTGGCCCTTTTAGAGGTTCTTCAAAATCTCTTCTATAGCCAAGGATCCACTGATAATTGCGGTGTGCACGAAAGAGCCCGCAGGGAGCCATCTCCCTGCGTTTGAAGAGGCGGATCGCCCTTTTAACGGTTCATATAGTTGCCCAAGCGCGGTGATTGAACAAGATGAAAGTAGAGAAGACATTTGAAAGCATTTTGGCCATGCTCCTTCGAAGCCGTGTTGATATCGATCTCCAGATTAGAAAGCCAAGGAATGGAGGCCTGAGGACACCCATAGATTCGGAGATCTAGGTGATCTCCGACCTCTTGCGAAGAGAGGGCACAAGTCTGCGCTGCAGTATGGCAGTGCGCGCTAGGTGATGCCGTCGAAGCCAGCCATTGATCAATCTACCCTACCCTACCCTGTGGAAGCGCAGAGCTGCCAGATCAGATGCACCGAAAATGCCGTGACTTTCAGTGCCAGCGTTAGGGCCAACCACCTTCAGGCAATAGCCCGTTGCAGCCCAACCACCCATTCCATGTCTTCTGCTTGGCCAGGAAGATCTGGAGCTGATGAGCGGCTAGCTTCAGACTTCCTAGAAAGCGCACGCATGCTGCGGGGAGGGGAGAGCGTTCTGCGAACCATTTCTTCCTATCCTTAAAATAGAAAAAGAAGGCCTCGATATCCGGCCCGGCCGTGACACAGGTCGAGACGAAACGTCTCGACAGACCGTGCAGGCACCCTCCGCGACTCATGAAAAATCGAGAGACTCAAGTTGAGATAGATCATGTAGCGTAAAACGATATTTCAATACTTATCCTCAACGCTGATTTGAGCTATTACTTCGTACTTGGCTCGGGCGACTAGTGTCGCCCGTTGGAGTTGGCGGATACTGGGAGTTGAATAGGCGAGAAGCTATCATATCATGCTTTTTGTTTCAGATCCAACACCCACGTTCGTGGCCGCCCATGTTCCAAGTAAACAATCCAGCAAGTGACCTACCTCAAACCCAAGGCATCGAAGAAGACGCACCTCGTTGAACCCGCCCTTTCAAGCCACCAGAGGCGCCGCTGTCGAAGGGGCGGTAACCTATCTATCGCCCTTCCAGTCTTCGTCCTGGGACACTTTATTAAGCTTCCCTCCCACATGCACACACACATTGTGTTGGTTCTGCGGCTGCCGAGCCCAGGCCTAAGTGGCGCTGGTCAGATGATGGCCTGATAATCTCCATTGCAGCTTCGCTTGCAATCGAAGGAAAAATGAACCGACGGTGCTTCGACCGTCCATGTCGTTTCGAACGATTGTAACCACATCCAACTCTCCTCCGGAGACGACGAAACAAAATATTCATGCACCGGGCTCTATCCGTGATGTGATGCCCGAAGAACGAGGACAAGGGCTAGAGAGAGGGTAAAGGGGAACACTCGGCGTGCTGGCCATCCGCCACTATCAAACGTCGAACCCTACCTGGTTGATGACGGGCGATGGGGCGGAGATCAAAGTGGCTAGGGTCTGATTCACCAGGTTCTTCCTTATCGCTCAACCCCTCCAAGCCGCCCCCTTTCCTACCCTACCCCTCTGACTATCCCTCCCTCCCAAAAGCGTACACTGATGATGAGCGTGAGGCAAATGGCAAGTTCCCCTCGCCCAGCGGGCTGGCCCCATCAAGTATGGTACCTCATAGTTCTAAAGCTCTCTCTTCGAATAATGATCCATTCACTCTTTTCCCATGCAGCTCAAAGATCATGGGAAGCATTCGACCGGAGCCGGACGGGGGCCCGCTGCGATGGCTGCGGGCGAAAGTCGTATGTGTAAATGACTTCATCGGAAGGCGAAAGAGCCCCGGGTGGTCTGTAAACATGTCACCAGGTGCGCATTTTGTGGTGACGATGGCTTCATTCGGAGAAATGGGGGAGCGGCATCTCTGTTACTCATTGGGTCCCCTGTCGTGTGAGCCACCGTCCTCTGCGATCTCCAAAGTACTCGACACACTCTCCAGCTGGCAACGGGAGAGCTGGAGAGATGTGGGCCGACCTTGGGACCACCAGAAATTTCCGGCTCGAGGTGTCATACACTAGTTCCACAAGGAACATCAGTGAGAGAGAAAGGAAAGCCAGGGAGGAGGAAGTTCAGGGACCAGGAGGGCGAGTGACTTGCCTCCCTTCGACAAACTTGTCCTGGGGGTAGGTCAACTTGACGCCCCTCCTTTGGACGGGGGTTGGGTGTGTACCAGCGACTTCGTCAACATCAACAAGTCCGACCCTTCCCCTTGCCATGTTTTTTGCCCGTTGTACTCCGTGTCCAACATGTAGCACAGTGTTTTTACACATACAGTGCGATGTGTCTTGTGCAAAGCGAGCAGGGGTGTGGGGTGGAGGCGAACAAGTTGTTGACAGTGTTTGGGATTTTACAGTGTGAGGACCCGAGATGAGCCCGTCCACGGGGCAGGTTCTCCAACCGCCTTGTTTCTGATTCCCTATCGCTTAACGAGCCGGGGGTGGGCTTTGAACGACGCCACAGTGTGACTCCCAAATCCGGTTCGGCTGGTTATGTTCCTCCCTCTTCATAAACACAGGAGGAGACTTGCCAAAGTTCGATTGGCGAGTGCGAGGGCCCAAGCGCCCCCTTTTATCCAACTGAAAGTGCGAAGAGAAACCCCACGACCCTAGATCATCGAAGGAAAGGTTGTTTAAACATGAGATATCTCGAGGTGCACGAGGTGCACGAGGGTGGGCGGGGAAGAGGCAGGGCTCTGTGGCCGTGCTGAGCCCTTGCAAACGTAAAAGGCCTCCAGGTGAGGGAGCTTGCTATTGCGCTATCAAACGCAACAGGTGAAGGCCGCCCGGTTAACTTGGAGGAAAGGAAAGGGTCCAAGGCCCTCGTCATACGCCGCTGGCTTGTCTCAAGGGAAACATTGCATCTCATCGTGCGGCGAGCGACCCCCACAACCCTCCCAGCGATTCCCCTGACCAAGGGTTCAAATGTTGCGGTGTACCTGGCCAGTTGTGCCCTGGGGGCCGACTTTTCGTCACTGGGTTGGAGCGGACGGGCGGCTCCCAGATCGATCATATGGGGCTTAGAGCCCTTGGGGATGGCGCAGCGCAAAAGCAGCAGGACGCAGGCACAGCGCCGCTCCTTCCCTCCCACGGGTCGCTTGTACCAAGTATTCGATGTTATTTCGAGCCTCCCAGATCCCCCCGCACCACTCCCATGAAGATAGGAAGTTAGGCTGTCATGCCTTTAATTTCGAGGCTCGGGATGCACATCTGAACAAGGCTGACGGAGGTTAATCAATGTCAATGCAGCTCTTTGTCTGGATGAGGGTAACAGAAGAAAGCATCAGTCCTTCCCGACGTGCGGTGCCTTTCGACATTATCTCTTGGATACCTGCCGCCTTCCTGGAGCCAAATTTGTCTCTCCAACGGATTGGGTGACGCTCACAGGCTCTAGGCCGGTCCGGCTCTCCCTACTTTGTACAGTCATGCAGCGGAAGGCACGCAAAATGGGCATCTACTGATATTGGGAAAAGAGCGCCGAAGGCATCATTACAAGAACTTGATTAATATCCTAGGGGTAAATGGGGATGGAGGGAAATTCTTCGGTTCATTGTGGGATTTGAGACGAGCATGCATCGCCTCGCTACCTGCAGGCTTGACGGCAAAGAGAGGAGGGAACAAAGGCAGAACGAAACTCTTGGGCGAAGCTCTGCCAGGGGGTGGTTTCACACTGACGTCGCAGCGGCAGTGCTGAGCATCGAAGAGGAACCCGACACCATGGGGGGTGGCGGGAGGCAGCGGCTGGCAAGCTCCTTCGTGCAGTGTGCAAGTCGGGTTGACGCAGGCCAGGCACCAGCTCATTTCCCCAAATTTGTGCATAGGAAGGATGGTCGTAGAAGGGGAGCGTCCCTTTCGTTCTTTGGCGTCTTCGAGGCGCTAAAGGGGAGGAGATTGGTGTTTTCCCAAGTGTAATAAAAGGAGCAAGAGTCATCTCGTCAAGAAGAATCAAGCTGTGGCTTTGGGCCTCGAGACAACCTGAGCCAGAAGAACAGGAATCAGCCCTGGAGACGCTCTTTTAGACTTGACTTGCAGGGCTTGATCCGATATAGCCACTCTTGCCACTGTCATCAGAAGCCCTCAACAGTCAAGCGTCAGGGAGATGACGAGTTTACTGGACTAGGGCATTGAGAGAACACATCACAAGTCGGCCGGTCCATCATTTCGAATGAGGGGCAACTGGTCTGGTGGCAATTCGGAAGGGTGGGAGGATAGAGCATCCAAAATTGATCAAGATCCAGTCCAGCCGGGCACTTCCAATGAGCTCAATGTTCTTTGTTTGCCTATTTCCCTTTTGGAGAGCTCATCTCTCCCGTCCTCACCCACTGTAATTTGAAGTACAAGTAGCACCTTGCACTGGTGTCCTGACTAGTGGAGTCCCTCTCAGGAGAGACCCTCCCGTATTAGATTGATGGGTCCTATACAGGAGGCAATAGCGTCTTTCATGCGTGCTGGCTTACTCCGTGTGGCTCATCAGGGTTCCTGCCACTGTGGGCTGGTTTCTGACCGTGGGAGTGAATGGTTCAAGTCTCGTCTCTTGCCAACCCGGCCAGGAACCGGACCAGCCGCCGCAAAACCGCTCGACTTTTTGTCCAAAGCAAGGTCTCGTCTAGGTTTACAGTGGGACACGGAGTACATTGATCTGAGGGTGGCACAAGAACCGTCCCAAAACCTCGCTAGTCCCGGATTGGACTAGGGTAAAGCGACCTGGGCCAATGGCATTAGGGTGGCAAGGAAGAGACCCACTCACATTGCGTCTCGTGGCCTTCTTTGATTCGCCATGCGTGGGCCACCTGTGCACTTGGACCCTCCACCTCCACCCGACTTCCTCGTTCTGCGCTGCTCGAGGCCTTGACACCCAGGTCCTCTTTGTCCAATTGTAAGCGCTCACCAGATTTTAGCGTCGCTGGCACAGTCCACTTGCCACCTTTCCCGCATGTACACTGTCCTCTCCCTTTCGGCACTGTTCACAACAAGTGGTACCCTGCGCACAGTGTACCCAGTGATGTACCTCGGTACTCCCCGATCCTGAGGGAAGCAAGACGCACCCTCCGTCCTCTTTGCAGTATTGGATACGTACCTCCTGCTCCTGTCCATCCGCTGGGTCAACCCTGACGCTTTCGCCGCTAGTCTTCCTCTGGTTCTCCCCAAGAACCCACAGGTGCCTTGTCCAACAAAAACCCGCCATCGCCATCCCCGTCTGCCCGCGCCTCCTGTTCCAAATTCCTCTCACCTTCTACCTATCTCCCCGCGACTTCTTTCTGCACCAATATTCTTACCATCCAAAAGCATAATTTCACAAGCCCTCCTCCCAAACAAAATCACCAAAAAGGAAAGGAAAATCCGGTCTGTTTTGCGATCTTCTTTTCAAGTTGGCAATAATTGGAATCTTCTTCTTTGCGACTGAGTGCGACTTTTCTCCTGAAAAAGACTGCTATCTTTTTGTCCTCCTTTTCTCAACAACTGAGCTCACCGATCTTTTCCCGGTTCCCCCGAACATCAAAAGAGCCCCTCCCCCTTCCCCAATTGTTTGCGTTTCAAAGCTGGCTTCTCCCCTTCGCTGCTTCGACCTCAAACAACACCACAAGAAACTACATCACGGCAATAAATAAGGAAGGACAGCATAGAGCTTTCTTTCCTGGCGAGCATTTCTCATAGAACTCAAACCTCCACACTGAGATCATAATGTCTGCATACTACTACGGCGCGCATCACGCACACCCAACGGCCGCGGTTCCCAACGCCCAGAACCACCATGGCAGGAATCGCAGGGCGCCCCGGCTTTCCATGTCGCAGAATGCCAACAGGCAATACCGGACAGTTCGAGTCTCAAGGAGCTCTCCGATTCCACTGCGCTGATGACCTTCCGCACCCGGTTCGAAGCCACTCGGTCTTTCGATCTCGAGGACGACATGGAATTCTGCCCCGGCCTGTTGACGGACAGCGATGTGAGTGATTGCAGCGGGTCGATCTCTTCTCGGTCTTCCAGCCCAACTAACTGGTCCCAAAAGCTGGTCTCCATCCATAGCGCTTCTGAGCGTTCTTCGCTCGCAAGCGGTTCTCCCGAGTCCTCTCCCACACAACAGCCCCAGACGGTCGCTCCGGCCTTCTCTCTCAACTCTGCCTCGCCTTCCTTCATCCCTCCTGCGTTCCAGAACCAACAGTCCAGCCTCAAGTTGCACCAGCCTGCAGCCACCCGTGGTCGCGCCATTCCTATTGTGAACCCGCTCACCGGTGCGACCATGAGCAGCCCGCCTCCTTCCGTCTCCCCGGCCAGGATGCAGCAGATGCCTCTCAGGCGATGGTAAGCCATCGTCCCGCCAGCTTTCCCGTGATACGGTGGCTGTGATGGAGATTATGCGCGAACCGTTTGCCGTTACAGACGTCTATTTCTTTTTGCATTTATTCATGATATTTTTACTTCCTGCTCATCCTGGTTGAGAAGCAAATTGTCATCTTGGCCGGCACCGACGACGAGTATTTTGGCATATTACACAATTTTGGAACAACAAAAGGCGAGGCCATCGATACGATGAGACACTGCTCTTGGGGCTGGGCGTCCTCTGGGACACTCGCAGACACACAACTCAACACAAACACTCTCTCCCCACTCACTCTCTCCTATATCTATTTTCTTCCTTCTTCTCTCTCGACAAAACGATTCGTAGGTCAAGAATCTTTGGTCGTCTAGATCGACTCCTAGATCAACCGTTCGGACGAAATATCCTCCCACCTCGACTTGTACAAATTACACCTTTGATCATCTCGATACTCTGTTTCACCTACACGGAGAGGATTCACCGTTCAGACGTTGATACCCCAGCATCACCTATCGATTTCCTCTTAGAGTCCTTTCAGTTGTTCCTTAATCCCGTTATTTTCGCCCTTTTGTTATTATACCAGGAGACGTCGGTGTTGTATCGGTCCCGAAAGATGAGGCTATCATTTGCAGTTTTTTTCTCGATCATGGTATGAACCAGGCGTTTTTATTTTCGACAACGGGGGCGGTTTGACGTTTAATCGGCATTGCATCGGGTTGTTGCAACAACTCAACCTTACGACGGAGTTTTTTCGGTTTGATCGGGCAATATTTTTTGCCTGTCTGATTCGTTGTTCGCGACATTCATAATCTCCATCGCTCCTCCACGGTTACTTTTATTGTTTTATATCACGGAAGCGCGGACGACTGCTTTATCGTTGTGGGCGGGATACAAAATCTCGGGCTGTCTCAAGTTTTTCATCACGGGTCCACGACATCATTCAGAAAAAGAGGAGGCCCTTTTTCTTATACCTGGACATATAGAGAATGACTTCTGGTCTTTCTTTTCTTGTTGTTTTAACTTTTGACACAAACTCTTATCGGAAGCGGGCAAAGGGGAGCAATTGGGAACACAATGCACACTGGGAGCAGCTGTTTTTTTTCTTTATTTTTCTTCCACTATCACGGGGTGTTATTTTTTCCGCTCTGGGTTCATTCATGGGAAATATCACTTGTTTGGGCGGCGGTCGGCAAGACATGAGAAAGGCGGGAAGCAACTGTTTTGCAAAGTGTATGTCCATAGTCTGGGCCGAATCGGGGCCATTGGTACTGGGAAATGGGGAGTTGGGTTCGACGGCTTGGCTGCTAAGATGCCCCTGCTTTGCAAATACAAAGGAATGTTTACTACTTCATACACAATCTCGTCTTGTGAATTATTGCGTCCTTCGGTGCATCGAACTATCTATGTCGATACTGCACATCGGTTTTATATACTGATGTCCGTATCGGAACACTTGCGTTGTCCTCCGCATCTGAATGAAGGCTTGTATCTCGTAGCCTCGGCAAATAGGTAACTTCCGGGGTCTGCCTTGGTCTCCGTTGATCTTTCTCGCAAGAGGGATTGAGCTGGGGAAAGAGACATATGTGAACACTCCGGCACAACTCCCGTGGTGGTTAAGTTGATGCTATTGGCTGGTGCCTTGTGACCATGAGCTAATAAACACGTCCTTGGTTCTCGGGCGAACAGCAAATAGAGACCAAGAAGAAATGAAGAGCGATGGTACTGCGAGGTAAATAGCGGCGCGCCTTCGAAGAGTAGGGATTAAAATCCCCACCTCCTTCCCAATTACAAGTCAGGTCTCTATGTCTACATATGTAGTTAAAGAATATAGACGAGTTGCCCTCCTGTCTTGTTATATTCGAAAAATGTTTGGTTACGTTATCAAGCAAGGGAAGTTCTTGATGAGCCATGACGGTAAGCATGTTTAATCAGCGTAGTGGCCCCGAAGTCAAGGACAGTGGGGAGGCGTAAATTTCTCGGAGAGACGAAGAGAAGGAACGGAGAGACGATGATGTGGTTTTGATATACTGTGATCAAAGGAGACGAGGATGGGAGGGAAGATGTGGATCTTGGTAGCTAGTGCGAGTGAGGTCATAGATGATGCTACTTAGGGCGTCGAGAATTCATCGCCAAGTTTGGAGGTTGAAGCTTAGACTATGTCTGAGTTGGGGCAAGTTTGATTGAGGAGAGGGGACATTCGCAAGCTCTCTTCATCACAAGTCATTTTTGGTGAGATGACTGAGATTCACGGATTGCATGAGGCACGATGGGGCTCGGGGCCCTGAATAGATAGAGGCGTAGAGTGCCGAGGTATGCGGCAGAATATGACTAGAGCCAGGGCTCTGAAATATGAATATGACTTGATTTCCATGTACGGAAATAGAGTAAGAGGGCGCCTCGATGCCCTGACAAGCGCGCGTGTGTTGGTACCAACTTCACGGGATCTTTGCACACCAGCTCTAGGGGCGACAACCATCGCCTCTCGTTCCTGGCCTGAGCCTGCTCCCTCCAATTGGAAGTAAGCAATTATAATGATCTCAACGGATCAAGAGATGGTTGGATCCATGGATGTATGCAGTCCCGTGTCTGTCTGCAAGAGGCCAAGGCTATTCTTAACGTTGGTGCTGTCTTGACACGTTTGTCAACCTCGACACGCACCGTTCAAGATCGGGGCTAAGAGAGTCTGGAAATCTTGTTCTATTACCAGAATATTTGCGATAACCTAAGACCTGCCCGGCCTACCAGGGGGAAAAGGGAAGGAGGGAGCATTGTCCCCGAGCTCTGCCCAAATCAGTTGAGGACGTTTGGCGGTGCGGGATAACCTGACATGCGAGCGCTGATCATGATCTGACGTCAGAGGGTGGAGCATACTCGCAACTTGCACCATCGCTGCTGCTTTGGCTGTCGCTGATACGGAAGGTACCCGGGCAATGTATGACGAGAAGAGAGTGTAATAGAGCCCGAGCTGGGAGTAAATGATATATAATACTTGTAGCCAAGGCACCTCTTTTGGTTTTTCGTTTCTTTACAATTCATCAATTGGTCGAAGAGTAATATCAATCCTCATCTACCCATTCATCGCCCAGACCTCTATCCTCGACTGCTCAAAAGAAATCAAATTTTCTTCGCCTTAACGAAACACGAACCCTCTTAAAAGGACTCCTACCGCCCCCCAAAAAAACATGTCTGCCAGCCTAGCTCTCCGTAGTTTGAGGACGCGAGTTCCCGCCGCCGCTTTCCAGGCTAGGGCCACCTACGCCACCGCCGGCACACACGGTAAGTTAACACAAGAACAGCAAGAAGCGAGTCTTCCGGAGAAACTACTCGCGCGGGTATGTTTTTTGTACGAGTATACTAATGCGCCTGCCGCGTACAGGAAAGAACCCCAAGAACACACCGCAGAGCCATCAGCCCCTCGGGGAAAAGGGCCATGACCAGTGGATGCCGTCTCTAGCCAGCGCCAGCGAAGAGGCCGTCAAGGCGGACCGCGAAGACTTTGCCGGCAACGACGAGCTGCAAGAGTACTCGAAGAAGGTCACGGAGGAGTTCAAGCACACGGAAAAGAAGCCCAAGGACGGGCTTTGGAGGAAGGTTAGTGGGGACAATAGCAAGAACTGATAAGGCGCGCGCGTGTAACGTTTAAGAAACGGATATTCCGTCGCAGGCTAGCGGCGAGAATTCTCAAACGAGAGACTGATGTTGGAGAGAGAGAAAGTACGCGACACTTGGTTCCGCGAATGGTCCGCCATCACGGCAGTTCATTACTTGGGTTCCGCGGAGCGTCAAGAAACCCAGACTGGCATGACGAGATGGGCAGGCGTATCCGCCTGACGAATAAATGTAAAACAATCCATAATAGATTTTTCTTGTTCGAACGTCCAAATTCTTTCAGTATGGGGCAGCGAACAAGATTATGCTGGATCTACTGCTACAGTAACTTCTTCACCAGCACTGTAGATGCAAAGTCAATCGAGGATTATTCCCCTTGATGAATATGTGATGCTGCCTTTCAGCAAAAAAGCTGGCGCCTGGCCAATAATTCCCCACGACTTCGCCATGAGGTCTTGATGATGACGTAATCTCACGGGAAGAATACTTGTACACTCGGCCGTTGTTTCGTGTTCCGCATTGTAGTCGCAAGTTCTCGCGCTCCGCTCGCTTTTAGGCGGGTGCGCCTGTAGTTGATGCTCAAACCCACCACAGCGACCCCCTGTTGCTGTCGGCCCTATGTACCAGACCAGACCATCATTCGCCCGCTTCCATTACCAACATCAATCCTTCCAGCATCGAGAGTAGATCTTTGAGGACTCTGGAACGTCACCTCCGTCTTATCCTCCTCGCCGTATTTCTTGCCTGTGGCTTTTATTTCCTTTATCTCCTCTGCCTCTACATGCAACTGCTCTCGGTCCCATCGTATTTCCCTCACGGTGTTGACGAACCCATCTTGTCCTTTCCGTCGACTGATCAAGTCGCCCAGTCAGTCCCGAGCTTGTTTCCGGTCAGCACATCCGTTTCGTGCTCTCTCCTCAATCGCACGAGAACTTGGAAGCCCCGGACTCCCACCTCCGTACCTCCACGCCCATGATACTCGATTTCTCCTGGTTAGAATAAAGCGACCCAATAATAATAAAAACACAAAAAGACATCCGCCATGTCGAAGCCGAACCAGCTCTTCCTGCTCGCCGACCACATCAAGCTCTCGCTGCTGGAGCGCCAGCGAGCCCAGTCGTTGAACCTCGAGGGCAACTCGCAGGACGGCCACATTTCCCGGTCTATCGAGCAGTTTAGGGATGGCCTGGACGCTTTAAAGAAGAGGAGCAGAGGCTCCGGGACAAAGGCAATGAAGAGTGAGTTTCTACCTCCCCCTTCCCCCCTCTTCGGTTCCCCGGCCTCGACAAACGTTCCCCATCTCTTTTAAAGCCCGCGCCGACTTTCCCACCACGATGGCAGACAACAATGCAGCATATAGCTAACACGGTCCCTCTGTTCTTCCCCCTCTCCCAGCGCCGCCCTCAACATCTCCGACGCCCTCCCCTCCCTCCAAAAACAGCTCGACGACCTCACCTCCCAATTCCACGGCTTCACCACCCTCCACGACCTCCACCCTCACCCACCCCAACGACCCCTCCCTCGCCTCCGACTTCGCCCACGCCACCACCGTCCCCGCCGCCAAGTCCTCCTCCTCCCCTTCCCCCACAGCAACAAGAAGCGCACCTCCCGCTCCCCCACCGCCGGTCACAAGTCCGTCCGCTTCTCCGACACCCCCGCCGGCGACAACGGCGACGACGACGACGATAACGACCCCTCCATCGAGCTCTTTGCTCGCTACCGCGACGAGCCGGGCCCCCTCCGGCGTGGACCGCGCCCAGGGCATGACCAATGAGCAAATCCACGCCTACCACGCCAACGTCCTCGACGAGCAGGATGAGCAGCTCGACCGCCTCGGTGAGACTATCGGTCGCCAGAGGGAGCTAAGCATGCGCATGGGCGACGAGCTCGAGGCCCAGATCGAGATCCTGGACGAGACCGACGCCATGGTCGACAGGCACCAGAGCAGGCTGGACAGGGCGTCACGGTCCCTCGGTAGGGTGGCTAGGAGTTCCGGGAGACGCGGCAGATGGCCGCCATCATCATTACCATCATTATCCTAGTCCTGCTCATCGTCATCCTCAAATAACGTGAAGGGGGACGAAGAGGGGGACGAAGAGGGGATGAAGGGAGGCAGGAGTGCGCGGGTGCGTTCTGTTTTTTTGAGGGGTTTCAGCATGTCACTTGTTTTTGTCTTTTCATGCTGGCGTTCGGTTCTTCAATGGGTGGGGCGAACTTCCTTGCCCAACTCCTTCTCTCCTACACTATCTCTGCTGAAGGCTCCTTTGTTACGCCTTGCTTCATCGACGGATGCCGGGAGAGCAGTACTTTTCTCATCGCATAGGTTCGGAACAGGAAACCTTGTAGGCGCTGGCGGCGTTCTATAGCTATCTTTAAAATCATCACAATTCTTTTTTGGACAGGTCTACCAGACCCTGTTGTCTTCGCCTCCTTTCTCCTCTTTCTTTTTTCCTTTTGGTTCTTTTAGGTTGTACAAAATTCAAGCGCCGCTTCTAATCCCATATAAAACATACAATAACCTCGTCTTCTCCTCTTCTCGGTAGGCTAGACATGTGCAGAGTTGCAGCATCGGCCCAGGCCGGTCCGGTGTGGGCCGTGTATCAGTACTAGCCATCTACTTCCCGGCTCCTTGTGCCCTTGTCGGAAAATTCAACATGCTGTCAACGAATGAGATCCCCTTCTTTATCAATACCTTCGATGCCCTCTAGGATATCGCTCCCTCCAAGCATCCCGGAGACCCCGACAGTGGCCTTCCGTCCGGCCGCCCACACCTCGTGAAATTTGATGCTCTCATCGCTCGCCGCGACCACGATGCACCCTTCTCGAGGGGTAAGGTTCCTCCTCCCCTCCCACGGTCTCCTCGACTCCTTCGCGATTGCGGCCCCGGGTATGGAATGGCGTACAACGCTCGGTACTCCCTGGCCACGGGATGGCTCCCACCTGCTTGCAATCCGGCCAACTGAAGATGGCGATACGGTACGGGTGATCTGGCTGTGGGTAGCCAAAAGTGGCTGCGATCTCTCTCCTTGTTGTCGACCAGATGAGGGACGTGACCTGTGCTGACACCGTGATTGTTGCGAGGGCAGCGCCCGTTGTTGTGTGGAAAAAGTGAATGCACTTGTCGTTGGAGCCGCCTCCGGTCGCTACGAGGCCCTCTATCCACGGACAAAACGCAATGGCTTTCACGGCAGCAGAGTGGACCCAGCGGAACCGCTCAGACCCTGGCAGCATGTTTCGTACGTTCGGGGAGGCAATTCGCATGATTAAAAACTCCCCTTCATCATTGATGAGCGTGTCCTCCTCGCCGTCACCCCTGCCATCGTTGTTGGTGTGGCTCCCATACCCTCCGATGCTGAAAGGATGTCCTTGAGCATCTGGTCGCGGCGGGCCGAAAATTTGATGAGTACTAAAGAGGCAGCAGTGGTTGTCATTTGCCCCCGAAGCGAAGAGCTCGCCGTTTGGGGACCAGGCCAGCCCGCACACTTGCTGGGCGTGAGCCTTGATTCTGGCGACCAGCGTCAGTGCCCCGGGCCAGGTGTCTCTCTCCACTTCCCAGCGCATCGGCCATTCAACAACATAGTAGAAAATGTCACCTTGATAGTCTCCTACCAGCAAATCTTCCGTGTTGACCGGAACGCCAGGGTTTAGCGGGTTTTTGGACGGTCTTGTGGTACAAACAGGCCGCCAGTTCACGTAGGCTACTGGAAACGGCTGTTCAATGTCGAACCGAGGGGAGTCGGCCTCGCTCGGTGTCATGAGACTAAGATGGCCATCAATCCGGCCAAAGGCGAGAATGTTTTTCTTGCCCTGGGATGAAGAAAAGTCAACCGAAGAGATCCAGCACTCGGCGGGGCAAGCTTTCAATAAGGACACGCCCTTATCCTCGGTCCAGCCATAGAGAACGTTTCCGAGGCCCATAGCCAAGATACCGCAGGTATCAGAGTACGCCAGCACGGAACAGTAAAAGTCATCACGTAGATTCCGGGCGTCAAGAACTCTGCCAGAGGTGCACATGTCAGCCTACAACGACACCGAGAGCGGTCCGCGTCAGGGAGAGGGGACCAAGGGGTATAGAAAACTGTCACCCGTTCACAAATGGTGCGGCTTACCTGAATGGCGATGAGGGGAGCACCCGAACAGGTGCTCGAGTCACTGGTTCTGCGGTTCCAAACAGTTAGCTCATTCAGTATACACCCAGATATTTCGAAGGGAACCAACCTTTGATATCGCCATTATTCTCCCACCGGATCCCAGACCATCTCGTTTCCCGACCTTCGGTAAAATGCCGCACGGCTGCAAGGCCAACTTCTCGCTCCAAGGGGGAACCGGTCGAATCTATCTCTAATACTCTTCTGGTGCGGTCGACATCAAGCGCGCGGGCGAGTAAATTTTCGTGACGAGCTTCCGTCTCTTCCAAGTCGGAGCCGCCTTTTGTATACGTCGTTGGGAACAGCCCGGCATTCGCGCCGCTCTGGACGAATTCCTCATGACCCTCGTCAACGGAAGCAATACCGGTAGTAATTCCGCCAACAGCCCAAACTGTGCCATTGCTGGGTTGTCTCTCCCACGCCTGCCGGTTCTGACCAAAACCAAAGATGCGTAAATCTACAACTGAGGTGTTAGTGCTGATTGGAGCGCTCGAACACAGCCATAATCTCGTCCATCACCCTGACTCACCATCGGGGAGCCTCCTCGGTATATTGGAGGGAGGAATAGGATGGCGAATCACTGATGGTGTTGTGGTACTCGATCTTGATAGAAATGGATCGGCACTAGCCTTACGGTGCCTCAGCAGCTTCTCAGCGCTAGATAGAGAAGAATGGTGTTTTCCGAGCCTTAGCCTCTCGGCAAGGGGCGACTCCTGGTGCCTTTGAGGGATGAACCTGTCAGGTTGCCTGATCCGGGATCGGGTCGAACTTCTAGTCCCGGTGCCTCGCTTGTTATGCTTTGGCGTGACCGGGTTCCCGTATTCCGAATGAAAGACGAAGGGAATGACTGAAAGCCTCTTTTTGTGTTTCACGGGTTCATTGTCGGGCAGCTCCTCTCCTGGAGATAGCCGGCGAGGACCGAAATCGCCGTCGCTTGGGACTCTCTAATCCCCATGCGAGTCGGCGCCATCGTAGCCGAAGCATCCTACTGCTAGTAGTTCGGGAGAAGGCGTTGCTCCCGCCGACCCGTATGCTGAATCGCTGGGCGAAATGGCATTGTTGGGCAGGTTTTGGCTCTGCCGGGGAGGTAGGCTGCATCGAGGAGCATAGAGAGACGTGGTCCCTCACCCGCCCGTAGGCTTGGGCGAGATTCCTTTCGCCTCAGGTCATTTTTGTTTAGAGAAGAAGGGCATTCACGGAGGCACGGAGGGGCATGCGGGCGGGGAAGAGAAAAATATATGGATGACCTTTCACAAGGCGCACTGCTAAGGATAACTTGAGAGGTGCATAAAATGATGGGGAGTTTCGGGGCAGTTGTTAAAATGAGAGGACAGTCTGGTCTTGAGGCATCTATACTAGGTCAACTGTAGCAGTTGGTGAGTATAGATGCTCTATCGAGGCCTCGAGACGTGATGAAGGCTGTCTTGATATGGGGAATAGGAAGAGATTGGGTAGGAGTAGACGAAGAGAGCGCGATTAGTGCAAGTGTCACTACCGAGGTAGAGATGGATCAATTGATGGATCGAGGTCTAGAGGAGACAAGACGAGCAGTCACAACGCGATTGTATTGATCTTACTCGAGTTACAACAACAGCGAGCATCACCCGAGAGACGAGTGGGGCATTGGTTCAACAAATCGCTGCGCTTGATAGTTTGAAGTAGGTGCGCTCGTCGAAGATGTTCAAGGTTTGGAAGCAGGCGCGAGCCAGAAAGGTGGAGCATGACAACGGATTGGGGTCTGATTCCTCGCGGGGTTGTTGGGGAGAGAAATCCGGAAGGGAAGGTTCAATAGCTTGTGGTTGGGAGGCTGATTCTCAATACAGAAGTGGTACCCCTATGGCATTCATTCGCGCACCCTTTCATCACCATTGTTGCCAGGATGACTCTAAGTTGGGATCAATTGATCCGAGGGAAAATGACGTGGGGCACCGGAGCTCATCTGTCACGCGTTGGGGTCTCATTGTCAGGAACCGGGTGGATATTCTACTATCAGTGTTATTTCCTTACAGAATAGACGCCACCACGCACCTGCCGCTCCTTCTTGCCTGCATGTATGCATTCAGGACGTGGTGCCTCCAGCCAGTCAATGTCCGGAATGACTTCACTTACAACACATCGTCAGTCACACCCAACAAAAAACATCAACCTAACCCAACTCTCATGAGCGCCTCCATAAGATAACAATCTGAACCCGAGCTGGCTATCGCCATGCTCTCCGCATTCACAGCTCGACCCATCATCGAGCTCAGAGCCCGTGACAAGTCCAAGATCGAAACTATCTTGGCTGATGGTGAGCTTCCCTTAAATTCCCACCCGCCCCTCACCCTTCTACCTTTGCCGACGCCACCTATCTCTCGCGCAGCCCTAACTTTTCTCATGGCTACCAGGCGACCGGGTCTTTGTAGGCTTGAATACAGGCTCCCTTCGAATTTACCGTGTCAACGAGCTTCACCCCGAGAAATCGACAAATGGCTCTTCCCAGCCTTCGGCCTCCGCCGGCCGATCGCCGAGGAACTCGACCGACCAGCCGCCGTCGCAAACAAACCAGAAACCGACAGATCTCCTACGAGAGGTTGAGAAATTCTCCACGAGAGCTATCGAGCAGCTTGCGGTCATAAAAGAAGCCAACACCCTCGTCTCCCTCTCCAATTACCACGTCTCTTTTCACGACTTCCAAACCTACGAGCTCGTCGAAACTTTGGCCCGCACGAGAAATGCCTCTTGCTTTGCCGTGACCTCCAATATCATCAAGGACCCTGCCACGGGCATCCCCGAAATTATAAGTCGCTTGGCTGTTGCTGTGAAGCGTAAGCTCCTCTTGTGGAGCTGGCATGAGAGCGAGCTACACCCGGACGTCACCGAAGTCTCCTTGACCGAGACGATCCGGTCACTGACCTGGGCGAACGCGACTAAAGTTGTTTGTGGCATGAATGGAGGCTATGTACTTGTGAACGTGCTCACGAGCGAAACGGAGGAGATTGGAAGTTCGGGCGTAGGGGCTCGGCTGGTGCGCAAGGCGGCCGCTTCGGCGCCGTGACCACATCCGGTATGGGCTACATGGGTCTCGGTGGCTATATCCCTAAACCACTCTCCGCAAGGCTCGCCGAGGGCGAGCTCCTACTGGCCAAGGACATCAATACCCAGTTCATCAACGACGAGGGACAGCCGCTGGAGAAGAACCAAATACCGTGGCAGACGGCGCCTGAAGCTATCGGCTACTCTTACCCGTACATACTTGCATTGCAAGCACCCGTAAAGGGAACATTGGAAGTCCGGAACCCCCAGACGCTGTCATTACTCCAAACGATCTCCTTACCAGGCGCAGCACAGCTGCACCCCCACCCCCATGCTGAGCCTTGCCCAAGGGAAGGGCTTCCATGCCTCAAGTGAGCGATGTGTATGGAAAATGGGGGCTACTGATTACGATTCGCAAATCAAGCAGCTTGTTGAGGCGGCCGGCTACGACGAAGCCATAAGCATATTAGATATGCTCGAGGATGCACTTTTGAGGAACAAAGCTGAGTCGCTCCGCGAAACGAAGATGCTCAAGGCGGAGAAGCTCTTTAGGCAGAAACAATATCGAAAGTCGTTGGACCTCTTTAATGATGAGGACGTGCATGCTCCGCCTGAGCGTGTCCTACGACTGTTCCCCCTTAATTGCGGGCGGGCTTTCCGCGTATAAACCCCCGAGGTTACGGAAGAGCCTGAGATAGAAGCTGTCGATGGCACGAATGGTACGGAGCCGACAACGCCGGAACCCAGCACACCCTATGCGTCCTCTCCAGCCAGGGGCGCTGCTGCCGGGGAGGTGGCTTCGTCTCCATGTTCATGGGTGGGCGGAGACAAACAATCACCGACGACGCATCTACGAAGTCGCCCAGGAAAGAGAGCACGGATAGCGATGACGCCGCCAGCATAAAACCCAAGCCTTCACCGGATGGGTTCCTCGAGGGCCAGGATCTCACCAAGGCTGTATTGGAGCTCAATAGCTATCTTGCTGGGACCCGCGCCCGACTGCAGCGTGTCATTGACCCTGCAACGGGCAAGCTTAAGCCTCGATCGTCCAAGGACAAGACTGCAGAGGAGACCTTGAAGGCTCTTTTGTCGTCTGCCCATGACGAATCTGATCTTGAGCTGGAAAAGCAGCTGCGGGAGACGTTTACGCTCGTGGATACGACCTTGTTCCGGGCATACATGTTTTCTCGACCCACGCTTGCGGGCTCCTTGTTCCGCATCCCCAATTTTTGCGACCCGGAAGTTGTGAATGAAAAACTTGTGGAGCACAACCGCTTCACCGAGCTTGTTGACTTTTTCTACGGGAAGAAGCTGCACGCGAAGGCGCTAGAACTCCTCCACAGGTTTGGCGCCGCAGAGGGACCGGACGAGGCGGCACCTGCTCTCCATGGGCCCCAGCGAACGATTTCTTACCTTCAAAACCTGCCGCCCTCGGAAATCGACCTCGTGCTCAAGTACGCTGAATGGGCTCTTCGTGCGAGCCCCGACCTCGCGATGGAGATCTTTGTTACCGATACCGAAAACGCCGAGACGTTGCCGCGGGCTAGGGTGGTTAGCTTCCTTTCTGGCATCGATCCATCTTTGGAGATTCGTTACCTAGAGCACATCATCATGGAGCTGGACGACATGACGCCCGAGTTCCACAATAGGCTTGTAGAGCTGCTTATCCAGCACCTCAAGGATAACGCGAGGGGCGATGAATGGGATACTGTGATGGAGAAATTAATCAAGTTTCTGCCCTCGAGCCGACAGTATAGCTTGAGCAGAGCGTTTGGGTTGATTCCACGGGAAGGTAAGTTCAAGTTTAGATGCATGCTGGGAGCGTGATCTTGCGCTGGCGTAGAAATGACTAACCCCCACTGGCTAGATCCGTCATTCTATCAGGTACAAGCCGTCATTCTATTCCTTATGGGCCAACACAAGCAAGCACTGGAAATCTACGTGTTCAAGATGCAAGATTACGCCAAGGCGGAAGAGTAAGTTGGAATCTGACGCGGGCGACACATGCGCCTAGACTTGATTAGTGTTACTAACGTCGCGTTACTTTACTTCTAAACGACAGGTATTGTAATCAAGTTCATTTGAGTCAGGAGGCGCACCCGCCAGCTTCGAGGCCTCAATCTCAGCAAAGCCAAGCGACCCCAGAAGACGCCGAAGGGGACGCGCCGCCGTCAATCTACCACACTTTACTAGCCCTTTACCTCACGCCGCATCCTCCCCACGCGCAGAACCTCGCTCCAGCCTTGGACCTTTGTCCAAGCATGGTTCCCGGCTGCCAGCAGAGTCTACGCTGTCGCTTATCCCAGATAGCCTTTCTGTGAGTAAGCTAGAGTCTTATTTCCGTGGGCGCATGAGGTCGTCTACCAGCATGGTCAACGAATCTCGCGTCGCTGCAGGGCTCCGTGCCACCGAATACATCACGAGCCAAGCGCACCTTCTTCTTGGCGATGGTGTGCCCGGTGGCCAGGCCGGACGAAGCAGGCGAGTTGTGGTGACGGAAGAGAAGCTTTGTGGTGTGTGCCATAAACGGCTGGGTGGGAGCGTGGTGTCGGTGTTGGCGGACAACACCGTCGTGCACTACGGTTGCGCGAATAGAGCGGGCATCCAGAGGCCCGATGGTCCAAGGGCGGCGAGCTGGGGAAGGACGATGTCATAGATATCGATCGCATCTTGATATCTAGGCAGGCAGGCAGGGAGGAGTGTGTAGAAAGATATATCCGGTATTGTATTGCTTGCCACGGGCGTATGAGGCGCTGTGTTTCGTGTCATGCAGCCTTTTTGTTCCTCTTGTCCTTTCTTTCTTTCCTTTCTTTTTGGCTTCTCTTTCTTCATCCCCGATATCATATTCATCATTCATTTGCATAAGTGGAGGTGGCGAGAAGGATGGGTTCTCTGATCTTGGCAGGATAGTCCCGTTTTGGGATGTAGATAGTGTGTATGATGGGTAGGCTGTTCGAACACTACCCTGTATAATCGATTCTTTGTGGTCGGCTTTTGACAAGCTTGCTCCTGGTTGGGGATCAGCTTCACTCGTCCTCTTCTACGACCTCTTCGCCATAGTTTTCCTCCTCTTTGGCCTCGTCAGTAGAAGCCCCGGCCGCCGCTCCAGCCTCACGGGCCTTGTCCTCGTCCATACGGCGGGTGAGCTCCCTATTGATGTCATCCTGGGCGGACGCGGCGGCGGCACGGAGGGCGGCGAGATAGGAGCCCGGGTGCTCCGGGTGAATCTCGGCGGAAACGGAGTGGGAGGCGGTGAAGGGCTCGCTGGTGGGCGAAGAGTAGGTGGCTGTGAAGCTTGGTTGGGTGGTCGAAGACATTGTCTCGGCGGGACTGTGGGTTACGAGTGGGAGGGAGTGGGCGAGGTTGAGGTTGGGAGGGGGGCTTGGGTCAAGGGTGAGCGAGAACACCACACACGGGGCGTTGGAATGGGGTTGGAAGGGAAGGAGTGAGGCGTTTGAGATCCTGCTATCTATGTGCGGTATGAAGGGTTAGGTCGGTGATGCGGCGGACGGGTTGCTGGATTGATGGGTTTGAGGAGCAAGTGTCGTGTTAGAATAGGAGGTTTTTCTTTTCTTTTCTTTTTTCGCGATGCGATCGAGTGGATTTTTGGTGAAGACATTGCGGGACCCACCGGGTTATAGCGGGGTAATATTGGGCTTGGGAAGCTGCATACAAGTTCAATGTTCAAATTGTAGCTGCCCCTGCTACGTTCAATAATCTCTACATTGGAGCGAGTTTCCAAGGCCCAAACTAAAGGTGATTAATATCTCGATATTAATACAGACAGCCCTGGAACTAGCCGTGATCAACGCAAACAAGAAGGTGGATACGACAGGGCAAACCTGGTCCATTCCCCCCGCTGCATGGCATGAGGAGAGAGAGCCGATCAATGATGTTAGTCAGGAGGATTGCATCAATAGGTCCCACCTTGTCTGCTCTTCTCCTTCTCTGGCGATGGGACGGGAGGACAAAAGCAATATTTACGAGCAGGTCCCCAGGGCGAACTCATCCCATCTCCCTGCATGGCGAGCTGTCACTGGTTGACTGGCCGGGATGAGGTACAGGGCAGGCAGGCGGCCCTCCCTCCTTTGAGATTCAATTGTGATCTAGCGTACCTCGGTACACTAGAGAAGACCCGGGGGTGGGTTGCAAGCACTGATGCGACATTGGGGGGCAGGATGTGGCTGGCTGGGAGGCGCTGAAGTGCCGTCAGCTTTTTTCTTTCTGGTGCGTCTATTGGAGGGAGGGGAGCTAAACTCGGCTTCTCGGAGGGGGCCCCGTTCTTGTGCGTGTACGAGGTCGGGCTATCCGTGGAAGGGTTCATGTTCTACGTTTTCTTGATGGGATAGATTCATAGATGGGTTGTCCATCCAAGCGAGGCAATGGTGCACTGGGTAATATCTTGTAGTAGGCTAGTAACGGAATATGAAGCACTGATAGGGTAAGTAGTTTTGGCCTGGGAATAACTACAAGTACGAGGTCCATCTGTTGCTGAAGGAGTCAATTGGATTGTGTGTGTGGGGGTGAGCTCTGGAAAACTCATTCTGCCCCCTTCCTTCACCCCTGGCTGTGTTTCAGTTTCGATGAGGACACACAAACGGATAATGGGGTTCAAACGATGGCGCAAGGATGGCTACATGGTGTTTTGGCTGACAAGACAGTGAACACAGTGATACAACACACTCCCCTTTTGGAAGAAACGTTTTGCCAAACTTGAGATTCATTTGATGGATTATTGATGCTTCAATGTTATCAAGATGGACGGGCTAAAGCCTTATCCTGGGGTTGGCCTATAGGGACCACCCGTGTCCCGGAACCGGATCGGAGTTCGTGGGAGATGGGAAGAGCCCTATGTTCATATGTTCATGCTCGTTCCTGCTCGTGCTTGAGTGGGATCGCTTTAGGTCAGCCACTGTGAAGGGCTCAATGTTGATGAGCACCGATTGAAACCAGTCAATTGAACCAAATGGATCAATGTACCATCAAGGAGCCAAGACAACATAGGTCGAACCAGGCCATCCAGTGTGCACATTCGTTCAGCCCCAAAACCCCAAGGTTCAAATGTTCCCACACCCCAGGCTAGGGCACTATTGCTCCCATATTACACCAGTGACTGCGCTACTTGTACCACCCCTTCCTTCGGCGTCGAAACACTGGTTCCCCTGCAGGCCCGGCCCTGTCGACACCATCGCCTCTCCCCAACCGCGGATCTGACAACCACGTCCAACATCACATGGGCACCGAGCGTTCGTGTACAGGTACCTTGGAGTGACACCCCTCATGCGTCTGGTCTCCTCCACTCCTCCCTGTCCCCCTTTTGAGTGCGGCGGGCATCTTTGGGGTCAATCGAGTTCAATGTTCAAGTTCCTTGTTCGGTGCAATGGCAACCCACTTGCGCCTGTCCTTGATCCAGCTTTCTAAGCCTCGCACGCCTCCAAGTTTCTCTTGCCTTGGACACCTGTCGATCAGATCTTGTATCTTGCCCACTCTTTTCCTCATTCCATGATCTTCGAGCACAAGACCCTCAACCTTGACCTTGATTGACGCCTGCGATCATCCCTTCATTTTCGTCTTATTTTCTTCTTATTTCCCCTCACATATTCTTTTGCGATTAGGAAAATACGACGTTCCTTCTCTCCCCCTTCTAATCTTGGAATGCTACCCTAGGCCGCCTGCGCTGTCTCGACACTTGCGAGATCGTCTCCAAAACCCAGAAACAACCCGCGACAACCGCACTCCAACAAGGCCCGCCCGCCACACAACCCCAACAGTGGAGTGGGATTGGGCCAACCCAACAACCCAGTCCATTGTTTGACCATCGTGCGCTTCTGAATGAAGATGTAAAACGATCCCCTGATATTATCCCCCATCCCCTCGTCTTTTTTTAGTGTCTCTCGCGTACGAGGGGAGCCGTCCTCTTGTCTCTCTCGCTCTCCCTCTTCCAGACCCGGAGGAAGGAATCCAGCGTGCCATCGCGAGGGGGACTAAGGCACGATGCACTCAGCACGGGCCCAGCGGGCCCCAGGGAGCTTCTCCCCTTGGCGAGCAACAGCGCAAGCACAGCTCCTACCACAGCCAATGCACCACCCCCTTCGACAGCCGCCACCCATTCCCACAGAGCGGCGCCCTTCTTCCTCGAGCGACGATACCGCGAAACCGTACAACCTCTTGAGCAACCAACCGCGCGCCCATCAAGTCACAGCAGCCGCCGCTGCAGCGGTCGTCGCCTCGGGGAAACGATCAACTCCCAATCCCATTTACACACATTTCACCTCACATGCGAACTCGAGTACCTCGAGTCTTCAGAACTTTTCTCGACCCAATCTCTCCGCAAACCCTGGGCGTTCTCCCACCACGCCTACCACCAACATCGACCCCATATCACCGCGTCTCGTCCCCGCGACTGCCCGATCAGTATCCTCACAGACATCCTCTAGTGTATCCTCAACGAGCAAGATCGGCCACCAAAGGAAGTACTCGAACCAAGGCCACTTTGAGCCGACGTTGCCCTCGACCTCGACCTCGAATCTGTCCCAGGTCGGCATGGCGCAGTCTGGCTCCGCTGCCGCAGCTCTCTCTGCGAGCCAGATCGCCGCTCAAGCTGCCGTCCTGAGCCATCAGCAAACTGCCGGCCAACACTCTCGACAACGATCACAGACTGTCCCGACCCCGGGCCAGTCCGAGGTCGATGGCCAAAGAAAACCCACCCCTATCAGGGTAGGGCCGTTGAGCCCTCCCCTAGTGAGCCTGACCGAAGCGAGTGTGCCCCGAGAGAGCGGCTTCGCGAACCAAAGTTACCGCAACGGGCTTCTAGGTAGCCATAGCACGGCTGCAACGACCGCCGCAAATGTCGTCTTTCCCCGGTCCGGGCCGACGTCGCCAATGCAGCCCTCACACTCACCCACCGCTCAATCCTCATTTGCCTTGCCTGACAAGCCCCTGAAGCCGGAAAAGGAAAAGTCCAAAGTAAAGCTCTTCTCCCGCCCGCGTAAAATTAGCACCAAGGGCGAGACCGACGAGAAGCCTCTTCCTAGTCCCGGGAAGATCGGCTCCGCCTTGTCTGCTTTGCAGAGGGGAAATTTTAGCTCCACGAGTCTGGTTGACTCGTCCAGCGCGTCCTTTTACAATCTAGGAAACTCCTCCGCCGCCACCATACGCCCCGTCGACAACGAAAAAGAGGGCAAGGAAAAGGAGAAGAAGCACCATTTTCTGTCGCGGCAGAAGCAAAAATTAAAGGAAGAATATCACCTCACAAGTAGCTCGAGTACACTGAAAACCGCCGACTCACATGGCCTGGGTAACCTGTATAACTTTAGCTTGCCGCCCAGCCCCGCGCCAACCATGACCTCGTTCCCAAAGAGTATAACTGGTTTACATGGTGGCAGGAGGGATAAGCGCAAGGATGAGCGCTCCGAGAGCCGCATGGACAACGAGTCCATCTTTTCTTACCCCACCGAGTCCCTCGCGGGGTCGTACCCTTCCAACGCGGGATACTTGGATTCGCTAGACGCGGGGAAGTACGGCCTCTCCTCCATATCCTATGATGACGCCTGGCCGTTTTTAAAGGCCAAGATCCTCGTGGTGTTTCAGGGAGAGGACCTCCGTATCAGCATAGAGGACCTAAACAGAGTGGTAACTCTACATATCCAGTACTGCATTCAGAGGAGATCCCCAAACATCATCCTCGAGGATATCCGTGACCTCCTGAGTACCGGCTTCTTATCTCTCGACCAGGCCCTCCGGAAAACGCCCGAAGACAGGGTCATTCCTGCTCTAGTTGAGCTATGGCTCTTCACCTTCACCTCTGTTCTCCCCTACATGCAGGCCGTCTTTCTCCCTCTCGACCTGGAGTTTGCTGGGGTCGGTAGTCTCCTCACCCCGGACAAGGCCCGCGATTTCTGGGGCGGTGTCCTGGAGTCGGGCGTCCAAGGCTCCCATGTAGCCCCGGCGTCCGCCGTTATCGACGTACGACGGCTTGTGCTGAATGCCTACCGTGATATCGTCATCCTCCCGCGCTATGACACGCTCAAAACGATATTCTCCCGCCTCTCGCTCGAGTTTCTCCCTTCATCCTTGGCAACCATGGCGCTCGCGTCGCCACCGCCCGAGCCCATGATCCTTTCCACCAGTCCTTCGGGCTCCTTTGGTTCGTTTGGACGACCAGGTACAGCTCCGAGCGTGGACCCGGCGTTCTCAAGCTACAATTCATCAGCGTCAACCCTCCTGAGCGAAGCTAGCATGAACCTACCGCGGACCCGCGCCATCTCCAACGTATCCAAGGGAGTGCCACCGGCAGCGACGGCGGCGTGCGCCCTTTACGCCCTCGAGCCTCCAGGCGCTCGGTGGCGGCGCCGCCGTGGGCCCGCGCGAGCAAAACGTGGAGGACTCGAAGCAGGTTACCGAACTCGTCGGCCGCATGCTGCAGTGCATGAGTGTGTTGGCGAGCGTTGGCGCCGTCGGTGACGGGACCGACGTGGATGGCGATGAAAGATGGAGGAGCTGTGCAGGCTCCTCAAGCTCAACTGGTTTGGTCGAGGGAGGACGGGGCGGAACAGGCGCGGTATCGTGGGCGGACGTGTCCGGAGGGGCAATACCGGGCCTTCGCAACAGTCGCAGCTCCAGCAGCTCCAGCAACTTCAGGGCAGGGAGGAAGTTCGAGTTGCGTGAAAAGCCAGACGTTGAAGCGCGGCCGAAGCGTCGCCGCCTGGATTTTTATATATCAGCGATGAAACACACTCGATGCTTTTGTTCGCGAATGGACCGCTTGAAGCTGTCATCTGCATAGCAGGCCTTGCCCACTCGCCAAGCCCTTCGATAGCTGGGACTGTGAGAGGTGAAGCAGCCAGCTTGCCAAATAGTATCCTCCACCTTAGCAGCTTCGCCAGTACTTGCGCCAGCACTGCGCCCCAGCGCGTCCCGTGTGCCATATTGGCAATGTGCGGTCATCTGCCAATACATCCGGGCCGCCGCACATATAGCATGCCCATCGGAAGCCGTGACTCAAAGGATATCCACAACCCCAGATAGAATAGGCACCGACAACCGACACTGTCGATACATTCTTCAACCTTGTGGATACCTTCCGGCTTGGTAATAGGCAGGATTACAAATCCGGACTCTCCGAGTTCGGTGACAACCAACTTAAATCTCCTTGATGGGGACCCTGTTCAGCAGGTTCAGCCAGCAGTTCAGGATCGGAATCCAGCAAGGAGACTCACACGCCAACTCGGAGAAGATGGCTATAGGAACAGAAACTTCACTGTTATTGAAGGCGCCTTTCTTATCTTCGCCAGCCTCAACCCCAAGGGCCTTTTAACTGCCTTGCAACAGGTTCTAGATGAACTTTCAGCCCTATATACCTTAAAGGCGATGCTGGCAGGGCGAAGTCTTCCAGCTATCCACCAAATCATCACGGATAAGAATATGGTAAGATGGGTCAAGGGGAACATTGACACCATCTAAAGTTCCCTCCCATCGAGATAACCCAAGACGAAAGATACATATGATGGCAGGATGATCCTCTGATCATCCTTGCCCTCAAGGTTATTCTGTGATTGGAATAATTCTTGGCCAAATAGGTTGCTATTTGAGTAGCAATGGTCTTAGAAAGCGTAAATATGACAAGTATCTTTGTCTTGTATGCTTCTACTTGCTGGTACTCTTTAATATAGTTGGCTAAAGTCTGTGCACAAGTGTCGGCAGGCATGCCCCCGGGGCCTTGGCTGAAATTGAAGGGGATAGAGCTGAAGGCGATTTTGGGCTGCCGGAATGGGCGGGAGAACGTTGGGATTCTTTGTTCAACCAGAAGCTCAGGTGGGGGCGCCTGGATGCCGCAGAGCTGAACAGCCTCCCTTATCCTCGCAGAACAGACTGTGTGGCTTGGTTCGGCTTCCCGAGATGGCGCCAGGGTCGCGATGCAGACTACCCACCGAGGGACATCTGCAAAAATCGACATGCAATCAACTTTACTGAATACATAGGGATGGATATAGGGGCAACATATAGCCAGTATCCCTATCACTACCTACTCTAGTAAGAGTAAAGAGTAGGCTAATGAGGAGGTAGAAGGAAGGAAAACAGTGGTTAGAGTATTGTAGCAAGATATATCATAGCGCACACCTACTGATCAGCTACTTCGCAGCTCTAAAAATAACATCAACACGTTGTATCACTATATCTCTGCTTCTACTTTTCTTTTATCGGGTTTCTAACAAGGCGGGTTCTTGGGGCGTCGAGGAATCTTGGAGGGAAACGAGACCATAAGGCGTTCTTTTTTTGTGTCTTTTTACATGTATTCTCGGGATATTGAGTTTTGACGACCTCTGGTCGAATAGTGTAACAATCTGAACAAAAAATGGGAGGAGAATCTGGAATTTCATGCTCTATAGCATCCTTCACACCCTTCACTCACCACTTGACTATTTTTAATTCATTTTTTAATAAGCAAAGGGCTCGTCGACGTGTACCTCGGTACTAGTAGCATCTTTCCTTCGAAAGCGAAAGGTATTACCTTGGGAGTCTACCAGGCAGGACGGCCAGTGGGCTACGAATTCGCATGAAGTCGCTGATGACTGGCTATTTACTTGTTTGTGTACGTGTGATGGGAAGCTCTGGATATTTGGACAGGCGGGACAAGTGCGTCACATTCTACAAGATTCTACGAGGAAAGGAGGTAGTCTCCAGATGTTGCGTTCAAGGATGTTTATATTAAGATGTATATATTGACAAGCTAAAGCCACCAGCCTTGTGACATGAGTGAAACCCACTCTGCTGTTACTATCTTTCATTTTTCTTTCCCCTCTGTTTCTGGGATTTCTTTCTTTTGGTCCAACAAGTGAGACTATGCAGAGCAGAAGCATGTTAGATCAGCTAGCTCAAGCGAGAAATGGCAAGGACTTGTTTCCAAAGTATAAAGGAAATCTCATCTCGCATCATAATCAGACATCCAAGGAAGGATTGACCCTCATATATCCCACAAAGGCTCTAAGGGGACTCGAGTGGAAACTGCGAATGTCGATGGAAATTTCATCATATTGATGCGAGATGAGACAGAGGGGGACCAACGAAGAAGGATAATCACTAACCTTTTGAACGTCTACGAGCATTGTAGAACTGCGAGGTTAGTGGAGAATTATGGGATGAAGCATAGCAATAGCAGGTAGAAAAAACTAGACTTTGATACCACGAAATGTTAGCAAAACTCGGCATTTGCAAAAATATGCTTGAATAAAATCATGGTAAAAGTTTCAAGGTCAGACAGGTATACTGGCAAGTAACAGGTCCTTGCGCGAACAAGGTCCCGAACAGACTAGATTTCTTCAAGGTCGAATCAGATGGGAAAAGAAGAACTTTCATTAATGTCATCAGAAAGAAAGGGGCAATCGCTCAGCACCCAGAGACCCGACTTGGTGCTCTCTCTTTCGAGAGAGAAGACAAGCACAAGTGGGCTCTGCCCTGGCCGCAACATATTCGTCAAGAAGAAGAGCAATCAGAGAGCGTAAGCTTACCTTGAGTGAGGAAGAGAGGACAAGTCAATGCCTTCGAATCAAAAATCAAGAATCGAGGTTGACCAAGACGTTTTCAGTCTGAGAGATGAAGAAGAAGTCAAGAGGAGGAGAAGCAAAGAACTGCGAGCCTCGAGCTCTTTATACTCCAAAAGTCGTTGACTAGCAACGCGAGAGTGGACCTGGGAAGAGATGAAAAACTTTTTCTGTTCTTCCCCTGGTTTTTTCTGCTGTGCTTGGTGCCACCAGGAGAAAAAAATCTAAACTTTTATGAAAAGAAATCCTTGGTCCAGTTTAACCAGAGGTCTGCCGAAAAGTGGGGATCTCCATAATGGAAAATTCTCGGCCCAGGATGTTGATCACGTGGATTGTTTGAAAGTACTGGACCGTCTGGAGTGACTGGCAAACTGGGTGGGCACAAAGTTTCAATTCGCACTTGTCCCCTGGCTTGTTGAGCCACCCAGGGTCCTCGTGTGCTGGTCCACTCCAGTTTTTGAGGTGCAGCTATGATACGGACGATGCAATACCTGCGACGTGAATGATCGACAGGCCACGGGGTAAGCTACTAGTTTCCGGGAATCGGGGAAAACCGACAGGGAGAAGAATAGACTCAACTAGAGAGGAAAAAAGATATACGCGAACAATCGAAATTCTCTCACTATACAATCTCTCAAGGGCGATGAGTCGAAACGGCGGAGGAGGAGCGTGGGGCGGGCGCGATTAGCAAAGTAGACAAATAAATTCGTCGAGCTGAACCACAGAGGACCTAGCCATGTACCGCGCAAATTGATAACGAATATCGATTCTAATAGAGGAAGTCTAGCAGAAGGCTTTTCCAAAAACGGGACCTCACGTTCTTTTAACCGATATGGAATAAGTCTTAGTAAGTTACTCGCTGTGGTAGGCCTCGCCTGGTCGCACTGGGGCGTTTTCATTGGGCCAGCCACCCGCGTCAAAATCGTTGTATGCAGTATACCACGGCCTGGCGCCCCGTGGCCCCCTCTTTGAGCGCGACCTTGTCCCCGTCCCACTCCCTGCTCCAAGGGGACAACTGAGTATTTGAGAAGCGATTGCTGCGAAAACAATTGAGTTGCTGTGCTTCTTCCCCCGCCCTCCCACGCTCGAAGAGAAAAGGTAGTGTCCAGGGAAACACATCCATTGGATCCATCCTGGATATATTTATCCTTTTGAGAATGCGCCGTCCGTAATCAGCGCCATCTTGTCCAGGTATTGAATTATGGAGATGATAATTGTTTGTCGACCTTAGCTGTAGACTACGGGCCCCAACTTCATGGCCCGCTTTTTATCCTTAATGATACTACGTTTTGGACCGCCTATCCTTTTACGCTTGTCCTGCCCAAGTCCCTCCTGCGTCTGCGCCGAACCCCAGTCCGCAGTGCCTGAGGAAGCCCCGACCCAACTTTTGCTTGTGCCATATTTCACGACGCTACTCTCAACCAGACCTCTTCCCCCATTCTTTCCCGCTTCTTACTCTAACCTGCTCGGACGTCCTCTTCCCTTTTCTAGTGTTCTCAACATATTTCTCGCTTATTAGGGGTTTTCGCCGTGTCTATCGGGCTCGGAGTGTCTCAGCAAACAACTCGTCTTTTGGCCGCTAGGTAAGCTTTTAGTTCCTTTGGGTCCTCTATCAGGGCGTGTTTTGGTTTCGGGCTGGATCCATTGATGCATCTACGGAGGTGGTTATTTGTCTCATTCATCCCCCAATGTTGACCCGTTTAGTTGCATGAGGTACCGCAGCCCCATGTACTGAACGTCGTACATGAGGTGGAGCATGTAGAGACATTCAGGGAAAGCCCAAGACACCAGACAGGCACCACTCCACTGCCCATGCCATTCCCCCCTTCCCCAGATCCTAGGCGGTACCTAATCTTGAAGTTCCTCCACTTTCGCACAACGCCCCTTCCTCCCCCGAAACCGCCCATCCTCCTCAAGTCTTGGACCTCTGCTCTTGCCCGCCACACCCGTCGCGCAGTTCCTTCCTCTTTTCCTCCCAGCCCAGCCCAGCCCAGCCCAGCCCAGGCCTCCCCTTCCCGCAACGCACCTGCCCCCTTCCAAAGCCCATTTTTTCGCAAATTTTTATTCTTTTGTCCCGCCATTTCTCTTGCATCCAGATAAACAAGCTTTATGCAACAAAGGAGACGAAGACGCAAAATCTCAGAGCCACGCCCGACTGACTTTCAAAAACTTAATTTCCAGAGACAGCCACACTCTCCGACATCTCCTCCCGCCAATGCGAAAGCGCTTTTGATAATTCTCTTTTTTATTTTCCCTCTCCCTCTCCCTTTCGATCATTTTCTCCCTACGGCTCCATCCGCCCACCAACGAATTTATTGGGCGACCCGAACTGGCCATTTCGTCGCCGACTCCACTCCGCCAACCCCGAAGCCTACCTCGCTCGCTCCCTCCTCTCCCCCCTGTCTCCTCCGCCAAACCAAACTAGATCCGCGTCGCTCCATCTTCAAACGACAACACCTCGCTTTCTTTCTCGTCTCGGCTTTTTTCCTCGGTCACTTTTTGTCATTTAGGTTGCTCGCCTTTCTATCGCATTTTTTTGGGGGACCGAAGTCTGCCACATCTTCCTCGGGTGTTGGCCGAACTCTTTTCGCTTTGACGCCTTCCTTGTCCCGTCCCTGACTTAGCAACGATCAATTCCAACCCGTATCGTGTTGACGACCCATCGCTATCTGCATTGAGGAACAACACATCGTCGTGTTATCCTCGCCGCCCACGCCCATTTTCCCTTATCCACAACCTAGGAGCCGGGAACCGCAGCCCACACACTCCCTTGCAGTGTAAACTTGCAATCCGACCGATCATCCCCAGTTATCATCAATGTCTTCCACACTGTTCTAGTTAGTGCCGCCAGTGGACTTGATCAACCATCGCCATTCAAAGCCTAGTAAAGCCTAGTGCCCCCAACCAACACTCTTCTCCCCCGTTTCCACCCTTTAAACACATCCATCCAGAATCGCCGTTCGACTTGTGCATCCGACCCTTTCGCGACGCGTCCGGTCCTTACCTCGTCACACCACCGCAACACATTCTTTGCTTCCTCCCATCGATATTAGGCCGCCGCGTCGCCTCCTGTGCCCCGTTCAGCGTATCCTGGTTGAAATCGCATGGTGGTGGTGAAAGACGGACTAGGTAGAGTCGATATCCGCGCAGACGTGGATCGTCGACGAATCAATTTCGGAAGATGATGGCGAGTATGGGACCCGGCTTTGGCCATCCTAATGTCATGCAACAGCATCCAGGCGTACCCGGAGGCCATCCAATGGCGCCTGGGATGCCACACAACGCAAGTCAACAAGGCGTGCCGGGTGGTGGCATGCCTCCCCAGATGGGCGCGCATATGGCCGTGTCTGGGGCACCCGGCTCCCAAGTTCCCGCTGGCCTCATGGGTAGCATGCAACCAGGTGGGCCGAACGCACATGCTCTTCAACACTTGAACCCTGGCCAACCACAGATGTTCCCTCAACAGCAGTTGCACCGTACGTCCCCCTTTCCCTGCTAACCAGGTCCACTGAGCGCCATTCTCAAGCAGACACGTCTCGTGAGAGAAAGCCAACGCTAACCTTTGCCAATATCTCCATGTAGTCAATGCCCCCGGAATGCAAGCGCAGCTACAGCAACAGCGATATCTCCACCAACAGGCTCAGGCTAGGCAGGCACTCATGGCACAACAGCTACACGGTAACATGGGTGCTGTCAACGGCATGCCCATGGGAATCCCCATGCAGCAGCATATGAATGCCGCGCAGATGGCCGCTATGAGGCAAGGCATGAGGCCGGTAAGTAAACTAGTGCGGTGTCTCATCCGATCCTCTGTCGTCCTCTTTACTAATGCACAATTTCTCAGGGACAGCACCCGCACGCCGCCCAGCTAATGGCCCAACAAATGGCCATGCAGCAACATCACCAGGCACAAGCACAGGCTCAGGCTCAGGCTCAGGCCCAAGCCCAGGCCCAGGCCCAAGCCCAAGCCCAGGCTCAGGCGCAGGCTCAGAACCAGCACCTCGTCCAAGGCAACAACGGCCAGCCGCTCCAGATGACGGCCCAGCAACTACAAAACCTCCAGACGCAGCAAGCGCAGATTGCCGCTGCTAGCATGCAAGCCCAAGCCTCTGGTCAAGGCCAGCAACACCCTGGCCAGCGTCCTCAACCTCAACCCCAACCCCAGCAGCCTGGACAACAGAACCCTCAAGCTGGTCAGCCCCCGACCCAAGCCGGCACCCCGCGCCGTCTGCTGGACAGCAGACGCCAGCCCAAACCCCGGGCCCACTCCCACTCCTCAGAACCAGCCACAACCGCCCCCGAATCAGCAACAACAGCAGCAGCAACAGCAACAACAACAGCAGCAGCAGCAGCAGCAACAACAGCAGCAACAGCAGCAGCAACAACAACAGCAGCAGCAACAGCAGCAACAACAACAACAACAACAGCAGCAGCAACAACAGCAGCAGCAGCAGCAGCTTCAGCAACAGCAACAACAGCAACAACAACAGCAGCAGCAGCAGCAGCAGCCGTCCCAACAGCAACTCCAGAATGTGGCCGCCGCTCAACAAGCGCAAATGCAAGCCTTGGCGACGCATCAAGCGGTTGCGAACAGCATGGCTCTTCAACAGCGAAGGGCGGAGATGAGGAACCAGTGTTTTCTGAGGCTAATGCAGTTTTCGGAGCACCTTAGCGGCTTTCCTGTGAGCTTGACCCCAGATTCTTTTGTAGTGTCGCCCCTTTGTTTTCATGCATTCTAATGTTGGTTTCCAGGGTCCAAAGGGCAAGGGTGACTTGTCGTATTGGAACGAATTTGTCCACCGATTCTTCTCGCCCAAGGGTGTCTTTAGGCACTGGGTCCACATCAACGAAACGGACCAGGAAACAGACAAGCAGTACGAGATCGGGTTCCCTGCCTTGGCACGGTACTTCCACACCTACTTCGAGAGCGGTATCAAGTCGATGCAGTTTGTCATGGACAAGGGAACGACGGAGCGGCCGCTTACTGGTGACAGCTACTGGCTTGAGAACAGCCGATCGAGCTTCGTCTACTGGTTCGAGAGTGGTCTTCATGTAAGCACTACCAATCCCTTCCCGCCTATGGTTTGGCGATGACCAAATCGAGAATCGCGTGATGCTAACAAGAGCCGTATAGTTGGTTGCCACTGGCACCTTGAGGGTTCAGTTCGACTCGGAACAAAAACTTGAGCTTTTGAATTCTCCACGACGGGCCATGAAGAATATGTATCGCTCAAGAGTGTTATCAAGGCCGCCACACCGGCCCATCAATGGGTCAAGGACTGGCAGAAGCTCAACTCGCAGGACATCAAGTCTTCGCCTGAGATGAGCAAGAAGACGAAGCAGAAGCAGCTCAAGTCCCCCAGAACCCTCCGCCGGATGCGCTTGTTGATCTCCCTCCATCGGCCGTCAACGCAAGCATGGGAATACCTGAGGCAGTTTTCCAGTTCCTCGAACTTGCAGAGGTTATGGGCCAAATGGGACCTCTCTTTGGATATTGCCACTCTCACCCCGGAGTTGGCGCGTATGCGGCGGTCGACCAGTACGTGTCCCAGATCAACAATGTGGTGGCGGCGCAGAATATGGCGACGGGTCCTAGGACGCCGAGCTTCGCCAACATGCAGATGGGGGCCAGCCCTGCCATGGGCAACATCCAGCTACCCGGCGGGTCTCCCCATGTGGTAGGCTCGCCAATTCCCGGTCACATTCAGGCACCGGGCATGCAGATCCAGCGAAGCCACCAGGGCACGAGCTCGAGCGGCCCCAGCGCCAACACATCGCCGGCCTCGAATAAGAGGCGGCGGCCTTCTGGGGTGAAGCTGGAGGATGATGGGGAGCACCGACGCCAGGTGCAGGCGGCCAAGCCAACGGCATCCAGGGCAAGAAGAATCCTCCAACACCGAGGATGCCTAAGAAGGCCAAGACTGGCAACTAAACAAAGCGCAGCTACAGTACAGTCTTATACCGGAGGCGAATCCTTTTAACTCGCGTCAATATTATGGGTCATTATCAGCATGATGGTTGGGCGTCAAAGTTTGGGGGATTTGGTTTTAGAAGCTCTTTTGCCTGGTGCTTCTCTTGGTTCTATTTCTCTTTCAGTTCCCCTCCGATATCCAAAACTTTTTTGATTATTCTTTTTTTCTTCGTTTTGGTGTTGCTGCTGCTTTCTCGTTGGCCTCTGGCTTTGGTTTTGCTCCTCGCCATGTTTCTTTTTCTCTCCGTTCTCCGTCGTGCTGCTTCTTCACTTCCACTCTACACATGCGAGAACCTCGGGTTTGATTGAAGGGCGGGCTTGGTGTTGTTACAGGAATGGCGGGCATTGCTTTGTGTTTTTTCTCTCTTTTGTTTTGGACTGCGTATCCCAAGTTCCTGACCGACGAGACGACGCGCACGTTGTGTTGGGAGAAGAGGCCTCGAACGGTGTCAGTTCCGTCGAGGGTTCTCCGGTCCCGACACCCGCCGTATACTTTCTAGTGCTGTCCTCACTCCATGACCTCCAACCTTGCCCCCGAGCAAGGATAGAGGCGAGCCGCAAGACAGCGAGCCGTGCAGGGTTATTTGTTTCTCTCCCTCCCCTTGTCTTTGTATATCTCTTTTTCAAGGGAGGGGGGCGAGGAGGCATTTCCTACGACGCACAAGATATCGACGTGGAGTCCAGGATGGATTCCAAGTCACCGGAGTTTGTTCACTAGGTGCGAAGAAGAGGGGAACTTCTAATGTTTTTAAAAGAGGAATCAGGAGTTACCATGTATATCAGATGATTATTGACACGTTTTTCTTCACTCTACTTGGAACTGTGATTGCACCTTTTTCCTTTCTTGCCACCCTCTTGGGTGTCTGGCTCCGTTTATCCATTTTTCTCCCTGTTGGGGCTCTCTCGATGTTTTCTTTTGTGGCCTATTGAAGCGCAAAGTGGCAGAATATGACTAGGCGGTTGACCAAAAAGGTAAGCAAGAAGGAAGAATGAACCCTGTTCTCGCATAAGCAGCTGTGATGCTCGGCCTAGGAGGAATGCCCTTTTGGCGAGGGCCGACTGTGACGTCCGTCAAAAGCAAGGAACAATTCGCGGAAAAGAGAGTTGTGAAACTTGAGGTAATGGATACATGTAGTGGTAGAACAACGATACGTGCTAGGAGGGCCATGTCGAGAAGTCAGAAAAGGGCAAGCAAGAGTTGGGATGTAGCCCGGAAAGAGTCCATGGCCAAGGGGATTCGAGGAAGCTGGAAGAGGTCAACATGTTGCGCTCGCCCATCAAAGGCTGGGCGATGGCGCGTTCAACACGCGACTCTGGATGGCTCCACGAACTGGTTGCTCCTCCTATTCTTCATGGTGTCACGAGCCTGCCCTACCTTTTTTTTTTTTTTTTTTTTTGGACTGTACTAAGAATGGGCATCCTTACTTCTTCTAATCTAATGTTGAGTTTTATCTTGAGTTTGGTATGTGGCTAAGGACGCCGGTGATATGTTGTCTCGAAGAGTTGCAAAAACACCTGGATGATGTCCATTGCCATAGATGAGGGTGTTGGATAGTGATATGGCGAGGAGGAAGAGGATGTCCCTCCCCGGGGCCCGTGAAGGAAGTCCCGAGTGACGAAAGCGAAGGATCTGTCTCCAAGGCCAAGAGCTGTCGGGGGTTCGGTGGTCTCTCGAACGTTGCATTTCAAGGAAGAAAGCCGTAGGTGGCTAGTTGCGGCTTATGCGCGTCTTGTGTCCAAGCCTAGCATCTCCAAGATGAAAGGTGAAGGGGAGGGCTTCACAACGTACTTGAGATCAGGTGCGTGCGCCGTGGAAGGGGCCGGGCCGAGGTGTGTGCATATTTGGAGAGGAGCGGCTGATAAGGGGACCATGTGTGGGAGGGGACTATGTGTAGGACTGAATGGGAAGCGGAGTGTAAGAGAAGGAGAGGAAGAGGACCTGCGGGTGCGTAGGATACATCATGTCGGGACTCTATGCCTTTTGACTAGAAGGCGTTTTGATCATTCTCACTTTAGATGCTATTTTCGCCATCATGGGATCTCGGGGCAGTCTTCTTTTTGATTATTCTCTTTGTTCCCGGCGGGCCTCGTGGTGGGCCTACATGAAGTAGTGGAACGTTGGTGGGTGATTCTCAACTGGCCAAGGCCCCTCTTACCCATCCCTACTTTTGTAAGAGTAATAAAGTCTATATTTCTAGTACAACCTTGAGAAAACGAGTGGAGATGATGGTTCTTTCCTCGTCTTTAAGAGGATGGTATGAGGAAGGCTATGCATCCAAGACGGAGAGACGGGGCCAAGGAACAAGAGTGTAGAAAACTGAGAGAGGTCCGTTTTTGGGATGCGATTCCGACCAGTAAAGACTACAGTCCTCGGAAGAGATCCAAAGACCACTATTTGTACAAGTATGGGTGGAGGGGAGTGTAAGGCCGTGGTCACAACAAACTGACAGCCTGGCGGATCTCTATGACTGGCGCAACATATTGATCGTTCTACACAAGCTGACCAGGCCAGGAATGGATCAAAAGATGAGGCGAAAGCACTGATTCTCGGCGGAAGAACCTGTCTCTTTCTGTTCTCTTCGCCCCGTCGTGGAGAGGGGGAAGCATGCTGCACGCCTTGGAGGAATTTGTAAAAATAGAATCAAGGTTTGGCCGGTGCTGATAGGGCTGACTTGAGGCAGGCTGGGAATCTGTGGGACTGGCCTGGCTTGACATGCTCGAGATGCCATTCGCAGCGCACTCGATTTCTCTCTCTCTCTCTCTCTCTCTCTCTCTCTCTCTCTCTCTCTCTCTCTCTCTCTCTCCGCTCAGTGGAGCTTTTCAGGACCCTACTCAAGCTATTCATTTCGTCGTTGGGTGCAGAAGATCCAGCCATTGGGAGGACTCTATCTCAGCGTGGGCGTACAAAACTATCCATCGCCACATCCAGATGAAAGAAATGCGACCCTAGGAGAAAGAGTAAAAAGATGTCTGTGACGACAGAAATCGCTGGGTCGGCTTTACATTGTCTCTCCTATTTCCTTTCCCCTGTTCACCTGTTCACCAATAATACAAGTAGATAGTGATAATATCTCTTTACCCTTTTCGGGGCATGCATCAAGAGAACAAGGCCCCAGAAAAGTCCGGCCCGTGACCGGCAGGATTTTTCCCTTTGTTCTCTGCCTAAGAACCGAGAAGTTGGGTGGGTTTTCCCCGGAAGGAACGGGGTGGGGCGGGTGGATACACGCTGAGCTTTTGACAGTTCCATTCAACTAATAAGCCTCTTCAAGCTCGAATCTTTTTCATCAGCTTGCATGAGATCCCTCTCTGCATCGGTGAGTGCCGAAAACAACAAAAGACGGTCGGTAGAAATGCAAGAATATCTTTCTTCCTCTCGGGAAACACGCTGACGTCAAACCAAGTCGCAATCTCTCAAGAAACGGCGGTTGCTCGTGTTGCTCGTACACAAGGGAGTCATACGGGCCCCGGGAAAGGCCGGGGAGCACGAGCTGAAAAAGAGTCATTGGTGCTGAGGGACACGGCCCAAGCAGATGCGCCTAGTGGATAGTTAGCGGCACGGAAAGAATCGGGGTCCCTGGAAAACTTGGTTTAACCTCAGCGAGCTTATTTAGGTTAATATCAACGAGCGATAGAAGCTGAGATCACCGGGGATATCAAATTCTTAAAGGGTCTGGTGTCTTGGACTTAACACTCACTATTTGCTTGAACCCATTACCCTTTCGTTTTTTTCTTCTTTCTCGTTTTCACCTCCTACCCATTTCCCCCTCATACACACACAAAAAAATGGCCAACTCCTTACCAACCCTCGTCTTAATCCCCGGCGCATGGCACCGCCCCACATGCTACGACAAGATGGCCAAGGTCCTCCGCGAGAAGCACAAGCTCCGCTGCGTCGCCGTCACCTTACCCTCCGCGTCCGATAACCCAGAAGCCACCTTCAAAGACGACATCGACGCCGCGCGCGAGGCCGTGTCCAGCGAGGTGAGCCAGGGCCGTGACGTCGTCGTCGTCGCCCACTCGTACGGCGGCATGGTGGGCAACAGCGTCATCAAGGGGTTCGCGCGGCCCAAGAGCAGCCAACCTAGCAACGACAACGCTGCCGCTGTCACGGACGCTTCCGAAGGACAAGAGAATAGCCCAACCGCCAAAACGACACCGGGCCACGTCATCGGCATCGTCCTCATCGCCTCAGGCTTCACCCTCACCGGCGTCGCCTTCATGGACCCCTTTTTCGGCCACCCGCCCCCAGCCTGGCGCGTCAACGCCGCCACCGGCTTCGCCGAGCTCGCCCAGCCCGCGCGCGAGCTCTTCTACCACGACGTCGAACCCCGCGAAGAGGCCGACTTTTGGGTCTCCCAGCTGCGCGCCCACAGCCTCAAGTCTCTCTTCGAGGGCGGCGAGCACGCCTACGCCGGCTGGCTCGACGTGCCCTCGTGGTTCATCGGCACCGTCGACGACCGCGGACCCCCGTCGCCACGCAGCGCATGCAGATCGGCATGGCCCGCGTCCTCGGCGGCGACGTCGTGCACCGGGAGATGCGCACGAGCCACTCTCCTTTCTTGAGCAGGCCGACCGAGACCGCCGCGCTCGTCGCGGAGGCCGTCGAGGCTTTCTCCCGTCAGGTTGTCGAGGGTTTGCCGGCTGGCACGGCGGACGGTCAGCCGAGGCCGGTGCGCGAGACGGCCGTGCTGGCGCCCTTGGCTGAGCCGAGGCTCTGGCAGCCCCTGACGTGGCTCCGGTTCGGGCTGCCCCTTACCTTTGGTCGCTTCGTGGGGAGGTGCATCCTTGTCTCTCGATGGGTGAGGGTTTGTGGGGCTCTAGATAAGGTGAGTGTTTATACGTTGAGGAGGGAAGGACGAAACAAAAGAAGAAGAGAGAAGAGTGGAGGAGGGGAAGAGAGAGGAGGCCACGTCAAGGACCGGACCCAGACACTCTTCTTCTTCTTCTTTGCGTAGCCCTGGATCTTGGTCCGTTGTGGTGGTCTCTTCGTAGATCCATCGCTTGATGATAGTGGGGGCTTGTTCCACGCGGAAATGATGATGACGCCGATCGCCAGAGAAGGACAGTCTGGTGTGTACTTTTATCAATCCTGTAATCTAGACGCCACTCACTTAGTTTTATAATACCCGATAGAGAATATCTAAGCCATACTTCGTTTCACCGTACACAACGTTTTTGGGGGTTGATGGTGCGAGTCTTGTTCGTAGATTGCTCAAAAGGGAGAATGATCTGAAGCACCGGGTGCCAGCAGATTCTGCAAGCCGCTTCCCTCCGGATCCCTACTCTTGACTGTCTGTCCAACTTCCTTCCACTCGCCTTGCTCTGTGTATTGCCCTCTAGGCTGACTTCCGTTCAAGCCAGGATGCTTACTTGTGGAGCCAGGTAGGACGATTCTTATTGCCTTTTCGGGGGACTGTAGCACCCTTTCGGGCTGTGGGCCAGGAAAGATGGCATTGGAAAAGGAATCCCTAGGACGATCCACCACGGTTTGCCCTGTTAGCCGATATGACGGGCTCAGTATCATGATTACATAGTACGTTGCGGGGGACCAGAGCTACACGACATGTATGAATGCAGCGAGAAGTGGATCCCCTTGAGCTGTCTACTGCAGGAAGTGAGCTGCTCCCAAGCCCGTATTTTTGGCATCTGCGCCATTTGTTGCCCTTCTTCTCTTGGGACCAGCTCGGTCTCTGCCACGGCTGGCTCTCAAACCTCTCGGTCTGCATACGATATCTGGCAAGCGCTTTTTCCGCTTCACGTATCTGCAGGTGGTACGTGATAACCTCTTCTCTTAGGCTCCTCGGGATCGGCATCACCTTTAGAGGGGAAGCTCCTCCTCCCCTCTTTACCTTCCTCATCTCAGACATGGGACTTTGCATCGGGCACAATTTTGGGCCTCGACTGAATCAATGACAGATGAGGCCAAGAGTCGGGGCGACAAGGTGAGCCTCATAAGGATGGAGCAAAGGCACGACCAACCGCAACGACCATGAGAAAGAAAGCATCGGAATAGGCCATGACCATGAAAAGAGAAAGAGGAGAAGTGAAGGTCCAGCCCCAAAAGAGAAGCTGCCCCCTCTCCTCACTCATCACTCATCACTCACGGTCACTGATGCTGGCTGGTCAGGCCGCCCCGCCGGTCAGCAGATGCGCCTCGTATTCCCAGCGTCCAAGACTTGGGGTTCCTGTCTCTTTTGTTCCCTCTTTTCTTTTTCCCACCATTACTTTTCCGTCCCCCTTCTCATCTAGATCCCCTTTTTCCAGCAAAGAACCTGCCCTGTCTCGCACCCCTTCTCCACAAAAACTAGGGAACAAGGCCCCTCATCCCCGGTTCCAAGACTCCACTGCGGAATCAATTGGACGGAAACCCACCACGAACGTGGAACAGAAGAGGAACGGACCCTGCACGGCACTCGTGTTCCTCTTGTCGTCGTGGAGTGACCGTGGTATTTGGGGGCCGGGCTGAGCCGAACTAGGCCCTTTCCGGGAGGGGGGAGCTGGCAAAGAGCAAAGACCAGAGGGGAGCGGGGCGCTGGAAGCTTGGCCCCTTGTGCTGCTTGTCTCGGTTGCTTTACCTTGTGCTCGACAGGAGATTGATTTGATCAATGGATCGATTTGGCATGCCTACACAAGAGAGGGAAGGGGGTGCGTGGTGTGTGTGGGTGGGAGTGTCGATGCGGGCAGATGTGCAAGTGATGAAATTCGGTCTGGAGGTGGAGTGGTGTGTAGTTGCGGCTTGATGGGGTTGATGGGGGCGGTAGGGAGCAGATGGCGGTTGATTAGTTATTTTTCTCCTTGGCTGCACATGGCAATACTATTGTTCCGTCGAGAAGCGCGCTGGCTGCACCTTCCTTGCGGTGTCCTGCGTGTCTTGCCTGCGTGGATTTGTCGTATACGAAGAGCAGGTACCGAGGTATTCGAGGGGGAAGGCCTTACTCAGGAAACAGAAAATAGAAAAAGGAAAGAGCCCTGAGCGAGCTGGGAGGTGGAGTTTGCGCACGTAGAGAGATCAAGTCGCAATGGGATCAAATACGGGGGCCGGCACGGCAAAGAAGTTCGTCGTTTGGGCGTTTTTCGTTTTTTGTTTCCCTTCTCAATGCTCTTCCATTGAAGGCTAGGGAGTTGGGGTAGCGAGACTTATACACTAGCACCCGAATTATGCTATATTTAGTCGATCGGATCAGACAAGGCCCTGCCAGAGCCAGCCTAGCCAGCCTATAGCCAGCCATTTCATGCAGACACACCCCCATCAACTTGATCCGTGGGTGGGTTGAAATTCTTTGTTAGGCTCAGGGATCTGGCCTGTCGGGATACCGTTGCTTCGTACTCTAAATTCGCTGCCAAGTGGTCTTGGCGATCACCAGCCTATCAGATCGTCTACTTCATCCAACCTCATCCTTCTTTTGTTCCTTTTCTCGTATTGTATTATTTTCCCCCTCTCGACGCAAAGCTAGTGTCGAGCTCCCAATGTAGCTCGTACACCGAGACGAACATGGAGAAGCCCAAGGTGAATCAACCCTCTAGAGAGATTTGGCATTGGTTCAATGCTCTCAGCACATACACATACACACATACCGACGAGGATGTGCAGCTAATGAACGGCCCGAAATATCAAACGTAGATGCAAGAATAGCTCAATGGATGGCCTCTCCGAGTGAAAGTCATTAACGCAAGGCAGAAGGGCTCAACACCCGTCAATATTCACGCCCCCTCCCTCCCCCAATTTCTCCACTCGCAGTTCTGCTTTGCCTCTTCCGAGCAGCAGCGCTCTCTCTTCTCCCTTGTTCTTCTCCCTTGTTAGTGGTGGTTTCCACGGCGGAGAATGGTGCTCATCAGTGCTCCTCTTCGGGGTTGAGATGGATCTTTGGATGCCTTCCTCAATTTGGCAGGCGCATGCTGAAAATCTTCCCCGGATTTGACGTAGTGTGCTGTTCCTTTCCAGGCTGAGCACCTTGCCTGATTTCAATATTTCCCACTGCTGCTTGCTGATCCCTTCCTACCAGGACCAGCGAGCCAATAACCCCCTTCTCACTCTTCCTTGACGTCTTGACGTCCAAACCATTGCACTTAATCCGCCGACTAATCTCACTCCGTTCGGTGAGTAAGGCAGTGGACCTTGCCTAACCGTGGAAAAGGGCCTTCTCCCTTTCCGGTCTTATTTTTCAAAAACCTCTCTCACTTTTTTCTCCTTTGCATATTCCTATTGAATATGCCACAAGAGGAAAGGGAACAGCTCAACGATCTTAGGTCAGCCCCATCCAGCCCTGTATTGATAGCGTGGGAAACTACGTCGGTCTTCGGACCTTGGGCGGCGGCGCGTGTGCGCGTGCGCGCGCATTCAGGTTTTGCCTTGGCCTGTTGGCGGTCCGCGGTCTGAAGCTTCCGGACCATTTCGGGCAAAGGATCGCATAGACCGGGGGGCTGAACGAAGCTTGAGCAGAATGAAGAGGATGCGGCTTTATTGCCCACCCCTTGTCTGATGACTTGGCTCCATCATGACCAAGGAAGAGAATATAGCGCTATTAAAAGGAAGCAATAAAGAATCATCCAGCCATCACAGTGATGTCTGGTTGTCTCTCCATCTCCATATGCGTCGCTCAGCCAGCGATCAACAGTGCCGTGGCTTGCGCCGTGCGCCTGACTATTAGTTCGAATTTTGACCCGAGACAGGCAGTAAAAAGGGTTGAAGCGACACCACGGCGCTGGCGCGGATGACATGCCGGTATTTGGATCCATCGAGTGCAACGGACGAATAGTAGCGCCACTGCATCAGATTGTGGAATTCTACAAATGTCATCGATTCGTCTTATTTAGAAGGGGGTGGTTTGACCGCGCCTCAAAGCTGTCATGCGCTGACCGCCTCGCTGTCGTGGCGCCTAAAAGAGGCCAGGCGACGTGCCGTGTCCCCCGAATCTACAGATTCCCGGGGAGAGGTAGCGAGGTGCCGTGAAAGGTGGGTTTAAAAATAATCAAGCAAGACGCGCCAATAGGTGAGCGGAAAGAGGAGAGCGAGACAGAGATGGCACAAGGTGTTTGTGTGTGTGTGTGTGCGGGCAAGTACAGGAACTCGCTGCTCGTTTATGGGGCTTCTGCTTTGATTACTTTAGGAGAACAAGGTTGGCAGATCAATCCATACGGAATGCAAGACGATTGAATGCCCTCTCGCTCTTTCGCTTCCCTTTTCTCCCTGCGCCACGTTTTCGAGATGAAGCAGCCCTCTACTGATTCCTCGGCAATCCTTGCCTTGAGCCTTACGTGGAAATCCATCCATCCACATGGATCCATCCATCTCGTGGTCCGGAGGGATCAAACGTCCATGTATTACACTCCACGAGCTAGCGTAACATGTATTCTCCGACGATCATTAATCTTTGCGGGGTTGCTGGTAGGTCCACGACCGAGGGCGAGGAAGGATCCCCGGGACGTCAATGGGGAAGACGGAACGGGGGTTTTTCTCTTTCGAAGCAGCAGTGCTCCTTTTTCTCGCCATCAATGCCTTGCCAGGCCAAGCGAGAATCCACCCTCGTTCCCCCATGAAATCCATCCTGCCCCAACCCAATCCACACGAACAATGGATCGGCGATCCATCCCCAAGGCTGTCTCGGGCTCTGCTCACCCCCTCCTCCCCTTTCCGTTAAGTTTTGTCTAAACCTCATACGCCACTTCTGGATCACAAAATCAACAATGCCAAACAGAACCCAAAAGGCCCCCTAAAAATAGCAAGCACTTGGCGAAGGGGGTTTTCGGTTCTTTCTAGGTTACACATGTCTTCGACTTCGTCTTCTTAGTGCCGCTTTTTCTTTTGTTTTCCGTCCTTTCTGACGTGAGAATGGGAACGAGGCGAGGAGCAAGGATTGATCCACTGTACTGGTCCTAGATATTGATCCTTGGATGTCTGCTCCTGTGCCAATGTCATATACGTCCCTCGGCAAACTTGGCAGTTCGTCTTAGACGTCCCTCATGACCAAACACACATACGTCCACCTTCTAAGAGACCGTCAGATCAAACCCTCTTTTTCCGCTTGGGACGCAGAATATGCAAACCCCTGCTCCATTGCTATTATGCCGTTTTCCAATACGGCCTTGGCCAAAAGCTCCGGGACCTCTATCCCTCCCCCGCCAGCCCCCTTCGCAACAACACCCACGACCGTCGAACAAGCTTTTTCCTCTCCCTTCGCCTGCGCCGCCATCATGGCCCCCCTCCCCGGTCTCCGTATCCCCACATCGATCACCTTCTACGCTTATTTTCGTCTCCCCCTCCCCTTCCGTGCCCGAGTCTCCCTAGCATCACGCCTCTTGCTTTTCCCGTATTCCACGCCCTGCCTTTCTCCAACCTTTTCTTTTCGTATACGCCCCTTTCCCCCTTCCCCACCCCCTTGAACCACCTGCCTCTCTTCCCCTATTCCTTTTCTGATCCCAAGGAAAAGAATAATAGAGACAAGCGAGGGGAGGAAAGACCGTGCTTTAGCTACCAAAAGGAAAAGAGAGATTGGGAATGTATAATCTCCCGACTCCGCCTCCACCTATAGTGTCTCGCCGAAACGGCCAGGAAAGCCCAACCAGAGAAAGAAAATGTGTACTACACCTCAGGACCTAAAGCTCGACCTTGGAGGAGCTCCTTCGCTCCCTCCACTCCTCCCGGAATAGGTAACAAGAGACCCAAACGTGGATCGCTGAGAACAAAGAGGGCATCAAGCTGTATACGGGTTACAGATATACATGTGAGCAAAATATCACAGTGACAGCTACAAGAAAACAATACTATTCAGAGGGAAGCGAGAGGAGCATGGTCTCCGCAACGACGTTGATTGGGGAAGCTAGGCCTTGTCAAGGACCCGAGGGGGACCCCAGACAAGACAAGTAGAACATGGTAGATCGAGGGAGCAAGAGGGGCAACCCAGACAGAGCTACATACACGAGGTGGACCAAGCTGCATCGTCCGCGCCCTCCACACCGATTCCAGCCCTTCTCCTTCTATACCCCCATATTCCTCGCTCGGAAGTGGAAAACGGTTCTCGCCGGGAAGTAGGGCGACGGGGAGGAGGGTGTTAGTTCATGACGTCGCGGTACTCACCGCGCCTCCGTTAACCGCGCCCCCCTCTCCCCCTTTCAACTACACCACCACTACCACTCTCTTCCGCGACGGCGTCAGTCCAGAGACTACCGTCGACTTGACACACGCCTCCCCCACACTGCCACGCCCCTCCCTTCCCTCACTCCATCCCGCCTTTCTTTTCCTTCGGTCAGCCCATGCCGTGGGGCTCGTAGCACGACCTTGCTTCTCATCCTCGTGCCTTACCGTCTTCGTATGCGGATAGCAAAGGCTACCAATCCCGGGAGCTGAAGCTGAGTGCGAGAACAAGGGAAGCGAAGGAGAGAGAGAGCGAGAGAGAGTCTAATACATGGTCTACGAAAGGAAGCAAGACTCGCAAGAGACAAAATTCATCATTCAAGATCCATCTATATAAACCACCCCTTCCTCGTCCTTTCCTTCTCTATCCTTCTCTTCTCCTCATCCTCATCATCAGCATCATCCAACAGCTTCTTCCTCTACAACCACAACCCAAACAACTCAACAGACCTTTCCCACAAAGTCTTCCCAAAACCCCCAACCAACCAAAATGTACTTCACCACCGTCGTCCTCTCCACCTTCGCCGCCCTCGCGGTCGCCAACCCTCTCTCTCCTCCTCAAGTGCAAGCCCGCCACCTACTCTTGCGCCGGTGCCGGCGGCTGGCAGGTCTGTGACACCCAGGGTGTCTGGCAGGTAAGACAACTTCTTCCAAACCTTCACCATCATCTTTGAAAAGCATGGCTGACGCAGGTTTTCAACCCCCAATAGTACGGCGGCAACTGCCCCCAAGACCAAGTGCTACTTCAACGAGGTCAACCAGTCCCCTACTGCATCTAAGCGGCCTCTTCGAGGCCCCGCCGCCTCCTCCTCCACCTCCCAAGTGCCATCCCGAAATCACGGACATCATAGAGCTTGGAACGACTGGAAGGGATCATGGCGGTGACTTTTTAGACTATGGATCGAATCCCGAACTGCTGTTTCTGGTGACGAGATGGTGCCTGTCTGTTGTTGCGTGGTTTGGTGTCTCCCATCATTTTGGGCTTCTCAACTATCCTTAACGTTTTAATTATGGATCAGTCCCTTTTAGACCGGGGCGATTCGGATTGCTGAACAGTATGATGAATAATATATACACTCATACTCATATACACATTCAATCTTACTCTTCTCGTGAAGCATTTGACCGGGTCTCGTACTGCGTTCGCTCGTCTCGTGGCGATTTACTAACAATCGCCGGCCTGCGCAATGGTCCTTTCCGATGATTCCGCCACTGGGAATGCTCGTCAGCTCTGCTTGTTTCATCTAACCAAAGACAGGTAGAGGAGCATTACAGCACTTTCACTCTGGAACTCAGGCACTAAATTGGGAATTGGGATGGCTAACACAAGCGGCCGTGTTCAAGTCTAGCTGCAAAAACAAGGAGAAGTGTACAAATAGACAAGGATAATCATAACGAACAACACCTGGCATGATCCGCGCCGTGGCGCTGGCGGTAAGGCCGTAACCCAATATCGCCATTATCATTAAGCCCGTGGCTCCCCCTCCCGATCAAACGATTCCAGCCCTAGGCTGGCGTTGGAGCGGGGACTAGAGGAGACAGCTCTAGCTCCCCGGAGGCACCCCGGTCGGAAGCCAAGGGAATAAGGCATTGCACCACGGAAACGGCTTCTGCAGATGCGAGCGCTGCGGTTCTCGCCTTAATAAGATAGGAGAAGGCTAGAAGACCAAAATCGTAATTTCAAATACATCAACCTCATCCCCTTCGCCTTCTCCGCTGCCCCTGCCTGGCTTGGCCGACGTTTCGTTCGTCCGCTGTGAAACTGGCATCTCTGGGCAACTTTACGGCCATCCCCACATAGTATCATGATCCGAAACGCCAAAACCCAAAGCCCGGTACGTCGGGAGGAAATATCTCGTCATCGGTTCGCTTAAGCGGTCTCAAAGTCGCCGAAAGTGTTCTCTCCAGAGTACGTGATGTATAGGAATCTGCACCATCATGTTAGTATCCTTTGCATCGCGAATGAGAAGAAGAGGGGAACTAGCGAAACATACCCATCCTCGTCCTTGTGCTCAGCATAGATGCTGCTCATGAGCGCCGCCGTAGGGGAGGACCTCATCGACGAAGATGAAGATGGCCTTCTCGGGAGAGAGCTTGATGCGCTTCCTGATGACGTAGACAAACTGGCCTACGGTAAGATCTGCGGGGACAAGGTACTTCTTCTTGTCAATCGTGGCGATGTCGCTCTTCTCGACCTTCTCGCAGATGACCTATTGGAACAATTATGGGTCAGCATATTATACTCGTTTGATTTCTTCTTTGATGGAGGGTTGTGCAAATCGCGGTGCAACATGGTTTCGACGCCGGAAAAGAGCGGGATGGCGGTGAGGAGGCTGAACGACCTCTTGAACATTGTTCCAGACCGCCTCGCTGCCCATCCCCTTGCGTTGAACGAGAAGAGGTCGCGAAAAAAGGGGATTCGTGTGTATTTGCAAAAGAAAAGCGAAAGGGAAAAGAAAGCCACGAAAGCAAGGGAATAAACAAATACGTGAACGGCGATCAAAGGGGATCTCAACAAGAAGTCGACGGCGACTACTACTTACAGGAATGCGGTCGGCATACTTCTGTCGGATGCGTTCGGCCTCGGCCTTTCGCTTCTCGAAAGGGTGCTCGTCCTTAAACTTGGATCGCATTGTGGATGGGAGTTTTGGAAGTTTCGTGAGTTTGAATATTAAAAAAGAGGGAAAAGAGGAGTTGAGTCGATTCGATCGGTGGAGGTAAAAGGAGTTGAAGAGTTGAAGTTGGAAAGAGTAGGCAGCAGGCCTGGTGGAGTAGCGGGGGTTTAGAGGCTGGTCTGCCGCAGGAACGGTTGTGGTGATGTCAGCGGAAAGGAATGGGGCAAGGCCAGAAGGGTACAGAAGGGGAAAGGGGGCAATAAAGGGATAGGAAAGTGGTGCTGGGACTCCCGCCCCGGAAAATGGGAAAATGAGGCAAGAACAAAGTACTTGGGAGATAAGCAGGCCTTGCCTGGAGGCAGCAGGCAGGCAGCCCGCCCAAGGAAGAAACAGAGCGTATTAGCAAGCAAGCTCCTTGCACTGGGCCGGTGATGGCGAGTTGACTGAGAAAGAGCGACTGACGGGAGACTCAGAAAGGTGGGGTCAGGCGCGTTGGGGCAGCATGAGTGAAGTTCAACACAAAGTAGCTCCCAAGTAGACTTCAAATGAGAGCCCACCCTGGCCCTGCGAGGGCAGTGCCTAGAGCCGGAGCCTGGTCGAGTCACTGAAAGTGTGGCAGGACACAGAGAGGGGGAGTGTGACATGGGTAGTGACATCAGCAACCTCATTCGTCAGTAGAATGAGGGGCAAGAGGTCAGTCCGATTCTTCCAGACCTGTCTTCCCGTGAACTGGACGCTGTTAGTCATACTCCACCCTGCCGCCGCGATAGCGGCTGGACAGGAACGGCAAGGACGCGAGAAGACGACTCAATGAAATGCGCCAAAGTCGCCTTGTCCAGCTGACGCCATTTCACGAGAGACCAGTTCCAGAAGGGAGGTCATTACGGGCATTGCATTGTGACTCTAGGTTACCCCATCAGGAAACATGGAAGAAATTGTGTTGCGCACCGGCTTTCATGACTTGCCACACCGGATTCTGAATATCAGAGGGACCGGTTTGACTTAGGTTACGCTCGTGACCAAACCTGGTGTTCATGTATTCAACAAAGCCGCCCCTTCCGAATCTGTCATTTAGCAGTCCCAGTTTGGCCTTCTCGGAATGAGGTCGAACCTTCCTGATCTTTGGCCGCCCCATCCTCAGCTCCCAATCTAGGCTTATGAATCAATCCGCTTCACAGTCTTATTAATCATTATGGGGCTGAAGAGAAGGGCGAAATAGCTGACTATCGGAACTGAGAACCTCTATTCTATTTTCATCAGATGCCAAACGCATCCCCCTGTATCATACCTTGGAGAATCGTCGATACCTCCGTCCGTTTGGCATCGTGTTGGATCACGTGATTCGAACAGGCCCAGGCCCGCGGAGGTCGATGATTTCTGCTCACCGGCCGTGGTACAGCCAGCCTGGTCCACGATATAAACATTGGAATAATATGAAGGCGAGGCTTGCTGCGAAGAGCATTGGGTGTGGGTCGCAGCCAATCTGGGAAGAATGGTCTTTCCAGGGCTGGAGATGTCGTGGACATGGGGTGTGTGAGTTCTCTGGAGCTTGACCTCTTCTCTTCACCAATAGGGCCCGACTACTGAGGTATTCCTTGAACAATTCGAACCTCTTAATACCGTAAACATTTTGAGCTTAGGTATCAATAAAAATGGCACCGAAAATAAAGATAGAAAAAGATTGCAGGTGAAAGAACGATAGACCAGTCTCTTGTCGATCAAAAGAGGCCAAGCTGAATTGGGAGCTGACCTGCATTGGTGGGGCGGGAGCTTGGCAAATGGCCGGCAGCTTCCATCTGCAGGTTCACAGCACTGTGAGAGCCCTCTCACAACAAGAGGTGGAGTTCTCCGTGTCGAGAAAGCCAGGAACCCTCGGCCGTTGGAACAAACGACACAGGCTAGGACGATTGCTCCTTTACAAAGACTCGAAAGTATCGCACGACCTCCTCGCTTAGCCTGCGAACCCCGACGAAAATATTGGCCGCGTCAAAGCCGGCACCCTCCGCGGAACAAGGCCCTCGCCTGCTCGACCAAGTTGTACGAAAATTTGCTGTCAAAGTGGCCCGATACACATCCGTCCAGTGGCGACATCGTTCGATCCCCCACCACCATTGAATCCAAGCACTTTCGAAACGAAGCTCCCCAAGCACCTTGCAGGCATCCTATAGCAAGCCATCAGTTTAAATACCTTTTGCTGTCGCGAAAATGCTATCCCAACGTCAATTGCTAAGGCTCTCAAGCCGCCAGGTCAAATATTGTGCGAACCGGAGTGGAATACGACGAACTTTCTCAACAATCAACCCCAGGTCTCCCGGCTCTTCAAAGAGCACCACTCCTCTTCTAACCACCATTGGCGCCGGAGCTGTAGTCTCTGCTGCCATTGCCTTCACAATGGTATGGGAAATCTTCCTTCTGAATACTTGTCTTGCTCCTTGAATGTGGCCCTCCAACGTTCTCTTTGCTAGTGCTATGTGTGTGTGTGCTGTGCAAGCGTGGCTAATCTGACCCTCACCAACCCCTCCAGGCTACGCAAGAACCCGCGAAACTCGATGTTCAAAAGCTCAGGCTAGCCGAGCGCGATGACGAAGCCAAGGCGCAAAAGTCCGTTGACGATAATTCCCCATGCGCCTCCGCATGGAGAAGTTTATCAAGGAACAACAGCAGGCGATTGTCGCGGGCCTCGAGGAACTTGATGGCCAAAAGTTCCGCACGGATGAGTGGAAGCGCCCAGGCGGCGGAGGCGGCATCACATGTGTACTTCAGGACGGAAACGTCTTCGAGAAGGCCGGCGTGGCCGTGAGCGTTGTCTACGGAACCCTACCTAAACCGGCCATTGCCTCGATGAGGGCCAATCACAAGTCTCTTGCCACGGACGCCGAGTCTCTCGACTTCTTCGCTGCCGGCTTGAGCTTGGTTATCCATCCTAAGAATCCCATGGCGCCCACGGTGCACCTCAACTACCGGTACTTCGAGACGTGTCGCGAGGATGGCTCGAGCCAGGCCTGGTGGTTCGGCGGAGGCGAGGATCTGACACCTTCATACCTCTTTGAGGAGGACGCCGTGCACTTCCACAAGACCATCAAGGATGTCTGCGACAAGCACGACCAGACCTACTACCCGCGCTTCAAGAAGTGGTGCGACGAGTACTTCTACATCAAACACCGTGGAGAGTCCCGTGGCGTAGGCGGCATCTTCTTTGACGACCTTGACGAGACTGAAGCAAGCGCCGAAAAGACCTTTGCCTTCATCCAGGACGGCCTCAAGTCCTTCCTTCCTTCCTATCTCCCCATCATGCAAAAGCGCAAGGATATGCCCTTCACCGAGGCCCAGAAGGAATGGCAGCAGATCCGCCGGGGTCGCTATGTCGAGTTCAACCTTGTCCACGATCGCGGCACAGCCTTCGGCCTCAACACCCCCGGCTCTAGGGTCGAGAGTATTCTCATGAGCTTGCCCGTTACGGCGACGTGGAAATACATGCACACCCCTGAACCTGGAACGCCTGAGCAAGATCTCCTCGACGTATTGAGGAACCCCAAAGATTGGGTGAAATAGTGGTCACACTCTTGGGTCTGAGACCCTGTGTATTTTATGAGAACTGGCACCTCATTTCCTTTGTTTTAAACTCCTTTTGTTGTGGCATATGTACCATAGAGCCTTGATGGATATATGTTGGATGTATGTATATTATGAGCCAGTAATGTAGAGAAGGCGAAGAAAACGGAAAAGCTCTGAAATTCTAGTAGCCCATTGGATAAATCTACTTTGTATCTCACAAACTACTCGTCGATAAATCTCTTCAGTTCGTGGTTGCATCTTTCAGATTCGAATCGGATATGCTTTCAGTTGTCTTGAGCCCAATTGGTGCGGGCACATCAACATTGAGTTTAAGCCAGACATGCCAGCAACCCACCGAGTTATTCTTCCACCAAACAACTTCACCAAGATACCTCGAAGTAGATGGAACTCATCTTTTGCGCAACTCGCACACGCAAGCAAGCCCATAGTACTTACTACCTGGGTGAAATAAAGCTACACTCGTCCTCCCCGCCCCGCCCTGTCTCGCACCAGGAAACCCGCTCATGCCCCCGGCACCGCTCCCCACGCACCGCGAGCTACTCACGGCCCTGACCGAAGCCCTCGCCACCTCCACGCGCGGACTCCCGGTCCCGGCCCCCACCGGTCCGCAAAGATCGTCAAACCCGCTACGCGGCCTCGGCTCGAGACCCGCCACATCATTTCTACCCTTCACGTGCTGTTCCCTTCCCTCCTCCTCCCGGCTCTCGATCTCTTGGACCGCGACCTAGTGAGGCGCGTCGTCGTCGTTGCCGCCTCGACTCCTGTTCGTGGCCGCAACGATGACGATGATGACGGCGGCAGCGGCACTGAGGAAGACGACAGAACAGTAGAAAAGGACGTGGAGCAGGCGAGGGAGGGCACCTACATCGTACGCTCCCTCGTATCCACAATGGGAGGAAAGCGCCGCGCGCAAGCGAAATCCTACCTCGTCCTGCTGACAGCCTGGTCGTGCACCTGCCCCGCCTTCATATTCGACGCCCTCCCCGCCCGCACCACGTCCACTCCCTCGTCGAATGCGCCGCCCTCTGCCCACCCCTTCCGTTCCTCTCCTGCGGCGCCGGCGACAGCGGGGCCCGCTTCCGCTTCTGCCGATGGTGCGCCGCGGGGAACCGGCCAAATGGTCCTTTGGCGGCTTGAGTCGGGATGGCTTACCTGGGAGAGGCGGCCGGGTCCCCTGCTGCAAACACTTGCTTGCGTGCGTGCTGGTCGAGAGGTGGGGTGATGTGCTGGGTAGGTACGCGCCCGAGCTGAGAGTTACGAGGGAGGGCATGGCGGGGTTGGTAACGGATCTCTAGAACGGAGGGAGGGGGTTTTATGGCGCTCTGGAAGGGGTTACGGGAAGGTCAATCGGTATATAATCAAAACGCTGCCTCTTTTTATATCCTTCCTTCTTTGCTTCGCTTGAGAATGACGATCCACACCAACATGAAGACAGAATGAACGTTTTGGGGTCCCTCATTGTTTGAACGGCACCCCAGTGCTTGGCTGCTCAGAGGTTGGGGGATATACGCACACGGGAGAGATTGCCAAAGGGCCAGTTGAGCGCCAGCGTTATTAGATAGACTGCTAGGCTAGAAAGAGAAAGAATCTATGGCCAGTACCAATTCCTCGAACCGTGCCCGTTTGTTCTCCATGCTTGCTCGCTTCTATACATTCGTCGTATTTGAAACACGCGTTTTCTTCCGCATTCGCGTCTGGGATAAATACCCCTTCTATCCCCTCCCCTCTACTCCCCTTGTCGTCACTGCCTCCCTTATTTCTTCTTCTCCTTCTCCTTCTCCTTTTCCTTCTCGCCCTCCTTCGTCTTTGCCTTGTCGTCAACGCTCTCCTTCTCCTTCTCCTTATCTTCGTTGTGCTGCTTGTTCTGTATCTTGTTCTCGATAAGGTCATGGAACGCCGTGATGGCCCTGATCAAACTGCTCAGGTAGATGGACATGAGCTGATCGTTGGTCTTCACGCCCATGGCATAGGAGAGCTCGCTGACGCCCGGCTTGCCATCTCCCTTGGGCGCCGCCAAGTTGGGGAGGAGGTTGAAGACGTCCTGGAGGTTGCCGAGAATGGCGTGGTTGACGGGTAGCTCCTTGTCGAGAACCTTTTGCAGGTACGCACCAATCTCGCGGAGGCGCAGATGCAGACCTTGTAGAGACTGGAGCTGGTTAGTTATGCGGGTTGATAGGGTGCCGGCGGCGACGTCGCGGATATCTCGTAGCAGGTGCTCTACGCCAATCTCCTCGGCTTCCTCGGCTTCGATGACTGAGGGGGTGTGGACAAATGTCCTCGCGGTCGTGGTTCCGTCCTTTGAAAAAAGAAAAGGGTTAGCTACGGTTGGTTGACTGGGCCAACAACCAAGAGCGGGCGTAACGTGGGAAATGGGTTACGAGAGTCTTACATCCTTGATCTCCTCAATGGCAAAGTACGCGTCGGTTGGCACGCCAGCCTCCTTGGGTTGTACGTCGATGATGACGAGCAGAGGGTTGGGGGTATATCGCTTGAAGAGCTCGTTGATCTCGAGATCGGAGGCACGGAGCTTAGGTCCGGAGTGGTACCATCCTATTAGCTTCTCGCGGGCGTTGATCTTCTTGAACATCTCGTTCATGTTCTCGACATAGTTATGGTCGAGGAACCACACAGAGGGGTCCTTGTCATCCTCCTCGAATGGTACTATAAAGTAAAGGGAATAAGCAAAGTGACCATCGATGCGTCAAGGCAAACGTCTAGATAGAAACGAGAAAAGAAGGGGCGGAGGTTGGGAAAGAAGACGGGGGGACATGCAAGGGACATACCAGCAAAGCTGTTGGAGACTCTGACGTCCTTTCCATCATTCTGACCGAGAAGAACACCTACAACCCGCCTCTTAGAGCCCTTCACGACTGTGCGGTTGTAGTGATCGACTGCGGACAAGAGGACGAGGGGCGCTACGGAGACATTGCGCTGGGTGACGAGGGAGAGGGTTTCGGCCGTTGTCGCAGGCATGGTGGGGAGATGAAGAAGTGGTTGGCGGGAGTCGGCTTGCGGTATGGAGACGGGGTTATCCTCACCACGAATATCGTGTTGATGAGGGGGTCCGTTCTAGTAGCCGTGAACACAATCGGCGGATTCGAGGGTATGGAGGGGGTTATGGAGGAATGGAATCGTGGCTGGTCGGGATCGGGTTGATGCGAAAGAGCTCTGCGGCAGTGGAGGTCAATCCGTTGGCTGTTGTCGTGTGCTGAGGCTGCCTTGGAGATGGATTTCAGAGCACCTTGGACCCCTTGGACCAATCAACGCTTCATCCAGGAACCCAAGCTCGAGCCTCGCCAGCCAGCGCTAGACACACGTGATGTGGCGTTCAGTGTGGCTTGTACGGCTCAGCTCCTCGAACACTGTGCCGTGGATGTCTTGACGAGAATGAATTCCTGTGCTCTAATCCAGATGGGTTTTACATCTTGACGAAAGCCGTCGTCTATGGGACGGGACAAAACCTCTCTTTCTCTTCTGCCCTTCTCCCTCAAACAGTAGAAGGTAATCAGATATAAGTGAGGGTTCAATTGCCCAAGAATTTTGTTAATTACTGAGCCCGCGAGTTGGCAGACGATTCGGGTCTAAGCAAGCTCGGGGTTTTTCGGAAGAAGCTCTCAGAATATGTTCAATGTTCTGAATATCTGTTCTGGGAGGCATCTATTATGTCTCGCCTTAGACGAGCGACCGAACATTGGTCAATGCTACTAGTGTATGAAGGTGAATCAATAGTGGGTTAAAATCCTCAGACCCGAGGCCGTCACTGTCCTGGGTTGTCTTTTCCGTGCATGGACGCAAATGAATCAGTCAACCATGAGGTCATCGATGGTGCAGTCGATAAGTCCATGTCGACACACCAGAGGAGCTGGATGTTTGGGGGCTATGGGGTTTTCGCAGAAAAGGATCCCCAGAAACGGTAAAATGGAGGAATCGACCGCTCAATGTGAGGAGAGCAGCTCTATCGTAGCATTCGGACAACCGCTATTCGATGCCGCTCTGGGGAGTTAAAGCCTAGGCGCAGGGCGAGCTAGTCGTCTCTACCGAGGTGGAGGCGGGCAATGGGAAGCCGGTGGAGCCCGTGTGCATGAAGTCGCTCCCCTTCGTTCTCCTCCAGTCCGCCTGAGGAACCTCGCTCGCAGCACGGTTTCGAGCTCGGCCGAAAACGCCGAAGACGGAGGGACTTTCCTCTCGGCAATGGAAAACAGAGCGAGCGGTCTGGAGTAGAGATCCTCATCAGCAAGAGAAATGGATATGCTTCCCCTCCCCTTTCTCAAAAGGGCCAGATATTCAGCCGAAAGGAAATATTCTGAATCTTTCAAGCTTGAAAGTGGATCGGTTCGATTTCGCTGATCGCGCGGTGTTTTAGGTCAGATCTGATGGACGCTGCCAGGTACGTTTGAGCTTACGGCCGAGCTTGTCTAGTATACGAATTCATTTACAGGACTGTAATTGATCACCGCAGACGGCAATTTTACTTGTGGATGAAACCTGTCCTGTCCGGCAGAAGAATGCCTTTTTTTCCCTCTCCATCTTTCTTTTTTTTTTGCTGCTTGAAAGTTCTGCAGGGGCTTATCACCTAGGGAACTGTAGCGAGCACGGGTCGATCGGACATTGAAACTTTTATTTGGTTGGGGGAGGGCATTTCATAGTGTTGTACGGGATGTGGGCTAATACTGGGTTGGCGGCTAGAATGGGACGGAGTTCCGGCGGATCCAAAGCCTCGCAGTCAATGGTCCATGCCTTGCCCCAATGTTCCTTCTCGAAAGAGGAACAGTTCGCTCGGCACGGAGCGAGACAAAGTCGCCGCGGCTTCTTCTCCTTTCAGTGCTCGCAGCCATGGCGTAATAATTCGTGTGCGCCAGATTGGAGCGTGCAGACACCCGACTAGCGTGTAAGCGGTTTCGGTTCAAGTGCCTGTCACAGCTCCAATTGCCATCCGTCATTGACCACGATGAGCCCAGTCCCACCTCTATTGATGGTGTTCCATGTCGCGCCGGGAGAAACTCGAGACCATCAGTGATGTGGCACGCAATGGAAAGCAAGATCATTGGCCTACAACCACTATTCACATGTGTCTTGACTTTTCTCCTTTCTCTCCATGTCCTTTCTAAGTTGTGTTGACACTGCTCTGCTTCCGGTGGAACATCGCCTTTCCTGCATCATGCCAACAAAAGAGGCGCACACCAGAAAACCAACCATTCTGATCGGTAATGCGCTGCGAAGAACATGTAGAAAAGCGTTCCGGTTTGGTCCCGGTGGCCACGGCCTTTGCCTGGGCTACTTCTGTTTGAATTGGCGACAAGGTTGGAAAATTTAGAGGGCTCCCCTGAATCTTGAAAGTAGCCTGGTAATGCGGCGCAATGACGATCGCTGTCTTGTGTCAGGGAAGTTTTTATTTTTATTTTACTTTTATAAATACTTCTTGAGCCTCACTGCGATTCTTCCCGCCTCGGGAGGATAAAAGAAACAAAAAGGAAAGAAACAAAGCTCGATAAATAGACATCTTTCGTCATTGAGCTTTCGACGCAGGTGGGAACATATTATTAGTGGCAAGGCTTGAGGTGTTTTCACATGGCTCAAGCTTCTTCGTTTCCTGTTCTCCCTGGACTGACAAGGAGCAATAATCCTTGCAGCGTGTGCGGTCGCCCAACGCGAGTAAGCTACAAGTATTATTCCGACACTATTATGCAAAATGAGTAATGGGACAAAAAACGCCAGAGATTCGCTGATGAATGGGAACAGCTCTCTGGTCATCAATTGATCCCTGTGCTAATACTAGCAAAGGCAAAAACGCCTTCCCAGACGATGGAACAACGAAAAATTACCTAGTGCCGGTGTCCCAGCTCAACGCTTGTTGCAAACAGAGCACGTAGATTCTGGTGATTTTGGCGACAGGAGCTCAGAAGCTACCTCGCCAAGACGTGGGTGTCATGTACCTCTCCGCGGCTCCTGCGCCCGGCAAGCTACAGCTCCTGGCTCGTGCGCGGCTGTCCCTCTTCCTGCTTTCGGGGCCTGGTCCAAGGTAGTGTACTTGTACCCGCGCCGCGGAGCCCAGGCACAATCCCTCCACCCCAGAAAACAGGGAAAAAAAGAAAAAGAAAAAGAAAGAAAAGGAAAAAAACCACGGCAAAGCTCCGTTGTCCCGACCCAAAATCGGCGTGTCCAATTCGGCGGACCGACTCGCCCATTTTACCCCCAAATTTCTTTCCCTTCACTTCACCTTCCATCCTCGAACCTTCCTTTGTTCCTAACTCCCTCCTAAACCACCCTCTTCTCATCTTTTCATTCCCACTGTCATCCCCTTTCCCTTCGTCGCCCACGTTTCCCACCCCCTGCTCAATTGGCTTTGCTCAGGGCTTCGAAACCGACACCTCGCGTCAGACAAGTTGACCTCGGCCACGCGGTACACAAATTCCCTCTCTCTACCAAACACCCCCAACCTTGCCGACACAATGGGTCTCGTAGAAGACGAAGTCCAGCGCCTCCGCGATCTCGTACACGGCTTCGAGTCGCGGATCAAGGCCCTCGAGCAGAAGGCGCTTGGTGGAAGCGGCGGTGCCCCCAAGTCCACCGAGGAGATCCGAATGTTGCTTATTGACCTCCCGGAGCTGGTGAGCCTCCTTGCCCAAATTAGCCATCCACTGACTTGGATGGTCCAAGGCAGGCCCGTGAAAACTAACAACAAACCATTGTAGGCAAGGGCACCCAGGCTCCCAAGATCAAGGAGAAGTTCGACTGCTGCCACTTGGTAAGTCTTGCACGCCTTTCGCTGCGAAAAGCGCAGTAGAGGAATGGGAAGGTGTCTGAAGCTAACTGCAATGGTTTCCTATGCTGTAGGCCACCGGTGACATGCTGCGATCCCAAGTACAAAAGAAGACTGCTCTCGGCCTCGAGGCCAAGAAGATCATGGACGCTGGCGGCCTCGTCAGTGATGACATCGTCATTGGCATGATCAAGCAGGAGCTCGAGACTAACAAGGAGTGCAAGGGCGGGTATGTCTATTCCGGTGCCTGAATACTCCGAGTTCGAGGGCGAACGCTTCTGGAATCTAACATTATTTCGCGCTAGATTCATCCTGGACGGATTCCCCGTACCGTCGGCCAGGCCGAGGGCCTCGACGCCATGCTCAAGTCGCGTAGTCGACCCCTTCAGCATGCGGTTGAGCTCCAGATCGACGATTCTCTCCTCGTCGCCCGTATCACCGGCCGTCTTATCCACCCCTCCTCGGGCCGCTCTTACCACACCACCTTCAACCCTCCCAAGGAGTACATGAAGGACGACATCACCGGCGAGCCCCTCGTCCAGCGCAGCGACGACAACGCCGATGCTCTCAAGAAGCGTCTTGTGACCTACCACAAGCAGACCACCCCCGTAGTCGACTACTACCGCAAGGCTGGCATCTGGCAAGCCATCGATGCCGCCCAGGAGCCCGGCCAGGTCTGGAAGAACATGCTCTCCATCCTCGAGAACAAGAGGAAGTAAGCGTCCTTTTGAACGGGGACTGCTGGTGTCGGGGGCGGTGGTGAAGGGCTCACTCCGAGTGTCGAAGTCGAGGGGTCGCGAAGGAGACGTGAAGGAGAGGTGGGTGTTGGGCTATTAATGAATACATGGCCCTACATCGAATACAAATGGAGGGTAGGCTGTATTTGCATCGCGGTGTCAAAACGGGGTCAAAATATCATGGAAAGGGCTTTTTATTGTTTTTGTCTCCACCATTTCTGTACAACTCAATTGGAACAAGGAGCGGAAAACTTGAGGGAAAGCGCGCATCACTAGCCAAATTTGGGGGTTTTTCTTGGAAGGAGGGCGACGGGAGAGGAAGCTGCGAAGCTGACAACCCGCACCTCCACGAGTACCTACCACAGGCATCTCGGAGACCTTGGATACCGTTAGGAAGGAGCTCTACAGGCTCCAGAAAATCAAAAGGACACGAAGCCCCCTTGTGTACTATTCTTCGTCAACTCGTTTGCTGCCTTTGCCTTGTTTTTCTCTTCTTCTTCTGCTCAAGGGCATGTGTGAACGATCAATGGCTGCGGGGAGAATCGTGATGTTTTTGTCGGGTGCCACTGCTGCTCAAGTTGCGGCGCTAGATTCATATCATTCCTTTGATCCACCTGGTTGGCTTAGGAATTGGCAGGATCGTGAAACTTGCTTCTTCCGCACTCATTTCGTCTTCCTTGCACGTTCTAGCCCCCTATTCCACATTTACGCTAAGCCCTGTCTCTCAAAAGCTTTGACGCGATCGCGCTGGGGTCGCATCGCGTATTGTTCATGTTTGCAAGTCCAAGTGAGTGGGTGGTATTATAACGTAGCGAGAAGGCAAATGTACAAAAAAGCAATATTGGGAGGTGTACCCAAATACCCTCACCCTCACCCGCCATGCACCGCCGTTTGGTTCTCTGACCCATCTTGCCACCTATTCGAGGAAGAGGCGGAAGTGGGAGAAAGGGAGGAGAAGAAAGGCGAAGAAATGTAAAAAGATAAGGAAATGACACCCAGAACCTTCGCCATGCAAGAAAGTGTGACTTAGACCGAACGGAAACTCTAGAAAGGGCGTAGGATCTTCTCCAAGAAGAAGTGAGGGTTTGGGGAGGCGGGGGCGGGCATCGTCACCACCGCGTTTACCTCCTAGGCGTAGCTATATGGTGGAAAACGTAGAAAAGATCAATACCAAGGTTGACCACGGGAGAGAGCCTGTGATACTCGGGGACTAACCATTGACGAGTTGTCGTTGCTTGTTGAGCCAGCTCCGCGGCGCGTCGTTTCTCCTCTGCAGGACAACGTGATTGCTCTGGAGCCGGCTTGAGAGGTCGTACCACGCCGAGGTAATGAGGGCGTTCTCGCGCTGGAGATTCTTGATGGTTTGCTCGGCAGCAGCCTTTGTAGAGAGACACGAGATGTTAGTGACGGTGATACGGTTCGTGCAATAGGTTTCCGAGTATGTTAATGAGTCGACCCTCTCTAGATGACCATCTGGTACCTTGCTGGTCGAACCATGGACAAGAAGCCGCATGTAAAAGGGCGGAGCTGGGAGATTCGGTATACCTTTTGGGATGCAGATGCGCCGCCAGACAAGGCGGACTTGAGCTTGCGCTGCAGCTCGTACTTCTCTTGTTCCGCCTTTTCGAGTTGCTGGATTTTTGGGAAGAGAGAGAAAAAAGTCAGCAGTGTTCAAAGGGTTCCTGTAAGTGCAAACATCACTGTTTCCAAAGGGCAGTCCGGTCTCGTGTTATGGCGCGAGGTAGCAGCAGCTGTTTTGGTCGCCGTAGCCTGCGCGCAATCACTTCTTGAGGAAGAACCACTTCTTCCCGAATAGGTTGCGAGACAAGCGCCTGCGCCATCTGGATTGTCGTGGTGCTGATGGTGGTGGTGGTGGTAGGGATACAGTAGGTGGCTTCCTGGGATTCAAGGGACCGGATCTTACATCTTGTCTCTGCCTCAGTCTCTCGCGAAGCTTCTCAATCTTCTCCGTCGACTTGCTGACCTCCTCTGCAATGACATCATCACTAATATTCTTAGCGTCGGAGGGAACTTGACCTGTCTTGAGCTCCACGTTCTCCTTTTGCAGCCGGTCCTTGGCGAGATAGGCGTCGAGAAGCTGCGATTTTTGCAGCTCGTTGTCGCTGTCGAGGGCCTTGACGCGCGCGCGGAGAGCGTCGAGTTCCTCTCGCAGAGACGCCGAGACGAGCGTGTCGGTGGACTTGAGCTCCTCGAGAGCCTCGGTGCCGTCTTTCGACACGGCCGACAGCTCTGTCCTAGCGGTGAGTAGCTCGCGCTCCTGATCGGAGACCTGGGCCTGTAAGTCAGCACCGCGTTGCGTCTCACGTTTCAAGTCGGCGGTAGCCTGGTGCAGTTGAGTGCGCAATTCGTTGAAGGCGCGAGTCCTGTAAAAGTCTTCGTTTAGCAAGTGGTGCGAGAGCCGGGACAACATCTCATCCAAGCATTTGACTGACCCTTCGCCCGCGGCGCCGTTGACGAGTGCCGATAGTTGGTCCTGTGAAACCGAATGGCGTTCGACAATCTCGGCGTACTTGTTTCTGAGCTCGCTGTACTTGCGTTGCTCCTCCTCCAGCTCGGAGCGGAGCTGAGAGGTCTCCCAGAACCCAACCCTCGCTTGAGCAGCGCGTTTTCCGCCTTCAGCCTGTTCAGCTCCAGGGCGAGGGCGCCCTGCGGCGGCGCGGTACCTTCAAGCTCCTCTTCGAGCGAGACGGCACTGGCGCTGGCGTGCTCGGAGGCGGTCGGGGTTAGACCGGCCTGTTCCTGAAGCTCGGCGATGAAGCGTTCGTCGTTCGACCGCATCTCGGTCAGGCGCGTGATCTGGTCTAGTAGATCCAGATTTGACTCCTCGAGCGCCTTCTTCTTGGTTCCGAGGATGAAGATGGATTCCTCGGCCTGCGCATGAGCGGATCGAAGCTCGGAGATGGTTCGCTCCAGCATTGCATTTTCTGCACCACCTTGTCATACTCCTGTGTCTTCTTTAGCAGTTGGTCCTTTTCAAACCGGAGATTTTGCACTTCGGTGGCTAGATTCTGCTGCTGCTCGAGCTTCTGCCTGAACCTTTCAGCCGCGTTGGCCTTCCTCGAGAGCTCGTCATTTCTATGTCTTAGTTCCCTGAGCTCGTCCTCAAGCTGTTCTCCCCGTTCCGTCTTCTGCGTTAGTGTGGTTACCTGGCTCTGAAGTCTGGTCCTCGCGAGGCGGTCGTCTTCGGCCTGGGCCTCCTGCGTGGTTATCAATTCCTCCTGTTCCTTGATCTTGTGCTGGAGATTCTTGATCACATGCGAGTCCGAGGCTCCATCCTGGGTTGCCTTGCGGAGCACGTCCAACTCCCGTTGCAATTTGATCTCTTGGTGCTGCAACGTGTCAAAACTCTCCTGCAAATGTTCTAACCTGGTTATGGTGTCGGCGGCTTGCTTCTTTGCTGAGTCGAGTTGGCCGAGGAGAAGAGCGCGTTCTGCCTCGAAAGCCAGCCCGGCGTCCCTTGACTCCATGGCCTCCTCCAACGACTCCTTGCCATCCGCCCTTTGTTCTATAATCATATCCCTTTCGCCCGAGATTGCCATGATTATCTGTTGGATCTCAATCATCGTCGGTGTGTCGAAACTGCCAGGCTCCTGGAGCCTGCTCACGTACTTGCCGGGATCCGGACCAAGAAATGCGACAGCAACCATCGCGGCGATAAGCTGGGGAAATAACACGTTAGTTTTCTTTCATATATGTGCAGATTTCGTCGCCTTGAGCCGTGATCACTTCGTACCTTTCCGACCGCCTCGCTCGTCGGCTGTTCATCCAGGGTATGTACATCGCTCCGCCTGGAGAGAAATTCGAGGTCTGGGCAGTTGCTGTGGATGAACCTGAAAAGAGCCTTGTGGATAGCTATCAGAGTCTTCTTCTTGATGAGCCACTTTGGCGTTGCGGACGTGTGCTGCTGATCAAGCTCAGTAGGGTCGAAGTCGGGATCGATGTCTTGTAGCACCTGGGCTAGTATCACGCCATCGGCAAGGTCGTCGAGGCTCTGGGCGGTTTGGGTATTTGCGAAACCATTATTGACCTGCGAAGAAGAAGTGTCCGAGATTATCGCAGTTAGCATAGGCTCCTCTCGCGCGTCTTCTGGAGCTTCCGTATTTTCTTCGCGCTCTAATTGCATTCGCTCCGTTTTAATCGTCCTGTAGTTATCACATACCCATTTCAGAAGCGCGTCCCGCGCGCTGTGGCTGTAAGGCATGGCGGAAATGGTGGGCGTTGCTTGCCCAGTGTCCTACTAGCTCAAGGTAGAGTAATGGGTGATCTCGGTTCACGAACCGTTTCAGATGGGTGAGGGCGATAGTTTGGGAGAGAACTCTCCTACTTTCCCAACGCAGGCGACAATCAGGTCGGCGGTGCGAAATTAGCAGAGTTAACCTGCAAAAGTATCGAGGCCGAGACCGAGGCCGTGGACGGTCAAGGGTTGGGTGGGTATTTGCAGAGGGATTCGAAAAGAGGGACGAAGTTTGATTTCGGGTTTTGGGGGCTTGAAGCTTGGTCTCGGGATGAACTCGAGCGGGTCCCACTGCGCCGGTGCCCAATGCAGGGTGCACTGCAGCTGCCACCGCCAATGCGCAGGTACTATTACGCTACGAACGTGGATGGGTCAATCGATTGCGAATGTCAGTGTGCAGGAGCTCGGTCGCTCTGCTCAATGTCTGCACGGAAGCTGAAAGTCGGGGGTTAGGGACGCTAAGCAAAGTGGTGTAAGATTAGATGAAGAAAACTAATCCGGGGTTTACTCGATATCTTCATCCATCGCACGCACATGCACGCGGGAAGAGATGTGTGTGTGATTTCAATTCTGTTGGACGGGATTGAACGCATGAGTAAACTCCCCTTCTGACGACTGAGGGGAGCGGGAGCCGCCTTTTTAATATGATGGGATCTCAGTATTGTTTCATAGACTATCTAGCGGGCTTATTCGCTTCAGGGACACGCCCAGACAAGACAAGAACGGGGTGGATCGCCAAATGCGCATAGCATTGCATTTGCTCTGCCCTGCCCAGTAGTGCCACTATTGACTCGACCCCAGGTTTTTGCTCTTTGATCCATGTTCAAGCTAGTGTAATCAAACAAGTAACACCTAATGCTGGCTCTTTGATAACTTAAAATGATAGCAAGAGGCTCCTCTTCGCCAAGTCAACCAGTTCCTTTCACGATGTCATCGAAGGTTTCCGCTTTTGTTTTCACAGGAAATCTTTCTAGGACTTGTGACCTTCCCTCTTTCACTATCGTCGGTAGTCGCAAAAAGCAGCTCTTGGAGAGACGGGCTGGCAATGCACGCCTTAATTTCTAGAACGTTTTTTTGATGCAGGGTCCTTTGTGGTGCTGGTTCCCGCTCGCGTCAGCCCGCCCGCGCAACCAAATTTCAATTTGATGCAAGTCTACAGTGTGTTCTTGAGAGTTCAAACACATTGAAGTCGTGCTGTCCGCTCAGGTCTCGCGTGGGACAGAGGTACCAGATAATTGAACCCTTGTTCAAACTACTGGGGCGCACGCAAACTCTGTAACAACTCGAGTGCCTTGGAGGCCCCACTACCATCAATCAGCGGGCACCTTGCTTAAACGACGTAGGAATGCTAAACTCCATCAGATTGCAGGAATGCTCCCCATGAAGCGTTCTGACGCGTTCTTTGGTGGGATGATGGTCGAACTTCAATTCTATCATTTCTCTCGTTCCTTTCTCCGCCACCTTCGCTCGTTGTGAAACGATGGCGATGTGAAGATGGGTGTACTTGAGAGAGAGGAGTCTGTTCTGGGAGTGGATCATAGATATCCATCCACGGATTTCTCTTTTATGCGGTTGTTGGCGGGCGCCACCACACGACTTCACGGTCACTGACAACTCGACTACAAGACCGATAACACGCCTTGCCCTTCTGGGTGGCACGCAGATGTTACATGGCTACCTATCTATAGCGCTCGATGGCCAAATCGGTATAGTGGTGTTGTGCATTCTTCGGCAGATGTTAGGCAGCGATTTAGCGACCCGGAAGGCTCGGTCACCCACCCTCCTCCGAAGAGCATTCCTCCATCTCGTGTGTGGGAACATTGTTCTTCAAGCCATGGAAAAGCGTCATTGTTTAATATCGGGAGGGACTTTAGGGGTGAACAAAGATAATGCAGTAAAGCCAAGGCTAGATCATAAATAATTTCCTATCTAAAGAATAACAAAGCACACCGTCGCTGATTAACGCCTAGTTGAGATTACTTGAAAGAAAAAGAATTGGTAAGGAAATGGACCAAGTCGCGCCTGTCTCCCTGTCATTGTGCCACAAGTCCGCGCCGTCGACGGTTTGGGGCGGAGTCCTCGACAGAAGGTCCAACAGTTGACAGTGCTGCTGTAGGCTCAAGCGCCGCTCAGCGACGCATATTGGGCCTATGGACCTTAGAGTGCGCATATCTGAATCGAAACAATACGTTGATGAGGCCCTATGGATTTGACCCGGTATTCTAGTTGGTGATGGAGACCCGCTGGTCCTCCTCGACCGTGATGTATTCGCCTCCCCACTTCTGGATGGTGTCCACTACGTCAGCGGACACGATGGCGTGGAACCCGCTATCACACCCGTTAGCTTTCAAACCCAGATCCAACGAGCATATATCTCTAGACCCTCATCATCTCCAATAGAGGCGTAGGGGAAAATGTTGGGGTCACGGAGGAGGACCTACTTGATGAACTTGAACTCGTGCGTGATCTTGCCGCCCGCCTTCTGGATCGCGGCCTTGGCCTGGTCGATGAGGCTGCTGACTCTCGGCGCATCGCGGTTATAGGTAACGAGGACGGACTTCTCAACTCCGACAGACAGAACTCCGGGAGCGAGGGCGAGGGCGCCGGCGAGGATAGCAAAGGGCCGCATTTTCAGGAGGTGGCGAAGGGCGGAGGGTGTGCGGTGCGTGGTGGATATCGGGGGTAACTTCTGTGTGGATAATCGGCGGATCTTTCGAATCGCAAAGATCGCAGTAAAATGCGATAGTCGTTCAGTGGTTGGGAGGTTTGATCTCGAAAATGCTGCTAGCGTGACTGCGTTGACTTTTGTTTGCGGAGGTTAAAGGGAAGATGGGGGAGGCGTGGTGATCGCATGTGCAGATGGGGTCGTCTCTTTGTCTTGTCGCCTAGTCATCAGAGCGGCTGGTGGTGGAATGACAGACGAGAACAGCTGGTGACAGTTGTAAGAATAGAGTCGTCAAAGAGCGCTCGTGCTCGAGAAGAGCATCCATCAAGCGTATATTTTGTCGAAATATATAGCTATTTTAATTGAGTTTGAGATCAGATTTTAGAACTGAACGGGTATTATATGATATTAATGCTGCCTAGAGAAAATTGGAATATCTGGCCTGGCAAGCGATGAAGGTGGATATGCTCTTTTAACGCTGGCTGTTGGCCGTACTCGGCCGACTCTCCGTATCCCCCAAATCTCTCTACTCTCCTGCTCCAATGTCTTCATGGCCGTCGCTACCTCGCCTAACTTTGCGACAACGTCCAGCACGCCTTGGTTGACGCGTTGGAAATACTGATCATTCGCCTCCCTCCTCTTCCTGGCGAGTAATATGTCGACCTCGGTTTCCTCCTCAAGCTTCGCCTCGAGTCGGTCGATCCCGCCTCCGCCGCTCCCAGGGCGGGCCGCGCTATTCGTACCGGCCGTTTTGAGCGTATCCGCAACATCGCCCGTGGCCCTAGTCGAATCAACGAGACCCGTCCCTTTTAGGTTACGCAGTTCCTCGGTGCCGGTAGCCCCGCCGGTTTCCTTCACCGTCTCAATCACGTCGTCCGCCTCGCTTCGAGCCCAGGCCTGGGCTAGTGCTATCTGCGCAGCCCTCAGCTCGGCGAGTTTGCGATCGTGATCGGGGCCGAAAACGTGGGTGCCCCCGACGCGGAGAGCTCCACCTCCTCGAGGGTCGCTTGCATGTCCGCCCAGAGGGCATCGGTCCTGTCCCCGCTACGGGCGCTGTCTCCCGTCTTCAGGCTTCGAATCGGCCTCCCCGGTATTGAAGGGGCGAGGGAGCCGTTGGCCCCTAAGGTTCGTTGCGAGGCTGTCTGGCCGGCGAGGGCAGCGGTTCTGGCTGATGCCTGGGGCGGGGCCCCAGGAACCAGGACGCCTGGAATTGTGACATGGGAGGCGGAGGCAGAGGGATGGAGGAAGAGGCTGGGTGGTGGAATGCGCTGTTTTCCCTTGCTCTTGAGTGGTTGCGACATGGCTACATGTTGGGCGGCCCCTTCTTCACCTTCAAAAGGGTTATCGTCATGGTTCACGGCGAGATGGGATCATGGGCCCCATTGGAGAATGTGGTGCACGGACCAGGGTCAATCCGGATGACTAAGATGGTACGATGCTTGTTGGGTCAAGCGGAAAATGGTGGCTCCGTTCCGAAAATGGCTCTTTGGCCTAAGGCAATTGGAGGCTAGCCCCGCCGATTTTTGCATAGGGTTTTCGTGTGCCCTACCAAAATTCCCGTGACAAGAGAGGTCAAATCTAGTGGCCGCGAACATCCTCCACTAACTTTTCCCCCTCGATCTATTCAACAGCCACCCATCCACCCCATCACCACGAGTTTCGCAGGATAAACCGGTATGTATTAACCCTCCTTGGACCTTCATCATGGATTCAAACGCAGCATTGTGATACTCCCAATCCCCGATTACCTTGCAAGCGCGATCGCTGTCGAAAAAAACCGAAATACCCTCGCCTCTCCCCCGATCAAGAAATTCACATCCAAGCACAAGAGGCTATCCTTCCAGTCGCTGACCGATTTTGATCTCTCGCAGCAAACATGCCTCGTGGTCTCAACTCCGCCCGAAAGCTGCGGACTAACCGCAAGGACCAGAAATGGGCCGACCTTGCCTACAAGAAGCGAGCTCTTGGAACCGCCTTCAAGTCCTCGCCCTTCGGTGGCTCCTCCCACGCTAAGGGAATCGTTCTCGAGAAGATCGGTGTCGAGGCCAAGCAGCCCAACTCCGCTATCCGAAAGTGTGTCCGTGTCAAGCTCATCAAGAACGGAAAGAACGTCACTGCCTTCGGTATGCTAGTCCCCTCCCTGTGGTGCGACTTGTTGTCGAGATTTTTCCTCGGGGCCCCAGTGGCAATTACCCATCCACAACAACGCCGTTGCTAATAAAACATTGTAACTAGTCCCCAACGACGGTTGTCTCAACTTCGTTGACGAGAACGACGAGGTCCTCCTTGCCGGTTTCGGTCGCAAGGGCAAGGCCAAGGGTGATATTCCCGGTGTCCGATTCAAGGTTGTCAAGGTCTCTGGTGTCGGTCTTCTCGCCCTATGGAAGGAGAAGAAGGAGAAGCCCAGGTCGTAAACGAAGAGAAAAAGGAATGAACTTGTCCATTTTGAGGAGTCATGGGTTGGTTTTCATCGGCATTCTCGGCAAAGGGTGTCTAGAAAAAATATAACACGATTGATGTTTTGATCATAAACGTCGACGTACTTTCCTGCCACGACTTCACACATTATCCAATTGTGCCTCTATTGGTCTAATTAGGAGTTTTTCTTTAGATACAATGTTGTACAGTCTAACTTGAGGGTCTACGCCAAAATAGGCACGGGCTCTTCCTCCTCATCCCGTTTCACATATCGTACAAGATAATCCGCTCCCAACCCCAAGCTGATGGTGCCACCCGTAATCCAACATCCATTGACGAACCACCACCAGCAGTCTTTGACGTTTTTGAGGTTGACCTTGCGAATCATGTAACCAAGCGATACCATGGCTCCACCACAGGTGCCAATAAAATAGAGAGGGCCTGCACCCGAGGCTACCCCGGCGGCTGCAAGCAGACCAACTTGCACAACGGCAAGCCCTGAAAGGACGCGCTTCGTCTCAGCATCATGCTTTACCGCCATACTCTTGATTCCAGCCTTGACATCGTCCTTTCGATCCATGTGTGCGTAGATCATATCGTAAAGAACTGTCCATGCGATATTGGACGCGTAGAGGCAGCCGGCTGCGGTGAGGGCAGAGGAGTTGGACAAAAGGTCGACACCCAGCGCCGGGAAGCCCATGATGGCTCCCCAGGAGAAAGTCAAGCCTAACACCGCCTGGGGTAGTACGTCACGCGCTTGGCGAGCGGATAGGTAGCAACGAAGAGCAAGCTCGGGATACCGTAGTAAAGACAAGAAGTCGGAAACTGCAGGAGAATGCCGAGGCCAGCGAGCAGCTGGAATCCCGTGTATACGAGACCCTTGAAGGGAGTGATGGCACCGCGGGCAATGGGGCGGAACTTGGTCCTCGTCACATGGGGGTCGAGATTCCTGTCCCAGAGATCGTTGATGCTGCAGCCCGCCCCGCGCATGATGAGCGCACCGGAGAAGAAGAGGGCCGTGGTTCCGACGACCGCGGCGGGGAAGCCATGGGTGCAGCCATGGGCGCCGCCATGAGGGTTGAGAAGAGGCATGGGAAGAATAGGTAGTGCGTGCCGGCGGGCTTATCCAGACGGACGAGCTCGGCGTAGGGAACCCATGACTTGGGGAGGTAGGCGAGCAGACCGGTGGTGGGAGGCTTGTAGATGTCCACGGAGGATCCCGCATCGAGCACGGCCGCAGGATCGAGGATCGCGGTGGGGGAGATCCTTGTAGAGAGGGCGTAGCTTGTGGAGTGGAAACCCGCCGCCTGGTGCCGGGGACGGCTGTTGCTCACTCGAGGCCCATCTGTCGTCAGGGCGCTGAGCGAACGTTGGAGAGAGGCGGAGGACTTGAAGGCCGCTCTGGTGTTCAGAGCACGGGTGGACTGGGGAAAGCACCACTGGCGTGAGCACCGCCCGACGTTGGTCAATCGCATGGTGAAAATAGTGGTGGGGCCGCCGAGGTATAGGCGATTCGCTGCTCAATAAGAGAGAGAAATTAGCACTGCGAGACCACGATGAGGGCCACTCAAGCGCAAGCGCGGTCCCTCTTCGGAAATCAGCCAGGCCTGTTTGGCGGGAATTCAAGCCTGGTCCCTCTCGCTCGCAGCCTCTCTTTTCGCTCAAGGTTTGAGGGAACGTTTGTCGACAATTGAGGGTTCAACTGTGAGGGCGCGTCTAAGAAGGTGCGACACAAGACCCTGGTGGTGAGGATTAAATTTCGAGAGCTTTCCGCTGACTAAGTCGCAATCCGGAACTTAACCAGCGCCTTCCCGTAATATTCTTGAACCGTGTCGCGTCACACCCCTCGTGTGGTTGAAGGAGTTCCAATTTACATTCCTAACATCTCACACTCGGTCTGCGGACTCCCACACGCTTGACAAGCCCCCTTTAGACACATTGTGTTCACGGGCTTGTTCCCTACCTCATGGATCCCCAACCTTGAACCGGAACTTTTTAAACACGAGGGCTCAAGCTTGTGTGACGATCAACGCCACTACCCGAAGTGTTGATAATGATCCCAAGATCGCAGCCATGCCAACTTCAATGCACCCCCAGGCCAAATTTGACCCGATCCCTCCAGACCTAGACCTGCACGAACTTGTCGAGAACACTCCCAACCTAAGCTGGGTTGTCCGCATCACCACAGCCCAAATCCGCAATCTTAGCCAGCAGGAGTTTGAGAATCTCGTCAACATACATGTCGTCCAGCAAGGCCGCCCACTAGTAATCTCAGGATGGGATGAGGTTCTACCCAAAAATCTGTTTGGCTCCGAATGGCTCGAACGGACCTATGATAAGCGACGTATGCGCCGAACCACCCCTTTGCTGGACCGTCATCTGGAGGCTGACAATTTTCTTTTTTTCTAGAGGAAAATGTTCGGGACATTGGCTCGCAAAAGGATATACCCATGACTCTAGGGCACTACATGAGATCTATGAAACAACTTACGAAGCAATGGACCCCGGCCAATTTCCGCGACGAGAGGCGTCAACGCCTCTACCTCAAGGATATCGATTGCCCTCCCGAGTGGCATAAAGGCTTGCAAAAGCTTATCCCCCGAACGTCTTCTACATGAACGAAAATGTAACCGATAAAGGCGACGACGAAGCGAGCACGGCTCGGGGCGGCGACCTATTCAGAACCCAGGTCGAAGCCGCGCCCGCGGGCGATCTCATGTCATGTCTGCCGGAGAAAATGCGCGCAGAGAACCTCATGTGCTATATAGGACACGAGGGGACATACACACCAGCCCATCGCGAAATGTGCGCAAGTTTGGGACAAAACCTCATGGTCGAGGCTTCGATCGATGATGGTGAAGAAAAGGCCGGGAGCTCGATATGGTTCATGACTGAAACCAAGGATCGTGAGGTGGTACGCGAGTATTTTCTCTCTATGCTTGGTCACGATATCGAGATTGAGAAACACTTTGCGCAGATCAACGCGTGGAAAAAGGCGACCTTCCCAGTCTATGTTGTCGAGCAAAAGGCGGGAGATTTCATTCTCGTCCCTCCTTGCTGCCCACCAAGTCTGGAACCGTGGCACGCGCACTATGAAGGTAGCTTGGAACCGAACGACGGTTGAGACATTGGAAATGGCGATTCAAGAAGCCTTGCCCAAGGCGCGGCTGGTGTGTCGAGACGAGCAGTACAAGAACAAGGCCATCATTTATTACGCTCTGAAAAAGTACGCTGCAGAGCTCTCAAAAACGGAAGAAGGAGACGGCATGGACCTCATGGGGTTAGACACCGGATTAATCCGCTCCTCGCCGAGAACTGAACAGCTCACCCGCGACTTTAAACGGCTATTTACGCTGTATTCGAACCTACTCACGGACGAGATGTTTGCGACCAAGGAGAAGGATGTCGAATTCATTCCCTTTGATTCCTGCATCACCTGCTCCTACTGCCGCACCAACATCTTCAATAGATTTCTCACCTGCAAACATTGCGTACGACTCTTGATCAACGGCGACGAAGACACGTACGATGTGTGCATGGAGTGCTATGCCATGGGCCGGTCTTGCCTGTGTGTTTCCGGCCTCCAATGGTGTGAGCAGTGGAACTGGTCCGAGTTGGCGGATAATTATGAATCTTGGCGAACCATGATAATTAAGGCGGACGGCTTCCTGGATCTGGACAATTCACCGATGCCCCTCGAAGTGGCACGAAGCCGCAGGCGTAAGAAGGCCCTGGCTCAAGTCTGTCAGGAGTCCCTCAAGCGAAGGCCATTCACCGACATCACCAAGCCCCAGCCTGGACCAGAGCCGAGCGAGTCGGAGCCAGAGATTGAGCTCGACGACGAGGGCCGTCCAAAGAAAACCCCAAAAAGAGGAAGAAGAAAAAAGAAGGAGGGACAAACTCGCCGCTGCCATGTCTGTTGTCGCCCCGATTATATTTACAAGCTGCAGGTGTGCGCTAACCCGGACTGCTGTGAGGCGTATTGCTACGGTGTCCTATACCGAGCTTTTGATATGATGCCCCAAGCTGTGCAGGAGAGCGAGCACTGGGAATGTCCCAGGTGCTTGGGAATTTGCAACTGCGGCGCCTGCCGGCGATCAGGAACCTCTAACCCATACTACCCCAAAAGCACGTCGCTAGGCCACGACACGCGCCCAATCGCCGATGACCGAAGCGTTGAGGTCCTCGTCGATTTCCGGGTCCACAATCTAACCTGGCTCAAAGTGATGGGTGAAGAGAGTCGTAGCAACAATAGCAAGCGGATGCAGCGCCTGCGCGAGCAGGCTGACATGGCCAAGTCGCAGGACCCTACCCTTGACGTGCTCTCTCAGGAGGCTCAAGACGCCTCTGGATCCCCCTTATTACCAATGCCGGAAGCCAACAGTCAGACAGCAGGAGAACACGGGGACATGGGCATGGCGTTGCATGGCGACATGGATCTTGATGGGGATGGACTACATGGGTTTCACCGCCACGCCCCGACGTTGCCTGCAGAGCACCCTCTCGCTCTCGTGGAGGCCTCGCTCTTTGATGACCACGGTGGCCATGACCCTGACTTGTACCCCGAGCCCTCCATGGTTGGACCTCAACACTTGATCGGTCTAGGGTATTACGAGCAGGACGACAGCCCGGATAAGATTCTCTTCGATCCATATCAAATGCCCACGGCGGAGAGCATGGAAATGGATGAACCTGACATTCCCGAATATCTTAAGAAGACGATGCGGGCGCAGAAGCGAAAGGCGCGGCAGGAGAACGAGGACCCCGAGTTCAAGATACGCCCGAGATATGAAAAGAAGAAGCCGAAGAAGACGGAGGGAGACTTCCAATTTATCGAGGTTGACCCCGCGCTGTTCGCGACACCCGACAAGGAGGCAAGCCGCCCGCCACCGTCACCACCACCAAAACCAACGCTCAGGCTTCCAAGGAGGATACCGACCATTCCAGCAGCGACAGCGGTTCTGACGATGATGAGTTGACAAAGCACATCACGCGCGGGGCCAAGCCTAGGCATTCTTACGCCGACACCGACGACTTGGACGAGCTGCTGGATGACCCCGAAGATCTGCTGCCAGCAAATCGCCCCGCAGGAGAAGGTCTTAAGAGGAGAGCGTTACAAGAAGCGCCAACGGAGCCGAAGAAGCGAGGTAGACCTCCTAGGAAATCGACCCAACATCCGGCCGTTGACGGTAATGGGCAGCTTGTCCCCTCAAGACCGCCACGCCGGTCCAGGCTTAGCAACGTGATCTCCGCCGCGGAGCTTGAGGAGGAGGCCGAGCCTGAAACTGTCGCACCGCAGTCTGTCGGGCCAGTGCAGCAAAACGAGTACGCAACGCTCGACGAGGAATTACAAATTCTGGCGGCCGATCTCGGGAAGGAACTCGAAAGGGAATCTGATGACGGGGCGGAGCCGCCTCTAGTCGAAGCAAGCGAGGCGGATGAGCCTAGCAATCTGGAAGCCACGACAGTCTCGACCCCCACCGAAGAGGCCCCCGTGAAGCGTAAACGTGGCCGGCCTAAGCGATCGGAGACGAGCATTCTCGCTCAGTTCGGGGATGAGTTGAGAACGCCTAGTAGGCCCTCGGCATCTGCGTCGACCTCCACGCCCAGAACGGAACCTTTTAAGAGAGGTAGGGGACGGCCCCGTGGTCGCCCTCCCCGTCGCTCAGAGCCTGTGCCGGCACGGGAGCCGGCGAGGTCGCTGTCGCCGGCGGCGAATTCGCCCCTATGAAGATGATGTCAATGGCGGAGAGAATGAGGATGAAGGGCAGGAAGTTCAAGATTGGTCAACGTAAGTCGCAGGCATCTGCCCCGTTGCCTCGACAGACCAGCCCGGCGGCGGTGCCCATTTCGAAGCCTAGGGCACCCTCCGAAACGGACGGCTCTATCGAAGGCCGCGACACAGAGGCGCAAATGTCAGGCTTGGGCAGGGAGCAGGAGGAGGGCGACGACGCCGAGGAATTGCACAGGCCAGCGCGAGGAAGACCCGAACTCGTCGAGGACGATTACAGCCCAGTTTCAGAAGGCAGTGTGGCAGGAAATTCTGGAAACGACGGGGATTCTGACGTGGAGCCAGCAGAACTTCCTTCTCCACCGAGGAGCAGATGGACGGTTGCCGGGCGTAGCTCCCGTCCTACAATTGTTCGTCTAGCGGATGCGGACGATAGTGAACTAGATGAGGATGAGGAAGACCTTCTTCCGGTGGTATCCTCGGAGGATGATAGCGACGATGAAATTCCGGCACGCCGGACCACCATTCCTAGGGGCGGGGCGAAGCTCGCGGTCGCGGACGTGGACGTGGACGTGGCCGTGGCCGAGGTCGAGGCGTCAATGTCTCTCGTGGCGGAAGTCGAAGTGATGGGGTAGGCGGAAATAAGGCTGGAGTGCAGCTCGCCGCTGGGCGTGGACGCGGACGTGGTCGCGGTCGAGGCCGTGGTCGCGGTCCGGGTCGACCTCGGGGAGTTGATCATATTGAGGTTTTTGTGTTTTGATAATGAGCATCGCAATAAGCGACAGGTAGAGAGCAAGGAGTTTACAGTCTTTGTTATTCTTTCCCGAGAAGGGAACAGGGAACCGGTGCATCGCGTATAGGGGAGTCACGGAATAGTCGGTTCTACTTCATGTATATATACAATGCTTTTATATTCTCCCTCTTCTTACATACATTAGTCGTCGTTGTCAGGATGTAGCTCCCTGCTTGTACGAGTTACACATGACCAAGAAAAGAGAATTTTTCAAGCTACTTGGATGCGTGATGCGATATCGATTGGTTACCTTGCCATGGGCGCTTGATGAGCTGGCTGGCGGGATTACATCCCAAAAGGAAGAGCAGGCGCATAAAGAGTAGCAGTGGGAGCCCCCGACACTGCCAGCGTGTGGACTACACAGTCGGCAAGAGGATGAGCCAGCTGTGACTCGAAGCTGCCTTGATCTTTGGGACCCTACAGTGAGGTGATGAGGCTCTGGTTATGTGAGGGACTAACACGACGACCCAAGGAAGATATTGACAACGTTGCTAGGAACAAAGGAGCACTGGCTTAGCTAGACATGGTGCCGTTTTGTGTGCTAGGGATCAAGACCGCTTGATGATCTACTGCCCCGGGATGTCAAGCGTGGCTATTCCAAGCTTCGTTTTTCTTGATATTGGGGGTTTGCCTTGAGATCGCTCAGCATTTGTATATATATATATGTATTATTTAAACTTGTCCGGTACTACTGTTCACGTATCACATGCTAGGGAATGAACTAGACAATCACTGGCTCTTTTCTAATTCGAGGATAGCATGTCTACCCATAGAAAGGAAGTGCACACCGGAGACTGCCCGGATCTCTTGAAGTGAGGGAAACCGGCGGTATTAAAAGACGACATTTTGCTACGGCAAGGGCCTGCGGGCCTTGGGGCACGATACATTCTTGCCTTCCGGCTTGAAGATCTAGATTCTAGTATAGATATAGCTATACGCAACATTTCAAATGACACCATGCAGCAAACGACGACTAGGCTTTTCCCCTTAGGTAGCAGGGAGTAACTGTTGGCGCCGAGGCTACCATTCTGGAAATAGAAGCGAGCGCGATCGGCGGGCAAGGCTTTGGTCCACAACTGCATGTGTGCATTGCCCAGCATTGGCCCTTTCTGGGGAAACACACCATTGCCCGCCAACAGTGGGACCCCGAGAGCATCTCTCAAACAGATGAAGTGCCGGGGGTGAGCTTGAGCAGATCCGTGCTGGATAGGGTTAGGGGAGTTTTTGGTCTGTCATCCAGTGAATTACGGGGTAAAAGGGCTTCGGCGGTGTTGGACCATGTCCCACTCAAAGGGAGCGTCCGAGGTCGGAACAAGTGGGTCGGCGAACGCGAGCAAAGCTTCGCTTGGAGACCGGATTGGGTAACTTTTGGAGCTCTGGTCGCATCCTCGATCCTCGCCAACGCGAGGCGACTGTCGCAATATGGTCCTCCCCCGCAGCTTTCTCTGGCATTTCCCCATTGCATTTTCCCGCTCCAATTGATTGGTCTTGTACGGCTTGGAGCGACGAGAGGGTTCGACGCTAATAATAATACTCCAAGCGGAAGCGCGGTAATACAAGTGCAAGCACACCACTTGCTCTCCAAGCCCACGAGCTACGCTACGAGCCCGACTTACATGGCCTGGAGCAACCCACACCTCGCCTGAGAGTGGGTGGGACAATTGTTTTTGAATAATACCGACGACCTGATTCCTGGGACTTTACCCGGTTCGCCGCCACGCGGAAATTTTGTGAAAAAAAGGGCCACAGGTCACGAAGAGAAAAGGGAAAAATTGTTATTATTAATTGCGACTCTACCGCATTGCAGCGCGGGGCCGGAGCCGGCGGATTTTGCCCACCTCCAGTATTGTGAAGGGAATAAAGAGCAAAGAAAGAAAGGATAGAAGGGCAACGAACAAAATAATGAGTGCAGAAAGTGGCCAATTGCGAGTAAGTTTACTTGGAAGATGTCGGAAGAGAATAGCGAAAAGTCCCGAAGAATAGCATGATGCGGCTTTGAGGTATTTCTGAATGTGGGAATCAGGTAATGGATATTCGTGTGAGTGTGCACCCAAAAAAAAAAAAAAGTTCTGAAGGCGGTGAGAGCCAAGGGCAAACGGGATGAAAACGGGGTCCAGTGGGTAATAAGTTCACCCTCATTCCCCTCCGGCAACTCCTAAATTGTCCTCACCGAGTCTTTGGCGGGGCAGAGATCGAGAGAGGAGAGGAGATAGAGAGAAGCAGAAGCAAGAACTGGTGGGTTCTTCGGAGTCATTGATATTCATCAATCGGTGGAAAAGCCACTATCAAGGAGTGCCGGAAAAGGGAAGGGGAGAGCGCCACAATAGCTGGAGCTCAAGCAACATTGAACTTGTACTTGACGTTGATCAGTGCCCGCTATCAATCGGATCGATGGCTCCTAACAACAAGTGGCCACGGTGGTTTCTCTTTGTAAATCATTGGCGAGAGGGATTGAATTGATCGGTGCCATTGGAAATGATGGAGTGATACCTGTGGTGTACTTCGTAACCTGTGGCAACTAGGAGAAGGGGCTCCATGGAAAGCACCTTCCGACACAACTAGCGCGAAAAGGGTGAGCTCACATCTGGAGAAGGAGCAAGGACCCCTGGCGAATTTTGGCCCTGGGGCACGGAACAGCTGGAAGGCGCCTCGGGGGCGTGGGGGCCCACCTGCACCTGGCCTGGCCTCGGTGCGTTGCGTGGTGGTGCCTGTCTGACTGCTGCGACGGTCTTTGTCCCACCTTTTTTCATCGTGTTGCGCTCGCTGCTGCTGGCTTGGCCGGAGTAATAACATTGATTATTAGAGTCGCCGCTAGCTCAGTGTAAATTGTTAGCAGCAGCCAGCCCCCGATCAACCGATACACACCCCCTTCGAAGCCAGGTCGCCCCTTCCACAGCACTCGATATTTTGGATCCGAGTCATTTTCCCCAATTGTTCTTTTTCTCTCCTTCTTCTTCCCTCTTCCTCTCCTCTTCCCATTCTCCTCTGACCTTGATTCTCGTCTTGTCATCTCCTCATCTCCTAGCTCTCCTTCTTCAGCATCCATCTCCTTCTTTCACCCTTCTCCTAATCCATAGACATAATGTTGCCCGCTATCAGGATCATTGGCGGCAGGCGCTTCGCCGTCAAGGGAGCTTCTGCTCTCAACGCCACCTTCGCCCGCTCTGCTTCGACCTGGGCGAACGTGCCTCAGGGCCCTCCTGTAAGTAGTTTTCTTCTCGGCGTTGACTTCTCGTCATTTGTCCAAGGTGCCATCTTTGCGATGGGTTTCCTGTCTTCCGCCGTCGTCGGCATCATGCTCCTAAGTGTGCGCGAGGGAGCAGAGCCGTGCGGCGCCGGCATCGCTCCTTGTCATGATTGCTAACTTTTTTCCCTTCCTGCTTTTAGGATGTGAGTATTTTCCGAATCCATCACCGCGCCCCTCGCTATGCGACAGCAAAAAGTTAGCGAGGCGTAACTTGCCTCGTGGAAGAAGAGACCCTGCTTCTTTTTTTCTCTCCTTCCTGAATCACATTGTCTCGTTCGCATGAACCTGCATACTGACTACTGCGCGCCTCGTTCGTTGATTTCTAGGCTATTCTTGGTATGTCGTGACCAATCCCACTTGACGATTTTTTCCCTTTCCCTTTCCCGCCCCCAAATCTTTTTTTTTTTTCTTTCTCGCATCGCGAATTAAATAGCAGAGCCGCAATATTGACGCGAATTCTTTTGAACAGGCATCACCGAAGCTTTCAAGGCCGATAGTTTCGACAAGAAGATCAACCTCGGTATGGACCCACTCCCAATCGACCCATTTGAGCTTCCTAGCATATGATCAGGGGAACGCGCCCCATCAGCCCAGCTGTGGAGAAACAACCGCCCACAGGTGGTTGCCAATATTCCCACATTGGACTCTTGGCTAACGATGCGCGATGTTTGATAGGTGTTGGTGCCTACCGTGACGATGCTGGCAAGCCCTACGTCCTCCCCTCCGTCCGCGCGGCTGAGGACAAGATTGTTGCTGCCCGCTTGAACAAGGAGTACGCCGGCATTACTGGTGTTCCCGAGTTCACCAAGGCCGCCGCCGAGCTCGCCTACGGCAAGGGCAGCTCCGCCCTCGACCGCCTTGTCATCACCCAGACCATCTCCGGAACTGGTGCTCTGCGCATCGCCGCTGCCTTCCTTGCCCGCCACTACCCCGGCGCCAAGACCATCTACATCCCCAACCCCTCGTGGGCTAACCACGGCGCCGTCTTCAACGACTCTGGCCTCCAGGTCCAAAAGTACAGGTACTACAACAAGGACACGATTGGCCTCGACTTTGAGGGCATGATTGCCGACATCAAGGCCGCCCCCAAGGGCAGCGTCTTCCTCTTCCACGCTTGCGCCCACAACCCCACCGGTGTCGACCCCACCCAGGAGCAGTGGAAGGAGATTTCCAAGGCCGTCGCCGACGCCGGCCACTTCTCCTTCTTCGACATGGCCTACCAGGGCTTCGCTTCCGGCGACATCAACCAGGATGCCTTCGCTGTCCGCCACTTCGTCGAGCAGGGCCACAACATCATCCTTGCCCAGTCCTTCGCCAAGAACATGGGTCTCTACGGTGAGCGTGTTGGCGCCTTCTCCATTGTCTGCGAGAACGCCGAGGAGAAGAAGCGTGTCGACTCCCAGGTCAAGATCCTTGTCCGCCCCATGTATTCCAACCCCCATCCACGGCGCCCGCATCGCCTCCGAGATCCTCAACACCCCCGCCCTCTACAACCAGTGGCTCGCTGAGGTCAAGGAGATGGCCGACCGCATCATCACCATGCGCGCCCTCCTCAAGGACAACCTCGAGAAGCTTGGCTCCAAGCACGACTGGTCCCACATCACCAGCCAGATTGGCATGTTTGCCTACACTGGCCTCACCCCCGAGCAGATGGATGCCCTCGCCAAGGAGAACTCGGTCTACGCCACCCGCGACGGCCGTATCTCCGTTGCCGGTATCACCAGCGCCAACGTTGGCCGCCTTGCCGAGTCCATCTTTAAGGTCAAGGGTTAAGCTGCCATCCTCATTCACGACTAAACCTACGTTGGTGGTGGAGAGGATTGGAGGTTTCTTCCCTCTTGTAGGAACCGGCGCGGGCCCTACACGGTGATGAGGGGGACGAGACGAAAGGAAACATTGCGGTTACTCAACAGCAAACGAAAACGGCGGTGGAGGTATGTGGTTACGCAAGAGCGCCGCACCATTGGCGGTATTGGATTTGGTGTCCCTCATTTCGATACCCAGCGCTTCTGACCCTCCTTTGATTATCTGGTCTGGTCTTATAGACGGCGGAGGATTTCACAAAAACACACACACAAACGGTACTTTTGCACAAAAATTGGCCCCTGTAGACTAAGCGGTAGATTTGGAGAGGAAAAAGACTTGTCATTATTTTGTTTTACTCTATATTCGGAGCTTGCTTGGCTCTTTTGACTCTTTTTGACCCTTGTGTTCTATCTGCCCTGGCTTCGGCGGAATCGTCGCTCCTTGTGACTCTTCTGGTGCCCTTGGGTGGGTACCTCTCCACTCTGTGCTACTCCCCCATTGCGCGTTGCGTGTGTCATTCAGAATGCATACCGAGGCACCATTTCGGACGCTAACTCACGACCGACGCCGAGTAGCTTGGGCTATTGCCATTCGACATCTAACGGCATACGGCTAGCAAAGAACAAGCTAGAAACGAGGCTATAGCATGGGATCGTCGTGTAGAAAAACCACAAGACTTTTGGCAAACGGCGAGGAGTTGGTGATTGCGACACGGTCACTAAAACCGGCGCGCACGAGATTATTTCTCTCGCTCTCTCTCTCTCTCTCTCTCTCTCTCTCTCTCTCTCTCTCTCTCTCTCTCTCTCTGGAATAAATTGGTGCGCGGCATGCTCAATAACAGGAGTGTGATCCGGTGGAGTGTAGATGGGAATCTAGCTTGGTTTATGGCTGGCACCGCTATAGGCGATGGAGCTATATGCTTGCTCTCTTTCCGGGTATAGTCGAGGAGACGTATGTGTGGTGTCGTCGATGGAGGACAATGCGTCTTTTGCTTTAGGAGCGACCCATCCGTATGGCTTGGTCTATTGCCATTTGAATGATGGAAGGAGAAATCTCTCTCGCGGGCGCGGGACCTAAAGGGACCCTTTCAGCGCCCGGTCGCCAGATAGTACTTGGCCCCTATATGAGTGAGGAACCACGGAGGCGTCGAGGATGTTACGATCCCACAGTTGTAGCTCTCGAGCAGGTCCAGTACACAGGACCCGAAATCCCCTTAACACGTAGATGTCTGTGGTAAACCAATGAACTTGTCCAAGCCGCGTGTCGGTCGGGGCTGGTTCTAGAGGCATCGCGAGCGGTCGTTACGCTGGTGGTCGATACGAAGAGGAAACGGATAGAAGGGGGAGCTCTGAGAGGGAGTTCGAGATAGCTCCCAGTAGTCCCTGTAAAGGTTGGCTAAGCCCTTGATGATGAAAGGGGTGGTTTGTAGTGATTAAACGAGCTCACTTCTCACCGGCCCCTTAACCTCTCCAAATCACCCTTGACGTCCTTGGCCTCCTCCTTCATACTCTTGTACACCCTTGCCATCTCTCTCAAAGTCCTCTCCTTGGCCTCGGCCTCGTCGCCCTCGACGCCGATACCGTACTCGGCGAGCTCGATGTCTAGTTCCCTGATGCGGCTTTCGAGGCGGGCACGGGCGTCGCGCAGGTGGGATATGTAGGCGAGGAGGCTTCGCGCACCTCGGGCGGGTACACAGTGTTGGAGTGGAGGAGCAAGAGGTTGAGCTGGGCGGTGAGATCGGCGGACCGGGAGGCGAGGGAGAGGTGGGCGGCGCGGAGCTGGAGGGAGCGGGAGGGAGAGGAGTGCTTGGACTCGAGGGCGTGGATGAGGGCGATGAGGGTCTTGGTGTAGGTGCGGAGGAGGGGAGGAGGAGGTCCGCTGTCGCGTTGTGTCGGTCCGTGAGGAGCGTGGCGGGGAGGGAAGGGGTGGGGGCGCAGCCTGCGTGGAGGGTTGGCTGGGATCGGCGAGGGTGTTGGCGGACGAGGTTGTGTTTGCGCGTTTTCTGGGCGCGGAGGCGGCGGCTTGCGGGGGCGAAGGCTGCGTTAGGGAGACGGACGCGGCTAGATCTTGGGCTATCTGAGGAAGCGTGGGTATGACGCGGTGAAGGTAGGAAGGGTTCGTCGAGGGGAAGCGATGCGGGCGATGGCGAGAGCCGAGTTGTGCATCTCCCGGGACACGAGGGCCCCCAAGTGCGGGAGAAGCTCGGGGAGGTGGCACAAGGGCGGGTGAGCGAAGAGCCGCTCCGCGTCCTCTGGGCTGGGCGGGTCTTTTAGGAGCGGGGGAGTAGTACGAGGAGGTCGAGGAGCTCTTCCGGAACCGGGGGTCGCGGGAGGATGTGCGTTTCGGCTCGGGGAGGGAGGAGATAGCGGAGGCGATGAGGTGGCGCTTGGCGGCTTTGACGCGGCGGGCGAAGAGTTCCTGATGTCGAGGGGGAGAAGACAGGATTAGTACATGTGAAGAAGGGTGCTAGATTGGGTCTTTACAAGTGGTGGATCTAAAGGGACGAGGGGTTTGGGTTGTACCTCTTGGACTGCCGCCCGGCTCTTTGCCGAGGGTCAGCCTTTGTGGTGCCGTCGGGATTAAGTATAGAGGTGGTGAGGGTCGCGTATAGTTTTGCGAACTCGGGGTTGTTTTCGAGAACGGAAGCTTCGATGGGCGGGAACATGGTGGCGGTTCTGTTTCCGTGCTCCCGCTTCTGACTGATAGGTTTCCTTGTCTTTATCTGCGGCGAGGGTTTTTCCCAAGGATTGGGGTTCAAAAGGGTGGAGAAAGGGGACGCCTTTGCATCAAAGAAATCCCTTCTTTACTTCCTTGCTGGTGTGATTCAGGCGGTGAAGTTGTCGTCGACTTTCGGGCTTACAAGCCGTTTGGAGGGTGTCAATGTGGGGGAGGAGTAACAATCGCAAAGGTGCAGGTCCTGCCGCGCTTGGTGGGAGAGCTCTTGGGACCCACATTTTCAGGAACCCTTGTCAATGTGTGCCATGTACCAAAGTACCTCTCTCTTCCCCTGCTGCAGCCAACCAAATTGACACTGTTCGAATCGCCCAGATGATGGCTTACATAATCCACTATCAATTCTCTCTGTCCAAAAATCTGCAAGCTTCGACGACACGGCGTGACAACGGGAGAAAAAAAGGCCATCACCAGCTTCACGAAACCTCACGCCGAGGCTTCGAATCGCCAATTCCACCGCCCCCTCCCTCCTACGAGCCGTCTTCGCCAGACACCCTCGATACAGAGACCATAGTCGACGCAAAACGCGAAACCCACCAACCTCCAACCTGCAAACTAGAAAGGGGGCTCGTAAACCACACGAGCTTCCTCTCTCTCTCTCACTCCCCCATCCAAAATGGTCCAACCACACCCCCTCCGCGCCCTCACCACGCGCCTCGCCTCCTCCTCCTCTCCCACCACAATCCCAACCACCGCCCTCCTCCTCACCCCTTCCTCCCGCACCTTCTCCACCACCACCCCCACCTCACCAAAACCATCAAAGCCAACAAGATCCCCTCACCCCTCGCCCCCTCTACCCCCGGCGACCGCACCTATACAAGCAATCCAACCAAGGACTCTACGGCCTCAGCCGCATCCGCTTCGGCAACAACGTCTCCGGCCGCAACGACACCCGCACCCCGCGCACCTGGAAGCCCAACGTCCAGCGCAAGAAGCTCTGGAGCGACGGCCTCGCCGCCTGGGTCAAGACCCGCCTCACCACCCGCGTCCTCCGCACTATTCGCAAAGAGGGCAGCCTCGACAACTACCTCGTCGCCCACGGCCGCCGTCGCGTTCGCGAGCTCGGCCCCGCCGGCTGGCGCCTCCGCTGGCTCGTCATGCAGACTCCCGTCGTCCGCGCCAAGCTCGCCGCCGAGCGCGAACGCCTCGGCCTGCCCCCGCTCGAGGACGACGTGGCTGCCGCCGCTCGCCGGGATGACCTCGTCTGGATCGCCATGGATTACGCGACCCCCGGTCCCTCGGCCGCAAGACGAGGGATATCCTCGAGAGCCGCGCTGCTGATGATGTCTTGGACCAGGAGCACTCCTTTGGCGAGGGTGCTGCGGATAATTTCGAGTTCAACGTCGAGTGGGTGGACGGCAACGTGCCGGAGGGCTTCGAGGCCGAGCCTGCGGCCGACGCGGCGCCCAAGACAAAAACTGTCTAAAAGTCTGTAAAAGAGGACGGGGAGGGAAAGAGGGCCATGACTGGACCCTCTTCCTTTGTTCCTCCTCTTTTATCCTGCGGGAGATCCAGAGCGATGGTGTGGTGTCGGATATGAAGTATGCATGATGCCTGTGTAATGGCGCTGTATTCCTTCTATTCCTTATGCTCGGCACTACTCGCCCCAGACGGGACCGGTTTGTCTCTTGGACCTGAAACCTGGTGTGTTGGACTAGAAACGGATGGATGGAATGTTAGACCTCACCGTGACGGAAACTGATAGACCTTGGCTTGATATTGGTTGTTTCTTTTCTTATCTTTAGCAAACTCACATGTACGCCTTCTTCGTCCTTGTATCACTATGTACACCAAAATAAAACCTTCACATATCATATATCTGCTGCACTGGTCGCAAGGAAACCATGACTGGGTAAAAACACGGACACACGTAACAAATTGGTTGTCCAAGTTTGGTTCATGATTCCCAATTCACTAGGCCAAAAAAAAGGCGTTGGCCGAAAACTACTATGTACCCAATGCTAACCACTACCCTATTCAGCTCCCTTTTAGTCCTTCATCTTGTCTTCTTCCTCACTCTCTCTCCTGTACGTAGCTGCCTCTATCGCTACAATATATTCAAGGGTATAATGTTCTCCCCTTAGAACCTCAAGTCCCAGCCGATCAACGGTCCAATCCGGGGCAGTTCGTCCGCCACGCTCTGCACATCCTTATCACCACGACCGCTCAGGCAGATGACGACGTCCTGATCCTTGGTCATGGTCTTGGCGAGCTCAATACCGCCATAGATACCGTGCGCAGACTCGAGCGCGGGGATGATACCCTCAAGCTGGCTGGCAAGGCGGAAGCCCTCAAACGCCTGGGCGTCGGTGGCGGCACGGAACTCGGCCCTGCCGCTATCCTTCCACCAGGAAAGCTCGGGTCCGACGCCGGGATAGTCGAGGCCGGCCGAAACCGAGTGGGTGTTCTCAATCTGGCCGTGGCTATCCTGAAGGACGTAAGTGCGGACACCGTGGAGCACACCATGCGTACCGGCGGTAAGCGTGGCGCTGTGGCGGGGGTGTCGATACCGTCACCGCCGGCCTCGATACCGACGAGGCGGACGCTGGGATCCTCGGAGAAGGGGTAGAACATGCCGACAGCGTTGCTGCCACCACCGACGCAGGCGACGACGGCGTCGGGGAGCTTGCCACGCTTCTCCCTTAGCTGCTCCTTGGTCTCGTTACCAATAACGGACTGGAAGGTGCGTACAATGGTGGGGAAGGGGTGGGGTCCGATGGCGGAACCGAGAATGTAGTGGGTGGTCTCGAGGTGAACAACCCAGTACCTCATGGCCTCGTTGACGGCATCGCGCAGGGTGCGAGAGCCCGACTCAACCGGGACAACGGTGGCGCCGAGGAGACGCATGCGGAAGACGTTGAGGGCCTGGCGACGCACATCTTCGGCGCCCATGAAGACGGTGCATTCCATGCCAAACTTGGCGCAGACTGTCGCGGTGGCTACACCGTGCTGACCAGCACCAGTCTCGGCAATGATCCGCTTCTTTCCTAGCCTCTTGGCGAGGAGGATCTGACCTAGAGCGTTGTTGATCTTGTGGGAACCGGTATGGTTGAGATCCTCACGCTTCAACCAGATGTTGGCACCTCCGGCGTGCTCGGTGAGGCGCTCAGCAAGGTGCAGGTGTCCGGGACGGCCCATGTAATCGTAGTAGGACCTGTACTCCTCCCAGAAAGCGGGATCGCTTCTGGCCTTGTTGAAACCATCCTCGAGCTCGGTCAAGCAATCCATCAAGCTCTCGGGCACGTACTGGCCACCGAAGTCGCCGAAGCGGTTGGGGATCTTGCCTTGAAGCGCGGCGAGTTGGCCGATGAGAGCCTCATCCTGCTCGGGCGAGATATTCTCCTCAACAGCGTCGGTGGCTCCCCTCTCTACAAGCTCGACCTCGGCATCGCCTTCAAGCGACTCGATGGTCTCGCGGCCACAGAGGTAGGCACAGTACTTCCTCACATCCTCAGTGAGGCTATCGGGGTCCGAGTTCTTGAGGGTGGTGATGATCTGGCTGCCAACGACGACGCCGTCGGCGAGGGAAGCGACGCTAACAAAGTGCTCGCGGGTGCTAACGCCAAATCCGACAGCGGCAGGCTTGCCACCGCTGTACTGCTTAACGCGGGCAAGGAGTTCGGGGAGGTTGCTGTTGAGGGAACCGGTGGCTCCCGTGACGCCCATGCGGGAGACAACGTAGATGAAGGAGTCGGCGAGCTGGCAAAGGATCTTCATGCGGGCATCGGAAGTGGCGGGAGCGATGAGAGGGACGTAGGAGAGGCTAGAGGGAAGGTAGAGAAAAACGAGTCAGCCATTTGCATTGCGAAACGGGGAGGGTCGCAACAAAGGTTTCCAAGGCTGGGAGAGCCTAGCAGGGCTAGGAAAAGCTGTGGGGAATCAAACTTACTTGCCGCGAGAGCAGAGCTTCCTGAAGGCAATGGCTTCCTCGGGGGTAGGTCGACAACGATGAAGCCGTTAACGCCGGCATCCTTGCAACCCTTTACTAGGCGGTCCTCGCCGTAGTTGAGAAGGGGATTGTAGTAGCCCATGATGAGCACGGGGACCTTGAGGCCCCTCGTACGGGCATCCTTGATCATCTGAAGGGTAGACTCGAGGGTGACGCCATTTTGCAAAGCAACCTAAAGAGGGGAGAAAGGAACAAAATCGCATGTCAGTCTACGGGCGTGCTCACATGCATGGGTGGCTAACAACTTGAAGAAGGGGAAGGGTTGAGTCGATACGTACGGTGTTGGAGGTCTGAATGGTGGGGCCGTCGGCGATAGGATCGGTAAATGGCGCTCCGACCTCAATCACGTCTGTTTTGTGAGGATATATGGTCAGCACGCAGGTCAAGATCAAGGCAAGGGAACAGCAGGCGAAAAGGTCGTCATACCGGCGCCGCCCTTCTCGAGAGCAAGGAGGATATCGGGGGTGTTTTCGGGCTTGGGGTAACCAGCGGTTACGTAGGTGACGAGCGCAGCCTAGAAAAAGTGCCAATCGCTTCGTTAGCAAAAGATGCGATTTTTCGTTCCATTTTCCTTCTCTTTGCGCCTGCAACATATTGGCGACGGTTGGGAGGCAAAAAAGCGTTTTATTTTTTTTTCCCCTTCGTGTCACCAGAATGGCGGGGCAGATCAACGGGCAGGGATGGGAAGGCGCGGGGTTCAACGTACCCTGTTCTGGGCCTTGCAGCGGCGGAACACCTGGCGAAGGCCTTCCATGATGGAGTCTGCGTTCTTTTTCTAAGGGGGTAGGGAAGTCTGGGAAGGGTTCCGGGAAAAAGGGATTCTGGGTATAGTAGAGTGAAGGACTGTAGACACAAAAGACAAGAAAAGAAGGAAGAGAAGGTGAAGCTAGTTTGGCGTTTTCCAAGGGAATGGAACGGGGACGAGGAAGGTGCGAGCTGGTCACTTCTTATTTTAGGTTTCTGGAGGTCCCTTTCTTTTTTTTTCTTTTTTTTTTTTTCTTCTTTTCCAATTGGGACCCCTCGCCCCTTCCGCGTCCCGCAAAAGAGTCGGGGAAGCGATGACTCTTTCCCTCCACTTGGCCGCGGGCAATGTACGAAGTACATGGATCTTCGGCGTTGGCGACATCAAACTAGCGGCGAAAGATGACGTTGCGTAATGTATTCTTGACTCTCTGTCGCCTTTGACATATTCTTTGGTGATTTTTTGGTCACCTCTGATCAGCTCCAATTATTCGATTCTTTGGTGATTATTTCGGTCATCTCTCTCTCCGGCGAGTTGATTCTTTGGTGATTTTTTGGTCACCTCTGATCACCTCCAATTATTTGAGCCTTTGGTGATTTTTTTGGTCATCTCTAATAACCATTTCTCCGGTCATCGCTTGGCCTTCCCCACGTTTCCCCATGACTCTCTCCTTCTACCTCACTCACCTTGCCGTTATTGGGGGTTTTCTCCTCAAACTGCCGGCTTTCCTATCTCTTCATTCATTCTTTTGAGCACATCACACCGATCCTAGGCCGATGATCCCATCGTGTAACATTTTATCCCACTTTCGGAGAAGCCCCTCCTCCTCTTCTCTTGTCGCTCTGTCCGAAAGCTCCAGTCTAGACTAGCCCCTTCGCCACCCTCTCCAAACTTTTTCTTCTTTTGGGAACACTCTCGGATTACTGGCTGGTGCCACTTTCGGAGCTACACGTCCTGCTCCCCGGCTCCGGCAGGCCGCTTACCGCCCCCGTCGCCATCCACACAGCCCATTCGGTGGATCTTGCCCTTCTTCCATGCATTGCTTACCTTTTGCAGGCCGTTCCTCAGAAAGGCCTTGTCTCCTTAAACCAGCCCATGGTGCGAGCTAAAGTTGAGTTGGACCATGACACATTCTTGGCACCCGTCACGTATTTTTATAGTATAATTTCACGTAGAATTTCGTTGATAGGTGTATATTCAGTGTATCTTTGCTCTGTTATTAGAGAGTGCGGGGGACGGTATAATACTTCTATATCCCATAAGAGGCGTAGTGTAGCGTTCTCATATGTTGGGGGAAAAAAGGAAAGAAGGAAAAGGAAAGTGAAGCACCGTGGTATCAACTGAATGAGTGGTATCTAGGTCTCGAAAACGGATTAAGAAAAGAAAAACAAAAAGGAAACAGAGGGAAACGTAACCCATTTCGTGGGGGATCAATGCAAGTTGAACGGAATGCAAATAGTGAAAACAAATGCAAGGCCGAGGTCCGGTTCCATCACCATTAAGAGTTTCAGTAAAGAAAGAAAAAAAAAAAAGAGACGAGGTATACGCCGATATGCCTTTCCTCCCCACGACAAAAAGAAACTCATCTACTCATCACGCGACTGCCCATTTTGCCTCTTGACCTTTTTGGCCGGGGGCGGACCGATGACCACGTTCGCGGGCATCGCCTCGTAGAGGGGCTGGCCAACGAAGAGGTGAAACCCCTGTTAACGGCGCTAACGGCGGCAGGACCACCGTTCCTCTAGAACTGATTGTCCTTATCCGACGCGAACGGGTTCTCGTTCCTGGTCCTCGGCAGCGCGCCGCCCTTGCCCCCGTCATGTACGACGGCTCCGTGGCCGTCGCGGTGGCGGGATGGGGACCCGGCGCACCGCCCGTCGACTTTGCGTCACCGGCATTGTAGTAACCAGGGCCGGCGTTCCCGTTTTCGTAGTAGTCGTTGAATCCTTCGCCGTACGTGTCCCTGTGCTGGAGGTCCGCGGTGGTGGGCGCGGCGCCGCCCTCGCCCCTGGTGCGGTCCGGGGTAGCCATGCCGGCGAGGGTGCGGACGACGCCGATGAGGACGATGATGATGTAGACGCAGAGCAGGCCGGTGGAGATGAGGGCCTCGATGAGGATGCTCTTGTGGAGGGAGTCGACGACCTTTTGGACGGCGCCGGTGACCTCGTCGGTGGTGACGGAGGACGGGCTGGCGAGGAAAGTGGTCAGGTCCGAGTCGCCCGAGATAGATTCCTGCGCGCCCAGGCTAAACGTGTCCTCGGAGAAGAGGGGAAAATCGACGCGGGCCTGGTCGTGCAGCCACGTGAGACCCTTTTGCACAGCCTCGATCTTGAGGCCGATGACGCAGCGGATGAGGTCCGAGGCCACCTTGTTCAGGACGGTGTCGCCAAAGAGGGCGTCGATGCCCTTCTCCATCTGGGCGGTAAACGTGTTGAGCGTGTTATTGACGGCGTCGGTGCCCTCGGTGACGAAGCCGAGCACGTCGTTGTTGATCTCGTCGTTGAAGTTGATAATCACGCTGTTGGCGTCGGTGGCCCACTGCTTGGACACGCCCTGCAGGCTCTCGACGACGTCGCCGGCGAAGTCGCCAACCTGGTTCGCGAGCTCGGGGACCTTGTGCTGGACGGCGCGCAGGACGATGAACTGGCACAGGCAGGAGAAGAAGCCGGCGATGGCGAGGGAGAGGACGAAGACGGCCGGCAGGGAGGTGGCGTAGGCGACGCACCAGCGGGCGAGGACCTGGCGCTTGCCCTGGAAGCGGGCGGCGATCTTGATCCCCCACGCCGAGGTGGTGGGGCGGGAGGCGAGGTAGACGACGTCCATGGGGTCGTACTGGTTGGCCTCGATGATGCGGGCGTGGGCCTGCTGGCGGCGCCAGCGCTTGATCTCGAGCCAGCCCATGACGACCATGGCGAGGAGGGCGAGGACGATGACGACGGCGATGAAGGCGGTGCGGGCGGTGCTGACGGTGGTGTAGAGCCCGTCGAAGAAGCCGTTGATGTTGTCGTTGTCGGAGCAAAACGTGAGCTTCTGCTTCTGGGCGACGGGGAACACGTCGCGGTCAAAGGTGAAACCCGCGAGGGACTCGTTGATCTCCTTCTTGATGAGCTGGAAGGGGAACGAGATGGCGCGCTCCGTCAGGTTCCGCACGTCGTCAAAGGTGGGGATCTTGTTGTTGAGGGTGTCGATGTCGGCGACGAAGCCCGAGGTGTCGATCTTGAGGTCCTTGAGCTTGTCGAGGGCGGACGTGAAATCGACGTCGGGGATGTCGGGCAGGATGGGGCCGAACACGGATTCCTCGATGGAGCTGGTCAGATCGTTAATCTTGTCCTGGATGCTCTTGGCGTCGCTGGAGATGCCGTTGGCGATGCCCGAGATGGCGCCGTTCATGGCCTTGGTGAACTTTTCCACCACGTCGGCGGCGACGTCGAGCGTGCCGTGGATGACGGCGGAGGCGAGGCACACGTAGGTCGACACCATCATGTTAATCACAAAAATGATGAGGTTCTCGATGACGGTCACGGCTAGCTTGAGGGCGGACACGAGCCCGCGCACAGCTTTTCGATGCCCGAGGCCGACAGCTCGTTGACGCCGAGGGAGAGGTAGTGCGGCATGGAGGACATGGCGCTACCGATATCCTCGACCTTGGTGCACGCCTGCAGCGCCTTGATCTTGGCCTCGCCAATGTCGTCGTCGAGGTCGGTGACGGCGATCATGACGCGCACCAGCACGAGGAGCAGGAGGACGGTCCACCGGTTGATCCATATCTGGGAGAGGCGGGAGCGTAGGCTCAGGTAAGGGGTCACTTCGGGGGCGGTGGGCGCGCGGGTGACGTGGACTTTGCGGAAGTCGTCGAGCTCGACGGATTGTGAGCGGAGGGAGTTGGGGAGCTCGGGGTAGGTGCGGGGTTTTGGGTGCCCGCGGAGGCGGTTGAGCATGTCGAGCTTGTTCATGGCGCCGATGATAGAGTTACTACCGGTTTCGTTTCTGCGCCCTTCTCTCTTCAGGTTCTCGAAATAAAGTTAGGAGGTTGCAAATTTGAAGGAAATGGAAATGGAGCGCTGGTATGATGGTTTTGGGGGAACGCAGTGAAGGAAGATATAGGATATAGGACTAATAAGTCGACTCTCGACCGAGGCGCGAGTTGGTAGGGAAAAGGAAAAGAAAATAAGGAAAGAATAAAAGCACTGGAGCAAGCCAAGGAAGAGAAATAATGAATATGACTTTTTGAAAATTGAAGCAATAGAACCCGTCACCTGGACTGGGAAAGAAGTGAATCAGACAGAGGATACGGGGGAGGTGGGCGTGTGAAGCTATCTTGTCTGCATTATGAGAAGGTGGTGAATAAGTGAGGAAGGTGAACCAGGAGCACACACAGAAGAAAGGAATTGAAGAAAAAGAAAATAGGAAGAAAGAAAAAAAGAGACGAGGTATGAAACGAAACAGCCAGACGAGTAGAACAATGAAATGGGAATGGGTGGAATGAATATTAAGGAAAAGGCCGAGGCCAAGTCACGACAGAACGATGCGCCTCTTCTTCCTCGACACCAAAAGTCCCTCTAACCAGGGTCACGCGGGGCTCGCGCCTCGAATCGGAGGAATCAAAGAAAGGAAGCGAAAAACGATTCAACAAAGGCCAGAACCACCTTCAAGAATAGCAACGTCTAAACCATGGGTTCCCGCTCTCCGGAGCGAATAAAGAAAAAGGGCTGGCTTACCTGGAGATGGGGGTCGGTGGGGACCCCTGGGCGCGTCTGGCTTACACGACTCCAAGCGACGGTTGGTTCGACGAGAGCGCCGCAAAGAGCCGACAGGGGGCCCCAGACAGGGCAGAGAAAATGGAGGGGTCGGACTTGGCTCTCTCTCGCTTTCTTTTTTTCCTCTTATTCTTTTGTGAAATACGGTTTTACTGAACCCTCTTTGGCTGGTCGGGTGTTTCTTCCTCGTCCCGTGGACGGTGCGCTCGCTGTGGGCCGGGCAGGGGGATCAATGTGGGATGCGGGACCAGACGTTGTTGGTCTGGCGCTTAGTGGAGCTGACAGCCAGTCGTTGGGCAAGCCGGGCGATATTGGGTGTTTCGGCCGTCGGTGGTTCGTTGGCGCCGGCGGCTGCGAGGCCTTGGCTTTGAGACGGGCTGGGCTGACGCTGCAGCGACTCTCTGGACCTTGCAATGTGCAGTTTTTCTTTCTTTTCTCCGTTTGTTTCTTTGGAGAGATATAGAAAAGAAGTTTCAATCTGGCAACAAGAAAGATAACAATTGATGAAATCGCTCGAGAAAAAAAGGGTTCGTCAAAGGCCGACTGGGAATGAGTGGAATCGGCCAAATCGGAGCTCGAGGCTTCTCTAGTTCATCCTATTCGCCATACACGAGAGAGCGTCAAGATGCAGTGACGGGGATCAATCGTGGGTGTAGACGTGAGAAGGAAGGCGCTGGGTAAACGTAGCTGTGGTTTGCCCGCACGCCTCGAGCTCGAAAAGGCCGAGATCGAGTCGGTGTCCGCTTGTTTCGTTAGGACTGGCTCGTTTTCTGTTTTCCAATTCATCTAATCTCCTGAATTGGAACGAAGGATTGGACTGGGGTTATATCTTCTTCGGAAATCGCCCATCCAAGTCGCCCGTTCTTGAGCCCCAGACTACCTCGATACTCTCCATCTATGGACCTCTTCGCCCCCTTCAAATAGAAGGAGAAAAAAGTAAAGAAAAAAACAGGGAATGAGCCTTTGAATTTCCCAAACGAGGACTGGTTTCGTGGATCCGAGTCAGTGAGGTTACATGACTCTTCGCCTTCGTCGTTGTGCTCGCGAAGAACATTGACCTTTGAAGCGATTGATGCTTCACTGCATCATCGCTCGGTATCGTGACCGGGCTTTGGGCAGGATTGGCGTGGGGCAGCGATTCAAGGGTTGAATGGGACGTGATGAATGGGTGTGCTGGCCCTGCCATTCATTTGATGTCCCAATTGATCAATGGGTGATTGATCGTTCGCTCTGGGAACTGGGAGTCCTCCCCGGGGCTCTGACTGGCTGTGAAGGCTTGAGTGGCAAAACGGGACGGGGTTCAACGATGGCGGTGCAATTCATCTTCCCTTTTAGGCCCTGATCAACCCCGTCACCACGTCTCGAGGTGGACGGACTCTCATTAAATGACAAGAGATCCACGAATGAGGTCTTTCTGTGCCCGTTTTCTCTCATGGGCCGTTGGGGTCCTGGGAAGTTGCCACATTCAACCTGGCGAGGAGAGGGCACAATAGTCTGTGGCGGGGAAAGGGTATTTTACAAGGCAAAATGCAGTTTACCTGGACCAGTATGTTCCCATAGGTAGAATGGCAAGAATGGATCAGTCCCGCGATAACGGGATCCATTCATTCAATGGGTCTATGTATTCAATGTTCCATTGTTATGTTAGCTACATGTGCATGTAGCTCTTGAACGAAGAGACCGTTTGGTGCTCGACCGAACTGACTGAGCTGGCTGGCTGTCTCGCTGTGACAATACGATAGCCACTCTTCAAAAGTACAACAAGAACTTTCTGCAGCATACGAAAATGCAGCACTTCTCCTTCATATGATGCATCTCCTCGACTTCAAACTCCCTTATTGCCATTCTCGTTCAGTCATTTGTGCGGCGGGATGCAAACGTTGAAGAATGCCAAAGAAACCGAACCCAAGTTCTAGCGCGTGGGGCGGTCCTTCTTTGTTCTAAGCGCCCTCCACGTCTCAGGCTTCGGCCCGGAAACCCTCGTGATTGGACCACAGCTCACGTTGACGTTTTTCGGCGAAACCCCTTCAATGTTCTTCTTGATCAGGCGACCCTATTTTTGTCTTGAACCTTTTTCTCTTCCGCGAAAAACAAAGCGGGTGCTACCGTCCCTAAGCTCTCATCGGACCCTTTGAGATTCATTCCGTACACTATGTGGGGAGGAAGGGCCTTGAAGCGTTTGGCGATGGCAAAGATGGCCTTGGAGCGGATCTTGATGCAGTCCATTGATCTCAGCCATCCTCTTTAGGCACCACTAAATCATCTCGCAAGGAACGAGACACTGCACGAAAGAACAAACATGAGGATAAAAATCATTTGCTCGTCCTTGAGAATAAATTCCCTTTCACTTTTAGCTCGAGTATATCAGAATACTAGCTGCTTGTCCTGATCAGACGTATTACCTTATCAGTCAGCTCATCTCCTCAGTGGACGGTCTATTGACGAGGAGCGAGGGAAAGCATTCAGGTAGAATGGATCTAAAGATCCTCTAAAACAGGCATAAACGTGTAGGTCTCCTTTGTGTTTCTGCACGAGGTAAGTGTTCCGCCCTGTCATTGCATCACTCTGGTCTTCCGCCATCCAAGGCGAGAATCTTCATGCTTAGAAACCTTCAACTACTTGTATGAACTCGTCTTTGGGTGGCCGTTTGTCCATCCACTAACCCCCTGCCCCGTTTACGCCCATTGATCTACTTGATGCTGAATATGTTCAAAAGAGGCCAGTTTCCGTAGTTCAAGCCATAGTCACTGTGGATGTGTACTGGATGTAGGCAATAATGGATCCATCCACTATGGATTACTTTAGTCCTATTGCACTACGCTATGCTGCAAGCTGCGAGCTCCCGAGACTGAGTTGAGCTGCCTTGGTCTAGTGTTACTGCGCCGCATAGTGGAAAAGACATGCAAAAAGATAATGGCAGGCCATATTGATCAATGTGTCAGTTTGGATGTTCATGCTTATCGACGTCTCTCTCTTTGAACCTAGAGGCGGCGTCCCCGGGATGACTATACACTGAGCTTGGAAATCATATCCAAGGCCTCACTCCCCTTGTTCTCAAGTTCAAAGGGGAAACGATAGCCTCACTGATATATAATTCCGATTTCGTTTCGCTGAGAAGCACGAGACTAGAACACTCTCTCACTGATACGTCTATGCCCCCAGCCAAAGTTCTCTCCTTTTCCTTGCGAGAGGCCATCATACTTGCCACACCGGCCCATGATCCCTGTGGGTTACCCCCGAAAATGGTGTTTGGCTGCCGTCGCCGCCCAACCTCTGGTTTTCCGAGGCCATCCTGTATGTATCTCGGGTGTACGCGTCGTGTGCTAAAGTGCGATGCAAAAGCCACGGGTATAATCCTACTTTCGTACTATTGTAGTGATCGTGAGTATTTGAGGGACGTTTTTCGTTTCTCCATTCCTACTCCCTTTCGCAGTTGATGGAGCCCAAGGTAACAAGAGGTCCCGGTCAGATGCCTGTCGGCAAAGATTCGGCGATAGCATGTGCCCTACGCCAAAGGACAAGGGCCCTTCCCGTTACTGCGACGATCGTAAGTTGCAATGAACCGTTCCCTCAACCTCCCCTCATGCCCGTAGAGTAGCCGAAAGAGGCTGACCCAGGCACTAGATCGGAGATGCCACGCAGAAGGATGTCTCAAGCTCCGAATCTGCGGAGACTCCACCACGCACTACCAGTACTGTACCAAACGCAAGTCTTTTTCCGTCTAGGTCCCGCCCCTTGAGTTGGTATGGGATATACCATTTTGATATCCCTGGCACCCGAGACGAGAAATACCCTGGCTGACTGGCGAGGGCGGAGATGGGACAACAGACACCTGCTACATCCGCCCCTGCGAGAAGAAGCGCGCTCCGAATTCTAGAATGTGCGATACCCACACGCCTCGGTGCTTGATACTCTCGTGTGGTAATGTCTCCTCGGACAATGGTTTTTACTGTAGTTCCCATAGTTGCCTCGAAAAAGAGTGCGATAGCGTCATCTACGGGAGCGGCTGGTGCAGGAGGCACAAGACCTGCAAGGTCGACGGGTGTGAAGGCCAAGGTCGGGTCCGTGGTGAAGGCGGGTAAGTTCGCATCGGGTCTAGACGTTTGCGAGGATCGTGAGTCCAACCTTGTTTCGGTCTTGAAATCTAGAACGATGCGACAATGGACGCATCTTTCTGACTAGGCCGATAGACGCGGTAAAGGTGTGTCCGGCTCACGGCTGTGACGTGAAAGTCGAAGAGCAAGGCCAGTACTGTGATAGTCACAAGTGTGGACACGAACCGTGTCGGAAGCCGCGACATGGGGACAAAAGCAGCAGTCTATTCTGCAAATCTCGTAAGTGCCTCCACGATCCTCTATCCCTCACTCTCTCGTCTCTGCCCCGAAGATTCTGCCAAACCTCTCCCCGCTACCTCGTCATGGTCCTCTACTACCCTTCCGCAATACTCAAAATCACCACTCACGTTCAACCCCACAACTTACCAACGCACCATCGGCCACACAAAACATCTAGACACCTGCGCCCTCCCAACATGCCCCAGCCCAACCTCGACCCCCAACGACCCAACCTCCAAATTCTGCGCCTCCCACGCCTGCCAGCCCCCTGCACCCACCCCACCGAACCCGGCGCCTCCCTCTGCGCCGTCCACGCCTGCACCCGCGAGGCCTGCTCCTCCCCACGCACCCTCGATCCCCTCCTCCACCCGGAATCCCAGTACTGCGCCGCCCACGAGTGCGCCACCCCGGCCTGCCGCCTGCCCCGCGCCTCTTCTTCTGCTTTGCACTGCGAGCCCCGCCACGCCTGCCCCGTCGAAGGGTGCACCCGACCCCGGGAGGACGCCGCCCCCTGCGGCGTGCACGTGGCGTGGATGGTGCGCATCATGAACCGGGAGCTGCGGGGGTCCGAGGAGGAGGTCGGGCAGAGGGTACCCGGGTTGTCGGGGCGCTCCGCGCGTGCGAGGACGGGCCCGGGACGGCGGCGCAGGAGGCGCTGCGGAAGAGGTTGGAGGAGGAGGACCGGCGGCTGGAGAATGTGGCGCGCGTCGCGGCGAACTGGGATGAGGAGGTGTGGGCGAAGAGGGGGCGGAGGGGTAGGAGCTTGGATAGTGGGATTGGGAGCGAGTCGTCGGGGATTCGAGAACGGTGGTTCTGTGAGGGGTGAGTTCGTCAAAGGCATTGGTTACCGGGAATAGGGGATGTGGTATCATGGATGTCTTTGAATCACGGTTCTGTAAGGGAAAGGGCTGCTTGAAGGTTAGGGGTACCTCTGTAGTTAGCTTTATTCGCGAGCTATCTCACGCATCATGGACTTTCTGCTTCGATAATAGCTGTAGCCCAATGACCTTCTTAGGGGGCTTCCTTGAGCACGGAATATTACATTGATCTAAGAACTTGCGAGATGGCCTAAAGAAAGCGCCCTGGCTGAAAATGAACGGAAATTCTCCTGGACAGTATCCTCAAACAGATACACATATGCCTTTCTCTCTGCTTATCGAACTATACTCGAGAGGAAGCTCTTCGAGATGGGATCGGGGGATGTTAGGCTCCGGGAGGGCTGCGTGGGTGACGCCGCCCGGGAACGATCCGGGCTCATATCTGATGGATACTACGTGCAGATATAGAGCAATCATGTTTACCAGGGAGAAGTGACAACTCTCGAGCCAGGGAATATGAAGCGTATGCCATAAACCCGCGGCCGGCAGTGCGCGGAGCAGCAACCGGCAAATTGTAGGCGAAAGTTCCGGCGCCGGGATGATCGAGTTACCAAAGCCCGGGGGCAACGCTCCGCATTTTGTCTCATCGGCCACGACTGAGCAACGTGTGCTGCGAGTGAGGCGAGGTTACCACGTAAATCCCTAGGAATCTATTGCGAAGCCAAGACAAGAATGGTGACATGTCTTTTTTATATCTTGATTCACATGGTAAAAGAAGCGGTGTGTGGCCGATGGCATGCCGTCAGTGAAAGTGAGCAGAACTGTTTCTCCGTTATGATATTGTGAGCCAGCGGCGATACCACAATCGTAAGCCCAAGACTCTCGTTCTCACTAGATGTGAACAACTCAACACGGCCACGGGAGCAGCAGCGGCAAACTAGTAGCTAGAATAATCACACTGTGAGTAATGGACTCGTTGAAAAAACAAAGGTAAAGTGAGAAGTCTTGTGGCAAGATATCTACTGCATTTGCTCGATCGAAGATGCGCAACTCACGGCTCCTGCTGTTTTCGGTGTGACGTTAGTATGAGAGGGAGTTCAGCGTTATTTCCTGCTCGTCTCGGATACAGGCGGAAGAGCAACATCACGAAGAGGCCGCGATGAGGGAAGGAAAGGGCCGGCCGATTCTTCAACCAGTTTGGGATCCCGCGTTTACCTTGGCCCGCCTTCAAGAGAGAGTCTCTCAGTGGCAAACATTTTGTCTCTTCAGACAAACCCTCTCCTCATTCATCGGCGCAAAGCTCGCCCTTGTCATCTTAATTCACATATATCCACTGTCGGTAGGCAGATGACAACTGCCCTCATCGTCATGCCATGCCGGATATCGGATCGCGGTCAGGAGTCTTGCCCCCAAGACGTCGTCACACACGAGGTCAAGATTGAGATTCCAAGGCTCCCGATGCTCCCGCTGATCGACTCGAATGAAATCACGCATTCGCAGGAGATCTCGGCACTTGCTCGCCCACGCCCCCATCCTGACCGGGACGATCGCGCACCAAAAAGAAACGAAAAGAAAAAGGAAAAAGAAAACAAATGCTACAAGCACACCCCCAGCAAGCTCTGGATATCGGACACGCGGGGCGCTCGTCCGACCTACCGGTCTTGCACACATACAAGTAGCAGAAAAAGAAACTACCCGCCACGCATCTGACACGCAGGGAAAGAAGGGAAAAACAAAAACCGCCCGCGTCCGTTGCAAAGTACTGGTACATCTTCCTTGCGGCGGGATCAGGGATAAACGGCCGAGAGGACCTGAGAGAATCGACGATGGCAAGCAATTGTCAAATCCGATGAAAAAAGAAGAAAAGTCGCGGTAAAAGAAAGAACAAAGCTGCATGCTTCTTGGTGAGAATGACGTAGTAGGGCAGATTCCAATGAGCCATCGGGTTGTCTGGATCTCGAGACCCTGCTTCGGAAAAGGCTCAGGTGCCTTGTTGACGTCATCAGGTCGGACGACTCTTTCTCGGATTTTTAGGGACGAATTTGTTTTTACCTCTCGGTTGTCGAAGGTTGCGGCGGATAATTCAACATATGGTTGGCTTCTATTTGCCCTATTCGATTCCACACCTCATGACAAAGCTGGGCTAAGTTGAGAATCGGGTGAGCGAAATTCGGTGTTTTGTTCACATTGGGTGCTGACGATGGGCAAAAATTGCACAAAAGCATAAACTGCTGGCATTCGGTCATTTTTCGCCTCTGCTTCCCACCGGCCTTTTTTCCTCTTTCTTTTGTTTTCTTTCTTCGTTTCTCTGTCTATCTGACTCTTTGCTCGCTGTTCCTTCCAGACTAGGGTTCGTCCGAGTAAAAGAGTTGACCCCCATGTTTAGGATGACGGGAAAATTCCCTCTGACGACACATTGACTCCATTTACCGTTGGGTGACAGGTCCGCCGCGAAGCTGTCGCTCACCGGTTTTTGTTCTGGGCCAAGACTTGGCGGCGAATTCGGGGCCGGCCGCGTGGACCGAGGATTTCGGCGCCGGAATGCCGAGCTTAAGCTTGGCCTATCGAATAACTCCTTCCTTGTCCTTCAATGTTGCTTCAACCGCTGAGAAAAAAATACGCCTCCACCTTCGCCTCTCTTTCCTATTGACATTTATTTACCTATGATTCTAAGGGTTCCCTTGTTCACGAAGAGGTACCTCGGGCTCTGTCCTCTGATTGCGTTGGCATTTCCGAGAGGCTCAGATCGAAGAGTTACGCTCAAGTGGGATTAAACCAACCACACACCCTTTGGTGCCTTGTGTGCTTACACCCTACCTGTTCAGAGTATACATGTATGGCAGGGAACCCTTCCCCATTACAAAATCAAAATTAGATGTGAAGGTGAAAAACTGATCATGAGGAGGAGGAGACCGGTAGCTCTGAAGAGGGGTGAATTGCTATTTTGGGCCCCTTGTAGACCCTTGAAATTCAAGACAATAAAGGACGAATTTCGGCTGCCCAAAGAGAGCAAGAGAAGGAGCACATGGAAGAGCGAAAGGGAGGAAGCTCGGATCAATATCGATCAATATTCCAATAGCAATCTCGCTCCCGTGTCCACACCTAGCCCCGCCGTATTACCCCAGAAAAACCACAAATCCAGAGTCGTATTAAGCGGGGGTAGGGGGCGTGCTTGGTCTGCGCGCTTGGGGGTGGGCCGAAAAGGGCTGGCGGAGGGGGTATTTTTCTTGGCGACGGCGGGGTTTGTTCATGCGCTGAAAGGGAATCCGGTGATCCCACCAGTCCTCGAGACCAAGAGTCAATCATCGAGAGTTCGATTGGAGGGGAAAATAGATAAATACAAAAAAACAAACCCCTCATTAGATAGTCTTCGGGCGGGGGTTGATGGTGGGCTGTTGAACCTCGTGGATTAGAGGTTAGGTCGCGTTGTCCATCCTTTCCTCGCCGGGCAGCTCGACGAGAAAGAAAGGGGACCACGGGCGTAACGCGCCTGGTCGCGAGAGGGTCATCCGTGTGAAGGAGGTCTTCGGCCGGGCCCCTCGGTCGTTCAGCATTTGTATCGTTGCCTGCCGACAGAATCTATACAGATACTACCTCGAGCTTTTCATCGCAACTGAATCAAGTTCCCGTCTTGAGACTTCGAGTGTAGAGAAGAAACCTGGAAACCGAAAGAGGAGGATCCGGTTCTTCTTCGTCGTGAGGGTGCACAGGAACACGTGCTGATTGATACGTGCCGCGTCCTGCCACCGCACACCCGGTTGATTTTCTTCAGCGACGACACTTTCCAGATGAAGAGTTTGGTAGGCAAGGAGAAACTCTTTTGGAACCCCTCTCTTTCTTCGATCTCAACAGCTCCTGTTCGTCCCTGTCACTCCTCTCTTGCATAGCTATGTCGGCGGAGAGGTCAGCGTCGAGAAGACGGAGTCTTCCGACGTCCTAGTGTCTCTCGCGCGCCATGATTTGAATAATTTGCGACGGGCAGTTCCCGTAATTTGCTAGCCCTGCCCCGAAATAGGTCCATGTACCACCTGTGCTTATTCTTAGGAGCAATATCCATCAGCCGAAAGGGTCTATTGATGAGATCGCCGGCATGCCACTGCAAAAATTAAATCCCGACGAATGGTGGATGACTCTAGCCGTCCCGCGCTCTGCCTGGACAATCTCGTTGGCCCAAACCCCACCTAACACAAGCTCCCATCAGCACCGGCGGATGCACATGTCAAAGTAACACTCACACTTGGTCCTATTTTTTGTCTTCCGCCTTTTTATTTTATTTTCTTGCAGTCAGCCTTGTACCTCCCCATCGCCGATGAACCAAATCACCAGCCACGGGTCGGTCACGCGAAGAAAAGCCATGAAGAATAGAGGTGTGCAGCCATCGTTTCTGTCGAGTCCCCTGAACACATTGACGTCACCGATAGGAGCATGTGCTTGAAATTAAGAGAAGAAAAAGAAAGATACCAGGAGTAAGGGACAGGAAGGAGGGACAGCTAGAGCTCGATTGAAAGCATTTGCTGTGTTGAAGGGACCAACTCCTCTCCACCCCACCCCTCCCCGAGAATGAGCCAGAGCGTCCCCCTCGGCCGAGGCACGCCCGAGTCCGGTCTGGGCGGGGAGGGCAGACCCCGCGGTGCAGCTCCCTTCCCCCGCAACGAGGCTCTTCATTCCTTGAAATCCGACGGGCGATCAAAAATTCCTATCACTTTTTTTTGTTCGAAAAAGGCTGTTGGTTAGACGGGTGGGGCATGGATCACCGAACGCTGCTCGTGTGGGTGTGCGCGTGTGTGGATGTGCTTGGCGGCGACACGAGAAGGAAGAATTGCGGGTTCTCCGCGTTCCGAGAAAATAGTGGACGAGACACGTTGCGGCGGCGTGGTGGCCGTCGTATCTATTACATCGCACATGTATAGAACTATTCTATGCCATATTGTGTCTCCAAGCTCCAAGCATCCTGCCCTCGAAACAATTTCAAAGGTTCCCGCTCGTCGTCGCATGGCATACTGCGGCGAAGGGCTGCACAATA